TAGGGACATAGTAGCTATGTTCGACAAAAATATTTCAAGATGGTCGCTTAATTTCAAAATGGCGGCAATTTTTTGTAAAAAACGTAATCTTTGATAACTCAAATACCAGTGAACAGATTTAATTCTATATGATTATGCCTAGGGACACAGTAGCTCTGTTCAAGAAATAATTTTCAAGATGGCGGCTGAATTTCAAGATGGCGGCCAATTTTCGTAAAAAACGTAATCTTTGATAACTCATATACCAGTGAACGGATTTGGTTCAAATTTTATATGATGATGCCTAGTTCACAATGGTATAAACTAACTTTGTGCCAAATTTCATGCTTCTATCACAAAGTGCACAAACATTTCAACATTTACACTAGCTATAATAAGCATAATATGTTTTGTTCGGTGGGATTTGCTACTCCGTGGAGTTGCTGTTTTTCTAGTTATTTCAAAGAACAGGCCAATTTAACAGGATATTGGTTTATTTAAATTTTTCTGAAAAAAGGCATTCTCCAAATTAATATCAAAACCAATTACATGTATTTAAAATTTCATAGGGGTGGTAGGATAAAACAACCATGATTACCATTTTTTAATAATTTCTACATTGTTGATTGTTCGAGGCATTTTTATAGATATTTAAGTTTTTTGTAGTCCTCTAACTGTGATTGTAGTGTTATGATCGAAGTGCCATGTTTATAGTATCAGTATTGTAGTGTAAAGTTTGCAGTATCAGGATTGTAGTGTCATGTTTGTAGTGTTATAATTGAAGTGCCATGTTTATAGTACGAGGGGTGATTCAAAAGTAATGGACAAAATTTTATAGGCACGCTTACCTTTACAAGATTTGAATGAAACTTTGTACAAATAAAGATTAATCAATTATCTATTAGATGTTAAAATTTTATTAACTAAATGCAAATACATTTTGAGATAGAGCACTTCTCTTGGATCATGGTGCATACACCCGGAATCCATTTTTAAGGCTATTTTCATCATAATAACAAATGGATTTTCAATTTCGACACGTTGTTGCTTTTGTTCTTCGGTAAGAAGCTTAGGAATCCACTTGGCACACACCCTTTTCATATTTAGGTCGCATTTTACAATCCTTTGTACTGTAGAGTAGGACACATCTGTAATGGAACTTATTTCTCTCAGTGTCAATCTCCTGTCTGCATTTAGGATGGACTCTACATGGTAAATAGTGTTATCAGTGCGGCCAGTCTTGGGCCTCCCAGATCGCTTTAGATCTAAGACTCTCGTATCCCCTTCACTAAAGTGTTTGTACCATCGCTCAATGGCTTGCCTTGACAAGGCCTTGTCTCCATGTGTCTCTTTTATTTTCTTGACAACTGCCTGCCTTGTCTCTCCAGTAGCTACCAACTATTCAATAACAATCCTTTGCTTAACTTTGATTTGTTGTAAAGTAGACATTTCTTGGATGTGTGTGAGTCTAAGAGTCTGATCTACTTTCTGACTCACTGTGACTCATCATTCTTAGAAATATCATTGTGATGTCATAGCAAAATTGGTTGCTGAATTTAGAACTCAACAGCAAACACATGGGCATGTGAGTCTTGCTTGACAATTGCATTACCATGCTTGTTAGACATATCATGTGTGGTAATTGAGTCATTAAAACGAAATCAAGCAAAAATGACAAAAACATTCAATTATCATTAAAAACCCAATTCCACCCATGCTTACCCTTGTTACCATGGTTACGCATAGCTGAAACAATTTTAAATGCATTTAAATGAGAATTCGACACAAAGTAGAGAATTGATTGATCTATTCACTGTGAAAAAATTAGACTGATTGGGTGAAATTTAGTATGCCTATAAAATTTTGTCTATTACTTTTGAATCACCCCTCGTATTACTATTGTAGTGTCAAGTTTGCATTGTCAGGATTGTAGTGTCATGTTTGTAGTGTTATAATTGAAGTGCCATGTTTATAGTTTCAGTATTGTAGTGTCAGGTTTGCAGTGTAATGATTGTAGTGTCATGTTTGTAGTGTTATGAATAAAGTGCCATGTTTATTATATCAAGTATAGTGTCATGTTTGAGGTGTCATGATTGTAGTATCATATTTGTAGTATTATGATTAAAGTGCCATGTTTATAGTATCATGATTGTTGTGTTGTGTTTGTAGTATTATGATTAAAGTGCTATAGTACTATATTACTTTCTCTGTTACTCTGTCTTCATTTTTTTTTATTTATTCATTTATTTATGTCATTATTGAAGAATATACAGTACAAGTATGGTACTGCTGCCTAGCACCAGTGGCATTATAGGCTAGCATTGTTGGAAAAATTAAATTATTGAATACTTGAAATGTCTTGATTAAGATTTTGTACAAAATAATATTATGTGTCACACTATCTCTTAAAGGAGAAAAATAAAAGAATTTCAAATAAGATTCTAAAATAATGTTAATAAATCTGTCCTTTAAAAAACAATCTTCTAACTTCAGTTTGTTTTCAAAATTTATGGCCTCAATCCTGTCCTTCTGTTTGCGGAGTAGATGGTTGGTCTTAATTAGCACATTGATTGAAGTCTTTAGCATTATAATGCCTTCATATTATTACACTTTTACATTTTTTCTCATATCAACACATAAACCCACGGTAATTACAAAAATACATGGTCTTTTTTCATTTGTATTATTTTCAATATTTTGTATCTTTGTACTAAAAAAGGTATATTGCTTTTAAATTGGGTATATTGTGTGAATAATTGATTGAAATCTTAGAAAATAGTTGAAAATGTAAAATGAGAAAAAAATATTGTCTAACAATTTCATCAAAGGTTTAGAATCCCAAAAAACATTGACCTAGATAATCAAAATTTGAACTAAAATAAATACTGATGCGTAATGTAACAAATGGCATGTTTTTTGTGTTGACATTTGAAGTCCATTTTTTATGAGTAAATCTGATTTCTTGACCAGTCTCTCAAGCTCAGATCCTGCAATCAGAATTTGACCAAATTAATACATTAAAAATCAAAATTAAACAACGTATGTACAGTAAAACACTTGTAATTAAACAATATCAGATCTCTGAAGTGTACATATGCTGATGAAAGTAACTGACCACGTGTATACAAATTACTTTACACTCAATATACGTTTAATCAATAAAATAGTTTGATTTCTTGTGGTTGCGTAAATTGTGTTTTTGTTTTAACCAGTTTATCGAATCGCTCAAAGTCTAATCTACTGATACTGTCAGCGATTCCATTTTCTGTTCCTTTAATGTACATTGAGCGACATGTACATTGATGTATGGCATTGTAATAAAATAGCGATCTCACTAACGCCATTAAATGTTTGTCTCTACATGCTCCTTTGTTGACAACGTGAACAATTGCTTCATTATCGCAGTGTATGATTATTTTCTTCTGAGAAAGTTCATTTTCCCATGTCGCCATTGCAGTCACTATTGCAAAAAGTTCTTTAAATGCGATGCTACGTTTGGCGTGTTCGTCCGTGAAGATTCCATATGTAAATTTGCCATTAAAGAATGCACCATATGAATTAGCGCAAGCGTCTGTGAACAATTGAAGCCTGGAACTCGGCGTCCATTCGTCGTCGAAAAATAAACTAGTTCCTCCCCATGAGGGTAGGTGGCTTAACCACCAAGATATGTCCGATCTGAACGAATTGCTGATTTTCATCTTGTGATGTAAGTGTTTTAACTTTGTTGAAAGATCAATAATCCTTCTCAAGAACGTTTTTCCTGCGTATATGACTCGGCAAATGAACGTCAGTTTACCTATTAGAGATAATATTTGTCGCTTTGATGCTCTTTTCCTGACGAGCCATTTTTTCAAATCTGTTGTGATGTCTTGGAGCTTATCTTGCGGAATTTGGATTTCAAATTTGTTCGAATCTATGATAAGTCCAAGAAATTCTATGGAGGTGCACGGTTGTACAAGTTTCGACGGATTGATGCTGAAGCCAACGTCGGCACATGTCTGTACCATTATATCGAGATTATTCTTACATACGTCACTGTTTCTAGGTCCACATGTGAAGTAATCATCTAAATAATGGGGACATACTGTTGCACCATTTTGTCGCATTATAAATTCCAAGGCGTCTGCAAATTCGCTAAATAATTTTGGCGAACTGCGTGCACCAAACGGTAGAACTAAGTCAATGTAATATGTCGTGACGTTCTCGCCCGTGATGTCATTTCGTGTTTCCCACGTTGTTCCTAGGAGTTCCCAATCAGATTTATGTACTGGAATAAATTTAAACGCGTCAGCTAAATCAAGCTTGCTCATTAGCGCTGATCTTCCACATTGTTTCACTAAATTAATTGCAGTATCGATACTTATGTAATGGCATCCATATTCTTCTTTGGAAATAAATTCGTTCACGGATTTCCCTGGGGGCCATGAGAGGTCGTGTATAATGCGATATTTTGTAGGGTTCGAGTGCTTTTTTGCATATGCACCCATCGGAGATCCGACGTACTTTTCACACGGTATAGAACTGAATGCTACTTTCCTTCCTTTGGACATTTCTTTATCGATATTTTGTTGTATGGCTTCACTATTATCTAATGCTGATTTCCAGTTTCCATGAATACGGGATTCCCTTGGACCATTGTACCCAAGTTTAACACCATGTGTAGCATTTTCAACAATATAATTAACAAAATTTTTGTCGGGGTGATTTCTTAAGCCATGGGCTAAAGCTATTGGGCACAATGGTTTGTAGGGCTTAATTTCCTCCAATGCACTTTTTACATTTGTATTTTGGGATATCACTTGCCCCACAACCTTGGCATTTGTGAATTCTGAAGCACTGTGATCCATATTTACATTCTCCATGTTGATATTTATTGCAGATTTCGTTTTTAACTTTATCCTTGCTGTATGTTGTTGTTGTCGTAGACGGCGCCGACGACGTTGCCACCGTGGTCCCCGCTTGAAACGGGCAATTGGAGACCTTATGATCTCCTGCACAGCGATAACATTTGATGATGTGCTGCTTCACAGCTGTCGAGTCGAACGTTGTCACGTATAATTGTGTGTCGATATTCCCAAATTGTTGACTTTTTGTTTGTGATAATTTGCTTCTATATTTGACGTCAGAGGCGTTGACGGCGTTCCACTTGAACTTGGCGTCGGCTTCTTGGATTATATTTCGATATGTACATAATCCAGGATAGGTGTGTGGTGCATTTTGTACAATGATAGCCTCGAAAATATTCCAGGCGCTCAGCCATTGGGAGAAATTTTCAATTATTTTGATTTTTCTGGTTTGTTTTTGTCGCAGTTGGCCATTTTCAAGTGACAATATCGGATCGGGATTTTCATGATGGTCGTGCAGTAAATTGGCGGGTAAAATGTCAATCATTTGAACAAACTCACCGTTCTTTATGGTTCTGATGACTTTTTCTGGAATCGGGACGTTAAATACGTTTGTCGTGTCATGTGTTCCTGTTGCCGTATCGGGGATGGAGTTCTGTTCCCCGGCTGATGTTTGATCCACGGCGGTCGATCTTTGTTCAATGGGTGTGGCTTGTCGCTGAGTTTGAATTTTTATCTCCCCCAATTCTTTTGTTATGTGCACAACTTGTTCCCTCATGTTATTTTGTTCGACTTGCAAGTCCTTTGTAACCGCAACTAGTCCAGATATCTGTTGGGACACTTCCATCATAGCAAGTTGCCATCCTGGAATGTCTTGTTTTGTATCGGCCGTGGAAACCGGTTCTGGGCGTGGCAGCTCGGCCTCGGCTTTCACGTCTAAGTTTGAACATTTTGGTCCTATGGGACCTTTATGTCCACGAACTAGCTCCTTGCATTGTGTGCAGCGTCTACCTTGTTCTTGTGTGTCTTGTAAAGCCATAATTTGTTATAAATAATTAAAACGTATAAAATTGACTATATAAAATCCGAAGCGTCCTGCTCAATCGATCATGTTTTGACTGAATGAATTCAATTGATCTGGCCTGGCCGTGAGCCAACCCACTCCATGCATGAACGCTTACAATCAGTATACCTATTAAAACCTATTTATAGGATAAATATTCAGATTCCAACTCTCAAAGATGTTGATTGTTATCCCACCGAACGAAGTTCGAGGGGGATATAGAGAAGCCGTCCGTCGGTTCGTCCGTCCGTCTGTTCGTCCGTGTGTCCGGGTGATAACTCCAATACCGGTTGACGGATTTGGTTCAAATTTTATAGGCTTATGCCTTATGAGTGAAGGACCTCTGCCCGAGAGGGAATTTTCAATATGGCCGCTCAATTCAAAATGGCCACCATTTTTCGTAAAAAATGTAATCGTTGATAACTCAAATACAAGTTGACGGATTTGGTTCAAATTTTATATGCTGATGCCTAGGGACAAAGGAGTTTCGCACAAAAAGAGATTTTCAAGATTTTTCGTAAAAATATGTAATCTTTGATAACTCAAATACCAGTGAACGGATTTGGTTCAAATTTTATATGATGATGCTTAGGGACATAGTAGCTATGTTCGACAAAAATATTTCAAGATGGTCGCTTAATTTCAAAATGGCGGCAATTTTTTGTAAAAAACGTAATCTTTGATAACTCAAATACCAGTGAACAGATTTAATTCTATATGATTATGCCTAGGGACACAGTAGCTCTGTTCAAGAAATAATTTTCAAGATGGCGGCTGAATTTCAAGATGGCGGCCAATTTTCGTAAAAAACGTAATCTTTGATAACTCATATACCAGTGAACGGATTTGGTTCAAATTTTATATGATGATGCCTAGTTCACAATGGTATAAACTAACTTTGTGCCAAATTTCATGCTTCTATCACAAAGTGCACAAACATTTCAACATTTACACTAGCTATAATAAGCATAATATGTTTTGTTCGGTGGGATTTGCTACTCCGTGGAGTTGCTGTTTTTCTAGTTATTTCAAAGAACAGGCCAATTTAACAGGATATTGGTTTATTTAAATTTTTCTGAAAAAAGGCATTCTCCAAATTAATATCAAAACCAATTACATGTATTTAAAATTTCATAGGGGTGGTAGGATAAAACAACCATGATTACCATTTTTTAATAATTTCTACATTGTTGATTGTTCGAGGCATTTTTATAGATATTTAAGTTTTTTGTAGTCCTCTAACTGTGATTGTAGTGTTATGATCGAAGTGCCATGTTTATAGTATCAGTATTGTAGTGTAAAGTTTGCAGTATCAGGATTGTAGTGTCATGTTTGTAGTGTTATAATTGAAGTGCCATGTTTATAGTACGAGGGGTGATTCAAAAGTAATGGACAAAATTTTATAGGCACGCTTACCTTTACAAGATTTGAATGAAACTTTGTACAAATAAAGATTAATCAATTATCTATTAGATGTTAAAATTTTATTAACTAAATGCAAATACATTTTGAGATAGAGCACTTCTCTTGGATCATGGTGCATACACCCGGAATCCATTTTTAAGGCTATTTTCATCATAATAACAAATGGATTTTCAATTTCGACACGTTGTTGCTTTTGTTCTTCGGTAAGAAGCTTAGGAATCCACTTGGCACACACCCTTTTCATATTTAGGTCGCATTTTACAATCCTTTGTACTGTAGAGTAGGACACATCTGTAATGGAACTTATTTCTCTCAGTGTCAATCTCCTGTCTGCATTTAGGATGGACTCTACATGGTAAATAGTGTTATCAGTGCGGCCAGTCTTGGGCCTCCCAGATCGCTTTAGATCTAAGACTCTCGTATCCCCTTCACTAAAGTGTTTGTACCATCGCTCAATGGCTTGCCTTGACAAGGCCTTGTCTCCATGTGTCTCTTTTATTTTCTTGACAACTGCCTGCCTTGTCTCTCCAGTAGCTACCAACTATTCAATAACAATCCTTTGCTTAACTTTGATTTGTTGTAAAGTAGACATTTCTTGGATGTGTGTGAGTCTAAGAGTCTGATCTACTTTCTGACTCACTGTGACTCATCATTCTTAGAAATATCATTGTGATGTCATAGCAAAATTGGTTGCTGAATTTAGAACTCAACAGCAAACACATGGGCATGTGAGTCTTGCTTGACAATTGCATTACCATGCTTGTTAGACATATCATGTGTGGTAATTGAGTCATTAAAACGAAATCAAGCAAAAATGACAAAAACATTCAATTATCATTAAAAACCCAATTCCACCCATGCTTACCCTTGTTACCATGGTTACGCATAGCTGAAACAATTTTAAATGCATTTAAATGAGAATTCGACACAAAGTAGAGAATTGATTGATCTATTCACTGTGAAAAAATTAGACTGATTGGGTGAAATTTAGTATGCCTATAAAATTTTGTCTATTACTTTTGAATCACCCCTCGTATTACTATTGTAGTGTCAAGTTTGCATTGTCAGGATTGTAGTGTCATGTTTGTAGTGTTATAATTGAAGTGCCATGTTTATAGTTTCAGTATTGTAGTGTCAGGTTTGCAGTGTAATGATTGTAGTGTCATGTTTGTAGTGTTATGAATAAAGTGCCATGTTTATTATATCAAGTATAGTGTCATGTTTGAGGTGTCATGATTGTAGTATCATATTTGTAGTATTATGATTAAAGTGCCATGTTTATAGTATCATGATTGTTGTGTTGTGTTTGTAGTATTATGATTAAAGTGCTATAGTACTATATTACTTTCTCTGTTACTCTGTCTTCATTTTTTTTTATTTATTCATTTATTTATGTCATTATTGAAGAATATACAGTACAAGTATGGTACTGCTGCCTAGCACCAGTGGCATTATAGGCTAGCATTGTTGGAAAAATTAAATTATTGAATACTTGAAATGTCTTGATTAAGATTTTGTACAAAATAATATTATGTGTCACACTATCTCTTAAAGGAGAAAAATAAAAGAATTTCAAATAAGATTCTAAAATAATGTTAATAAATCTGTCCTTTAAAAAACAATCTTCTAACTTCAGTTTGTTTTCAAAATTTATGGCCTCAATCCTGTCCTTCTGTTTGCGGAGTAGATGGTTGGTCTTAATTAGCACATTGATTGAAGTCTTTAGCATTATAATGCCTTCATATTATTACACTTTTACATTTTTTCTCATATCAACACATAAACCCACGGTAATTACAAAAATACATGGTCTTTTTTCATTTGTATTATTTTCAATATTTTGTATCTTTGTACTAAAAAAGGTATATTGCTTTTAAATTGGGTATATTGTGTGAATAATTGATTGAAATCTTAGAAAATAGTTGAAAATGTAAAATGAGAAAAAAATATTGTCTAACAATTTCATCAAAGGTTTAGAATCCCAAAAAACATTGACCTAGATAATCAAAATTTGAACTAAAATAAATACTGATGCGTAATGTAACAAATGGCATGTAGTGACATTTTTTACATCAATGCCTTGTTTAACATTTGTTCATAATCATCTACTACCAATCGCCTAGGCATTCTAGGTGGTTATAGTAAGGTGATACTCTAGATCGGAGGTGTATAGTATTACAATTTGGCAAAGTCAAGTAATTATATAAAATTACATGTATATTATATTTCTGATAATCATTGTAAATGTTATAGTACATTTTGATATGATAACATGATGAACTCAATTGTTATTCATTACAAAATCGTGACAAGAGTTGTTAATGTTATTGAGGCATCCCTCTAATGCACCTCGAAAAACATCAACTCCCTGGAGTACCAATTTCCACCAAGCAAAACAAATGTTGATTATGACTTGTTATTTTGAGCATTTCATGACAGAGATATTTAGGTGCAACAATTAGCCTCATTTTGGCAAAATCAACACCCATGGTATAACGCGAATCCAGATTATAAATCCCTTCTCCAATAGATGGCATAAGACCACAAGGCATAAACCTATAAACCAAGTCCCAGTATTACTAGTATTTGCGTTATCCAAAAAATGACAATAGCAGTCATTTGAGGTTATAAATCTGAATCAAATCTGACAACAGGTTTTTGAGTTACAAATAATTATATTTTTTGACTCTACTCCTAAAAAAGATAAATGTCTTAACTTAACTCTTTTATGTCTGTGTCTAAGCTTTAACTCTTTACTTCTTTCTCATGCAGCCACCTGGATATGAGGTATGTGGGTGCTAAAGGGTTAATTTCCTTTTATTTTAGACTTAACTCTTTTACTTCTGGTGTCAGGTTGAACTAGTTGTGTAAATTTTTATGTTTTTGCATAAGGAAACAGTTTTAATCTAAATACTATACAATTATTCAAAATTAAATTGTTTTTATTATTTTTATTTATTGATTTATTTTTTCAATATTTGCCTATTTTGGTTCAGGGGATAATGTGGTGATTCATTGATTTGTGACTGGAGTATAGCCCTTGATTTTACTTTTGTCAAATTAATAAAACCAAAGTTTGTATATTTGTTTTTTTAATCCATGTCATTATTATGATTTGTAAATGATGGGCAAGTTCAATCAGAATTCATTTATTTTCTTAATATGTTATTGCTATATCCATTATTACAACATTAATATTTATATTCATGTAAATTGTATTTATACATCTATACTACGTCTTATGTATCAGTTTAGTGAATCATTTCAAAATCCTGTTTCTTATAATTCGAGACATAATCACTGAATAAATCTGATATCATATGATTTTTTGATTTTTTGATATCATATGATATTTATCAATTCTCTGCAGTTATAATCACCAGTCTGCATACTCCTGCTGATATCGATATCAGCTCATAAATAAAAATGATATCACTGTAAATCATATGATACTTTATTTTGGGATAATGAAATGCATATTTTCTACACTTTGATATTTTTATTTGTTATTTGTTGTTCCAGGATTTTGACTTTGAAGAAGATGAAGGGCCGAAAATGCATGTTGACATTAAGCTTGAGACACTCATGCCTAAGGTACCAACTTAATTTTTGAAATGTCCCTTACGTAGACTGTTAGATAAATTGCCATTGTTTAATTTATTTTGACATCAGTTATGTTTACACGCTGCTGAAAAAGCAAGCCTAACTCTGTTTGATAACAGATTTATTAAACCAGGTTATGTTTCAAAGTAGGACCACATTCAAACTACAGGGTGTCAAATATGTTCCCCCTTTAATTTCAAGAGAATGAACTTTTGTGCATAAAAGTGCCTCTAGTTGAGCTAGTCATCTGGAACCTCTTGTGGAGTTGCTCCATGAAGCCTAGTTTTGATGTGCTAAAGAAGATATCCTGTACAATTAAAAGTTATGCAACATTGTGAGGATGTTAAAGCTAAGGAGGGGAGAACATATTTATTTGACACCCTGTCCAGTTATCAGTAAAGAAGTGACTACCTCATTTGAAACATACACGCTCATAGATATGAGGTCAATATATTGATAGAGATCTTTTTTTTATTTTAAGAAATAGAAATCCATTGCAAAATGAGGCAACTTACACTTAAAATCAGTACATATTCAATTACATGTACATTTTTTGAGAGGGTACATAGGGGACGGGGTTACCCGGCTTAGTCATACTTTGAGTCAACATCAACATATTCTGCCTTACTTATGCTTCTTGGTGGTTTCCAGATTTTTTAAGAAGTAGAAGTCCATTGCAAAATGAGGCAACTTACACTGAAAATCAGTACATGTTCAATTACATGTACCTTTTTGGGGAGGGAGTCACCCGGGTCAGTCATACTTTGAGTCAACATATTTTTCCTTACCTATGCTTCTTGGTGGTTTCCAGATTGTCATCCCAAGTCAGGTAGATGTGACAGGGCAGGCAGATAGACCAGATGGCCTACAGATACTTGGCTCTAAGATCACTGTGACCAATAGCAGAGTAGAGGAAAGATTCTCTCGCAATGAGCTTGCTAATCTGATAACCTGGTACGAAGGTGGAAAACTTTTCGATAAACAAACATTTCCAAATGAGGATACGGATTACGTGGCTGTGCCTAGTATATTTGAGGAACACGCCTCTGGGGATAAGGTATATGCCTTTGGGGATCCAGTGAAAAATAGTCTGAGGAGCCAACCGAATGGGGAGGTTGGCAAGGAGAAATCTAGTCATGGGAAGACATCCCATTTAGGGATTAATAGTCTCAAACTGGATGCCACAAAAGATGTCTGGTGTCTCGCTGTTGATCAGTTTTGGCTGGAGTTTATCGGAGTCCCTAGCTCAAAAAACCGTCCTGTAGCCTTCATAGAGTCATTTCCAGTTACTGTGTGGATTGCCATGCCTACAGCTTGTAGTAACCAATCAAATGACTCAAATATGATTACCCATAATGCAACAGTATTAGCAGACGTAAAATGTAATGGTGAAATTGGAGATGGTTGCAAAACAAGTGAGCTAAATGACACAAACAAACAAAAGGGTCCTAAAGCAGGGGACACCCATATGCTAGTGAGCATTCACAATAAAGTTCAGCTTCAGATCAACCATTTTCAGTTCCTTTGCCTCATGAGAATTTTAGACTCATTTACAGCGTTCACAAAACAATTAGACGATGACACTGTCCATATAACTCAAAAACCTGCCGAGGCACAAAGCAACATAGTCGCTGTTATCATTAGAGATATAGAGGTCGCTCTTGTTTGTCCTGCTATCCCAGAAGGCAGTAGTCTGAATACGGGTAAACTGTTGAGTGATGAAGAATCAGACCTGATATCTCCAGTCAGTGAGATCAATGACCCACCAGGTAAAGTATAATAATCTTTCTGAAATGAATCAATTTGTTGAGGCGAGCACATGTTCTTTTGTTCATCTTCTAAGATTACAGCGAGATGTATTCACCTTACAGCTGGGGACGAGGCGGGTATATGCCCAGTGAATGAACCTATTAATGACATCTAATCCTTAGTAGAATTGAGAAACCTGATGGGTATGGTCCCTATCAGAGCCTACTCCTGAAAAATGGTCCTGTCATGTAATATTTTCATTTCTATGTCATCACAACAAGGGTGACAATTGTTATGGTCTCCAACTTTTTTTATTGATGATGTTTGAGGTTGGTATTCGCCATTTGGTGTGTGGCAGTCAGCATCTGTGACAAATGGCAGGTGGTGACATTTTGCATAGTAATGCCTCGTCAGTTTTATGTCTCATATGGTGAGCCTATGGAATCACCCACTCATCTGTCCATGTATCTATCCACCTGCCATCTTTATGTTTCTTTTTTTCTCAAAACTTTTTGGTCAAGCCAAAACTCATAATGCAGATACAGTCAAAAATATTTAAGCACGAGGGGCAAACCATGAAATACTCAAAAGTATTGCAAAGTACATGTTTTAACAAATGAATATAAGTACAAAAGTCCTTACCGAAAATGTAAACATGGTTACCACAGCAACCACTTTATTTATCTTAAATTGCATTTCAGTTGGCTCCCCAGTGTGTAGCGAAAGGGATGGAGAAGCACCAATAGAACTGAATACCAAAATTATCCATGGTTCAGACTCAGCTCTAGGTTAGTTGATCTATTTATTTTCATGGACAGTATCTGGAAATCGATATGATTCTACGTTATTTGTTACTGGTTAGTATTTTGACATTTCTATGTGGATAATTCAATGGAAGAATTATATTTCAAAAACATTTTTGACATTTTTAAGAGTGGAACTTTGCCTTATTATTTATAGGATTTATTGTTGTGTGAGGATAATAAATTCGAAATTTTATTTGTTCATTTATTAATTTTTGCTTTTTAAAGTTTTTAAGTTTGTTCTTATCTATCAATTGGATTATGTTCCAGGAAGTAGTCTGCAGTCTAACCACCAGGGGGATGACATTACAGCGAGTAAGTCGCAACCCGATTTAGAACTTCCATCCATCATATCTTCCACCAGCAACTCTTCCACTACCTCCCTTACTAGAGAGCTCTCTACCGGGAACAGCAAATTCTTCGCTGGAGATGGAAGTGAGTCGATGATGTCCCTTACAGAGGGAGCAGGAAATAGTATGTTTTACTCCCACAGAGGGAGTTTCACAAGTAGCACAGGGGGAAGCGAGACTAACTTGAATGTGTCCCCCCAGGGTAGCACAGTTTTACTCGTAGCCGACAACTCAGAACCAGCGAGCCCTGCAAGAAGTGACCGCAGCCTGAGTAGCCTAAGCACCAGCTCAAGAGATAGCGTTAAACCTCGAAATCGGGAGAAAAAATCCATATCATCTGCATTTTCCAATTTCTCCAAAGGAATGGAGAAAATGTCAGGTAAACTAAAGCAGAATTTAAAACGAGGCGACTACCTCGATGAAGATGACTTTGATACGCTTTCGATGAGAAGTGACATGTCAGATGAAGACGATGATAACCTCATGATGCTAATGAATGATGGTGAGATGCCTGCGTTTGAGCGAAAGGGAAGCTTCGGTGACTCAGAAACTACCGAAGGAAGTGACCTGAAGGACGCTGAGACATCCAGTGTTAACACAATCAGTAGTGATAAAGCTAGAAATGTGGTAGGTTGTCTATATTTGTTATGATTGAAATGGTCACTTTTATAAACTATTTATCTATAACCCTAAATTTGAATTTCAGGAAATATGTACTTAACATTACAGAAAATGTCAGTTAAATTTGAAAAGCCCATTACGACTTCCCATTTTAACTTTAGCATATTTTATCATTGGCTTAGTTCACTGAAACAATTGTTTTTTTTACATGTACTTGAAGGGAAAATTTTCATTTTATCCATATTCAAAAATGTTCTTTCAACTTTCTTTTTATATTAGGAAATGATAGAGTATGAATATTCTACCAGTTTATCAAGATGAATATATGGATTATCATATTTACATTTAATCAAAATTATATTTAATCCTCTTTTTGTCATATTAAGGTGTCTGTAGTGCTCTTTAAAATTCACAATCTGGAAGCTGTAGTCCAGGCTGTAAACCTAAACACCATTGCCAAGTTGGGCATCGACCATCTCTCACCTGAAGAATTTGGAAATGTTGAACTGGAGCGGTTTCAGGCAAAGTTCTTAGCAGGTAAATATGGCAAGTCCCTCAAAGAATTTGGGGCTAAGATTTAAATATTTATTAAAATGCCACTGTAGTCTCAATTCAAATATAAAACAAGTCGGAAAGAAGGGGAAATTAGCTGGAAAATAATAGAAATAAATAACCTAAGAGACATGAGAAACTTGGAATAATTGAAGAGAATTTAATGTAACTACAGTGACATCTTTAAAGTGTGAAATAAGATTTCTGCATGGGATTTAGGGGATGTAGAAATTGCCAATGGTTCTGACTAAATCGGATTGACTAAGAGTAAAATGCAATGTTAAATATATGATGCATTTATAAATGAAGTCATACTGCAAATTATAAAAACAGAAATTTGAATTATCAATAAAAAATTTGATTTTTGTGACCCTTATTTAAGTCTTAGTCATTCTGATCGTAAAAATTATTAGATGGGAAGTTGGCTTTGTGTAATGCATGTTGTGAAATTTTGAATTAGAGCTGAAGATAACTAATTCGTAATATCTAATGATAGATCTTTTATAAACTAATGGAGTGTAACAACAGGGGTGAGATAGGCCTAAGAATTCCTGTTTGGGTCTAGTAATGATGTATTTGGCATTACAGATTAAATTTTCTGAAGTTTTATTTTATTTAAGATAAAATAGAGGGAACCTTAAATAAAAAAATATGGTCGATTTTTGTAAAATCCTCAAACAACAATTTTACAGTGGCATTTTTTAAATTGTTGTTTTTACAGTAGGAAAATATATATTTTAAGAGCGCTCATTTTTCCTGTAGATTCTTTTTAAATTGTGCTTTTTCTGGTCGGCATCTATCTCACCCCTGTACAATTTGGCTGTTCAATTTTGGACCAAATTTGCTGCCGCAGCAAGGGCCGGCATCGTACAATATTGCCTTTCATTAAAGTGCTTTGATTTAACATCACTGTTTGGCTTTAGGAATACAATACAATGATAACTTACATGCTGCTTTCATTTTAACCCTTTAGACCCCAGTGAGATACGCATTGTTAACAGTCTAAGTAGTTACAGTAATTGTAAGTAAATAATGGTTAAATTAAAGATTTCACTATACATATACAAATACCTTCAAGCGAGATACTTATACAAAAAACGATATACCATAGATACTAGTATTCCGTAATTCCGCGGCGTGGACGGAATTTGACAAAACTTCAATTTTTTGCAGAATCCCTGATTTTCATGAAAATCCCGCGGAATTACCAGAATTTCCAGAAATTACATATTTTACGATCTCCTACCTTTGCGGGGTATTTGAAGAGTGTCTGTTTATGTCCAACAATCAATCATTATTGAGTACAAGTACGATTTCACCGTGAAATTCAACATTCTATCACGTTTGAATTCGCTAAAGCGAGTTCACTAATGACGCGCAGTTCTTACCTAGAAAGTAGCTGACTTCCGTTTCCGTTTTCATCGTTTTAAAAGATTGCAGAATTTGGACTTTTTTTGAAAATTTGTGCAGAATTTCGATTTTCTCCTTGCAGAATTTGCTTTTTTTCTTGCAGAATTTTTTGCAGAATTTTGATTTTTTTCATGCAGAAAACTAGTATCTGTGCATTATACTATAGATGATATCTGTTCAGTGTTACAAAACAAGAGTCCATCAGTGACAGTGAACCAATCAAATTGCAAAAATCTATAAGTTAAAAAATATAAGTTATTGGTATATGTATTTCTGGAGCTCTTGAATACCTTCATTATATTTAAGTGTATATTTAAGGTAATATCGTTAGAAATGTACATTTATAGTCTAGATAAGCACTACACTACAACGCACTGCACTATACCACACCACACTACCAAATAATGCATGAGGATGGTCAATCACCTCAATCAATCAATCAATTGGTTGCTCACTTACAAAATATCTCCATTTTTGGCTGAAAATCTAGCTGAATATTAAAAGAGTTCTTTGAATAATTAAATCTTTAGTTTGTTTCAAAATTCTTCTAACATGTCTTATTGCTACAATTCAAATATACCATGTCAGTTCATAAGTAAGATATCAAAATTATTGCATTTTTCAGAACATGTAAAAAACAATATGCAGCATTTTCTATTGAAATATATACAGGGTGGTCCAAAAAAAGTGAACCCCTGCAACAGGCTACAAATTTCTTAATACATGCATGAATTGGCTCATATTATCACATGTTGTAGAGAAAGGTCTAAAATTTTGGTTGATGCCATGATTTATTCTCAGTCTTAAATTTTGAAAAAATTACAAGCATTTAACAAACATGCCTAGAAATTAGATATTGTACAAAATTTTACAAATGTGATTCACGGAAATTGTTGAAACACATTGGATGATGTTAAACAGCTTTCAGTTAGAGATACAAGTTTAAAACCCTACCATATGACAAAAGGGACACTATTCAAGCAGAAAATACATTTCACACTTTCATTGATCATTTTGAAGCATTTTTAACTGTTCAACAGTTCAGGGGTATGTTACCTACACCAACAGTTAGAGGGGGGCTTCTTATGGAAGGAAGTTGCCCCCTGTGACCAGGAATCTGATAACCTCTTCATCAAATATCTTTAAAAAATCAAAAGAAAATCCAATATTCAATGTTTTGAGCCATATATCATTAGAATTGGTCCATGATTTATGAAGATATTGACATTTCAAGATCATATAGGGGTATGTTCATGATTTCACTGGAAATGTTTTCATCTGTGGAAGCTTAGCACATCTCTTTGGATCACAATAACTTTGCAACTAACAAATGTAGGATGCTATTGCTAGTTTTAAGCCATAATATGCAAGATTTAAAATTGAACACAGTCAGAAAATATTAGTTCTTTAAGACTGCAGCTTAAAAAATTCTCAGGGGAAAGGTGTTAAAGGGTTGAAGAATCGCTGATATTGAAAATCACAATTTGTCCATTTTCAGTAATGTTTGGTTAGGGCTTATGATTAGTGTTGTCGCGATTAATCGATACATCGTGATATACATCGCCAAAGCTGATTCTGGCGATGCATCGATGTTTGAAACAAAACATCGATGTTTTTGAAAAAAATTTAATTTGCTAAAAATCACCCTTTCTTATCTTATTTTGACGCAAATCGCTTACCTTTCTCATGTCTTATTTCATTTTCCAATGTTTTCTGATATTCTTTCGCTTTAAAACTGCTTTAGATAGTCGAAATGAACCATTAATCTAAAAAAGATTTACTTTACTTTCATTTCACCGTTACTAGAAGTTCCCGGATGTACCAGCGTACTCTTATTAATTTGTTCTGTTCGGTATTTTAGTGTATTAGCGTTCGGTATTTCAGTGCACTTTTCTCGGACTTTTTCTCGATGTACATCGCGATGTGCATCGATGTTTACTACTGAAAATTGCCGATGCATCGATGTACGATTATGGCACATCGCGACAACACAACTTATGATTTCTGCAAATTTCAAGACTAAGAAAAATGTATGGTACCAACATAAATTTTAGACCTTCCTCTACAACATGTGAAAATAAAAAATAATTCCTGTAAGTAATAAGGGAAATATGGCCAGTTGCAGGGGTTCACTTTTTTTTGGACCACCCTGTACATAATTCCAAAACCCATATGTTTTGTTTTTACAGTATAGTATTTGTACATTCCAATATTTATACAGAATAAAAAATAAAAGTAAAATGTTTGGTATTATGAAATGTTTACATCATTGCAAAATGATTGCATGTTTGATCTAGAGTAGTTGTTCAGTTCAGTATTACAGCTAATGTTTCAGTTTACCTCATTATACTTCCACATAGCTGTATAGTCTGCTTAGTATAGCTGTATCTGGCTTGTATAGCTGTGTCTGCTTAGTATAGCTGTATCTGGCTTATATAGCTGTGTCTGCCTAGTATAGCTGTATCTGGCTTGTATAGCTGTATCTGCCTAGTATAGCTGTATCTGGCTTGTATAGCTGTATCTGCCTAGTATAGCTGTATCTGGCTCATATAGCTTTGTCTGTCTAGCGTAGCTGTATCTGGCCCATATAGCTGTATCTGCCTAGTATAGCTGTATCTGGCTCATATAGCTGTGTCTGCCTAGTATAGCTGTATCTGGGTCATATAGCTGTATCTGCTTAGTATAGCTGTATCTGGCTCATATAGCTGTGTCTGCCTAGTAGAGCTGTATCTGGCTCATATAGCTGTGTCTGCCTAGTATAGCTATCTGTCTAGTATAGCTGTGTCTGCCTAGTATAGCTGCATCTGTTTGATATGTAGCTGTCTCTGACTAATGTTATTGTTAAGACTGCTGCATCTATAGCTGTTTCTAGGTTTTATAGCTATACCCGGTTGCAATGCTTTATGTCACTAGAATCATTTCTGTTCTCATACAGTAAAACCTGTTTACAGTATATGGAACATTGTATACAGATGTATTTCTTACCAAGAGCGTTCATTACATGTAAATCAATGGAATTTTTCATTTTGAGAACTGTTCCATGTAGAGGTGTTCCATCTAACAGGTTTTACTGTACATTGAATATTATAGTAATTTGCTACCATATTTCACAAATATATAGTTAGTCCCTTCATATTTCCTAAAATAAAAACTAAATTTCTTCATATAAGGATTAGATCTAAAAGTATAAAAGCTTTTTAGTTATAGAATTAGCACATATAACTCAAACTACTTTATTAACAATAATTTTAGGTATTGTCTTTTTCACAGTTCTATCTATCACATTTCCTCATAGTGTTTTCCAATACTGTTTTTAGGTGTCTCGTTATCACATTTTTTATATTTTTATTTATTTATTCAATCCTAAACTCTTCATTTCAGGGTCTAAGGACCATTGCGATCTTCCCATCCTTGAGACGGCACCCGTTAATCTCCGTTTCTCCATGGGCCCTGATGCTGAATTGTTAGCCCCCACAGCAGGGGAACGTGGGTTCATCCATGTGCAAGCAAATGACCTTGACCTTAACCTAAACATGTCAAGTGTTACAAGTCTAACTGACTTGATAGAGGATGAGAAACTAGCAGATGCTGTTCCTATGCTGGTTGAACTTATTCAGACTGCTGTGCATTTAAAGGTAGGTTTAGGGGACATCTCATATGTTCTACAATATACTCCATGCATTCAGTGATTTAATCCTATGTCTACCAAATCATATACTCATTAAAAATGAGTCAGCTTGAACAAAAGCCAACTTTAGCAATATTGTCTCTAGCTTGCATTACATGTACTATACAGTAAAACCTGTTTTAGTGAACACCTCTCTATAGTGAACACATGTCTCTAGTGGACACCCTTCCTCCGCACATACTCTACTGACATCTGTATGAATTACCCTCTCTGTAGTGAGCATCTACCAACACTGTTCAATATACACAGGTTTTACTGTATATGGAATCAATAAAAAGTTTTTAAAAAGAAAATAATACATATTATATATAATTGTTTACTCTGCAGGAGGACAAACCACCCACCAACATAACATCCCCTGGTGCTATCCCCTTAGACTTCAATGTGAGCAAGGCTGTCATCCGCAGAACACAAGATGGGGCATTCCACCTATTAGGTAAGACTCAATACAGGGGTGACCCTGAAAATCAATACAAGGGGGAGGGGGCTAAAAAATTATGATGCCAAGTAGTGCAAGTTTGTCATATCAATTGCGCGATTTATGTTGGGAGTAGTAAATCTGGGTCCCAATTCTTCCTCCGGTGTTCACCTTAAGAGGGGAGGAAGGCATTATTTCCATTATAACATTTATATGCAAGTCTTTGCATGAGAACAATATTTTATTTAATTGAGATTTAGTGATACAGCAGTCAATTTAACGTCGTTGCATACTAATAATTTGTACATTGTACAATGTATTTGTTATTATACTCTTGTTACATTGTATTGTATAAACATTCTAGGTGATACACACACAATTCCTGCAACTAGGAAAGACCTCTCATTTGAAGATAGACTCTCCGATGGTGATGTTACAGTGGCAACCTTAAAACGATCCCCAAGCAGGGAAGATACATTCTCGGGATTTGAAGAGACATTAACTCGCCAGAACTCTGCTACTGAATCTTCACTGTCACAATTGACTTCCCAGAATGAACAATTGACCAATCAGCTTGCCTCATCTAAAGTAATCCAGCAGAGTATAGAGCGAGAGAATGAACTATTAAGGAAAAGATTATGTGAAGCAGAGAGTGAATGTGTTGAACAAAGTAGTAACTCATTGAACGAAGAATGGGGAATCGTAACAGAACAAGATGTAATAAGTGCCAAAAATCTAGATACAGCTGACAAAAATATAGAAAAAATTATCTCTGAAAATACTGAGCTTAAGAAAATGTTGGAAAAATTTACACAATTAGATCAAATCAAGCGACTCAAGGAATTACAGGGGGAGAATGCTCAATTGAAAGAACAGCTGAAAGACTATGCTAAACTGTCAGATGAACGAGATAAACTTTTAGTGGAAGTCACAACATCTCATAGTGACGCAGATGCATGGAAACAAGAGCGGGAATCACTCATGCAAACTTTACGACTCCTACAGGAAGAACTAATAGCTTCAGAGAAAATGAGGTTTCCAAATAGTTGAAAAATGTAGTATTCATAAATGAGGGGTGGTCAATATCTATGTGAGTCAGTGTCTAAAACATTTTGAATGGTCCGTGTACAGTGTATGAGCAGTTCTGGGATGTGTTTACAATGTGTTATGTAGCTAGCAATAGAAATAATTTATATAGAAAGATGGCGTTGCAATCAATCTGTTAAAACATGAAGCATATGAACTACACTTCTGCCATCTTTATTTGGGCCTAAAATCTATGATTAAACCATTGTTCATTCCTCTCATGTCACCACAGCGTATGCTAAATAGAGTCAGGTATGAAATGAGTCAGGCCGATTTATGCTTGGTCTACAGAATTATAGTACTCATTCAGTGATAAGTTATGAAATAATGATCTATTTCAACTTACAAAATGTTTTTACTACATGTACTAAGTAACCATATTTGAGATTGTTACAACTTGAGATATACAGGGTGTCCATAAAGTCTCTTTATACTTTACACAGACTTTGTATTGTAATTATAAAGAGACTTTATATAGACACCCTGAATATTCCTATTTAGGGATTGTACCAAAACATTGATTTATGTCAAAACACAAGGTTAAAATCCTTTTTGATTTGTCCCCTCCATCCCTTAAAACCAAAGGATGATTTTCGGTTTGGAGAACCAAGACATTTTCGGTTTGGAGAACCAAATACATCTGCATATTTCAACGTTATCAATGTCGCCAAAGATTTTCATTTTTATAGATTTAAATATTCCCATAAAAATATTTTTTATGAAAAAATTTAAAATATTACCATCATTAAAATTAAAGCATACAAAAGAGGATATTTAATTCTACAATACGTAAAAATATGAAAATCTTTGGCAACATTGATAACGTCAAAATATGCAGATAAATTTGGTTCTCCAAACCGAAAATCATCCTTTAACATTAATTTCCTAGACAACTTGATAAGAATTCATTAATCAATGTTGTCAATCAAATAAAACGTCATAGCCTATTGCCCCTCCCACCTAGGGTCATATAAAATTATCTATGTCATTTTTTGCAATGCAAATTATGGGGGGGGGGTGGAAAAGCCATTGATACTGCTGGTTATACATCTGTGTTTTGCTGCAATCTTTACAAAAAGTATGTTACATTTAGAGAATCTTTGCAGGATTGAATTCCAACCAATCAAAATGTCAAAATTAAATTTTTATTCTTTAATCACTACTTTCCATTCAGTTACAAATATGGAGCTTTTTTGAAACGGATCAAAAGCCTCAGTAATTTCTTCTAACGTTCACTTCAGAGTATTTGTTATTTGCTGGATAAGAGGGAGGGGGGTTGTTTGTTACCATGTATGTTGTGATCTTATATACGACAATATGTATTCACTTATAACAACTATACAATTGTTGAGTTTAGTAGATAGTATATTTTAGAATTAAAAATGACAAGTAAATATTTATATGTGTTTTGTATTAATCAAACAACGATCTTTGGACTAGTAACGGTACATGTAACAGGTTAACACTATGAATGCCAAGGAGGATTGGATCCCAGGCTTCCAACTCAATATTCTGCCATATATGGAGATGTTGTGATTACAAAATTCGAATTCAAATAGCCGCCATTTTGTTCACTTCAAAATATGAATAGTCAGTTATAATTTCAGAACATAACAACATTCTCATTTGTGTAAAATATTGAGTTGCGTCCCTTGGAGCCAATCTTCTTTGATAAAATTTAATGTACACTGTACAATAAGCCAAAGGCAATGTTTAATACACCAGTCTTTTTTACCAAAACCTTTGTGGATGAAGTCTGAACTCAAATTTGTTCTCCAAAAGTCGGCAATTATGGACAGAAAATTCAAATTGTTTTCTTATGTATTCGCAAAGGATTGTGGGTATTTTAAGGGTGGTAAATAAAAGTGTTCAACTTCCCGCAGAAAGGTATTCAACTTGGTGGGTTTTGTTGGGGTGCTCTCTGGCCTCGCTAGGCTTTTTTGGCTGAGTACCCTGTATTATGAACATGTATAATGGACATGTATACTAGATGGGTTGATAAGGGTAAAACATTATAATGTTCATCTGATTGCAATAGTTTAATAATGAGGCCTTAAACAGTATATTGGAATATGCAGGGGAAAGTCTTAAATGTATTGAAAATATTATTTGTTTGATTATTAATATAGACTTATATAGCAGTGTTTTTATATCTTATCCTATAATACACATTTTTTAAAAATCCATAACCTATACACATTTTTTAAAAATCCATAACCAATCGTTAACTTGCACCATCTATAGACTTTGATACAAACCTTCTTTTCCATAAATGTCAAAAATTACACAGTAACTAAACATCTCAGCTTCTCCCACCTATTATGTCACCACCAATGGTCTTCAACATTTTTGTGACGGCAGTTGGTGTTCAGAGTTCGCTGTCCGTAAGAAATGGCAGGTGGTGACATTTGCATGTTAATGCCTTCTTTAACTTTTATTATGATTTACTTGCAGATACACTTATTTTGACGCGCTACTTAATTTGACGGATTTGCTCAATTTCAAATATTGGTTTGAAATAAGTTTAATTTTTGTAGATGTTTATGGTGTTCACTAAGATATTTTCTGTATTTCTTTTGAAATAATGTAGAATTGATGACATGTTGACAGGAAAGGGGGTCCCTGTAGTTAATTTCTGAAGTGTATTGGACAAAAATTCCAAACTGAAATTTAACAGATTTTTAATTTTGGCAGATTTTCTGAATCCGCCAATCTGTCAAATTAAAACGGGAGCCAAATTAAGTGTATCTACAGTACTCTGATTGCATTAATCTGTTTTATCTTTTCCAACTGCTCTCATTTTATTTTTATTTATACTATAGATATTTCTGTTTCACTACCAATATTATATATCAATAATCAGGACTGAGAAAAAATAAGATACAATGGTTCATTGTGATGACTATATATGGCTATTTGAATACAGACTTTGCTGACTGGTCTAGCTAGAAACAAGATTTTTTTCTTGGCTTAATTGGACCCCGCACATATTCATGGTAATATTTGTCATTTCCTTTTAATCATGCTTTTTTAAAATTGAGGAAATAGCAAAAATATATGTTCATGGTAATATTTGTCATTTCCTTCGAATTATGCTTTCTAAAAATTCAGGAAATAGCAAAAAAAAACAAATTACACTTTCTCTTCAATATCTATACTAAATATGCCAAATGTGATTAGGCTTTCAGATTCATTCCCAAAACAAAAAAGTTAGGCTTACAATCACATCCATTTTAAAAGGGATGGACAATTCTCTTTTCCAGAAACTATAGCGGCTTTCCACTTTACAGGTTTTACTATAAATTAATCGTAATTAATATACAGTGAAACCTGTAAAGTGGAACGCCTCTAAAAGAGTGGAACACTTTGCAAAGTCCCAAGACTAACTAACTTATTGTTAATGAACCTTTTTTAAGTACAAGTAGAACACCTTCCAAGTGGAACACTTTTTAGAGGTTCCACTTGGAAATATTTTACTGTATTAACATGTGCAGGGCATGAGCTAAAGACTTGCCTGCTGACCATGTACAATTTTGTATCTTTCTTATTCTCATCCTCATCAAAATAACAGGCAAGTGGTCCACATGTGAATCATAAGACTCGGAGACAATGACAAGTGACACGTTTTAATTTAAACCCCACATATGCATCTTCTGTATTGTTCTTTAGCATTTTAGATTTTTTGTAGCTGACGCAATATTTTTGTGCAATACTTCAGTTGAGATTAAATTTGAACAAGCTTCTCATTATTATCATTATGAAATCACAAATGCAAAAATGTATGAAATCACAATGAAATAAAACAAAGAAGGCTGTTGAAAATGTATTCATTGTTTTAGGATGCATATGTATCATATATTACTGATAGGATATATGTTAAGAAAATACTGGATGTATATAAAAACTAATATGTGATAACCTTAAATATGTAATAATAATTTTTGAATTATGTAATAATTGGAAATGCATTAAAATGTTCCATATTTTATAATAAAATATGCGTAATATTGTATTTTGTTAATTACTTGTTGTTTGGATATTATAATAACCCTAAATAGTGTTGTACATCTCCTCATATGTATAAAACAAATACAGTAAAACCTATCTAGGTGGCACACCTTGGTTAGTTGGTATGTGGACTCTGAAAAGTGTTCCACTTTACAGGTTTTACTTTAATGTTTAAAAGGCATAATTTCTCCTTTCAAAGAAATATAAAAACATGTTTCAAACAGAAGCGTTTTTTGCCACCTCCAAGAAATGGAGACATACGTGTATTGCCATAGCTAGTATTTTTATAGCATCCCTCGGGGCTATATTGTGATTAGTTTTTTTTCATTATTGACCAGCATCCAGTGTACTATTAATGTTACAAACTGTAATACCTTTTCAAAGTCTTTTGTAACCACTTGCAATGACTTACCAGGAAGTTTTGTCATTTGATATGTTACACTCTCACATGTATTAACCTCAAAATTTCCCATCTAGGTTCTAGAGAAAATCTACCCGACCTAGAAATCACATTTTCAAAAAAAGAATTGAAATGGATCAACAATTATTACTACCATATCAGTGGCCTAGCCTGGATCTCAGTTTAGGCAAGGCCTAAAGTAGTTGAATAAAAGCCTATGGTTTATGTATGCATAAACGATTTCATTTTAAACTTGCAAACAGAGTCTGTTTACATTTCTTAAAAACCACAAGGCTCTATTCGGTTGATCAAGCTGATGTCATTCTGCACTTTTAGTTTCGTTCACCAGCAGCTGTAGTTTCATTTCATGCAGTATATTGTACTTCTGTCTAGAAATTCCATCAAAATACAACAAAAAAGCTTATGTGGATTGAGATCAAGTAATTAAGTGAAGCATGGAAGTACTTATGCGATATTTCTTCGGAAAACTGCTTTACATAATATTGTTCATGAATGTGACAATATGTTACAGTTTCAACGTCACATTGAATAGAAGTGACATACAGGAACATATAGCGTGCTGTAATGTCTGTAGATGCGAAGATACTGAAGTGTTTTGCGACGGAGTTGCATTACGAACGCTTCCATTAGATTGCCCACAAAATACGACCCTACTTAGTCTGGCAGGTTGTGGAATAAATGAACTTAAAGATGGAGATCTTGGACAGAACTACAAACATTTGCAATCGCTGAACATTTCTGGTAATCGCATTAACATGAAACGCAAAACATTTGATGGGTTACAAAAGCTACAAGTATTAAATATAGGAACAAATGTGTACTCAATCAAAGATCTCCATCCATTAGTGTTCCAGATGATTCCGAATATTAAATACATAGAATGGACAAGCTTGGGTGATCGCACACTTGAAAGAGGCGTAGAAACTGTTATGAACACATTTCAAGGACTGGAAAATTCTTCGATTGAAACTATCATTCTGAAAAACATGAATCAATATCCATTTTTTCTCAAAAAGTCTCATCTCAAATATTTGAGGAATTCACCTATAAAACAACTTGTTTTATATAGATTTTATCTGACGGAATTTGATGTTGGTATATTCCAATACATACCACACATAGAGGAAATTGACTTTTCAATGAACAATCTGCAAATGCCTGAACTAGTTCCAAGTCTGGTTCCATATTTATTTTTCAAGCTAACCAAACTGAAAGGAATCACAGCAACAGACAATCTTAAGAGAAAGAGTCCAAGATTAGTTGAGCTTCTCACAAAGGAACAAGCAAAAACAGTTTACCCATTTCCTAAAACCATTGAATTCATCGATATATCGAGATCAGTATGTTCTGTTACTTCATATCTTGTGCCATATGGGATAAAATTTCAAAGTAATAATCGATTGAAGAAGGTAAACTTTTCCAACGTAAAGCTATTTCGGAAAGTTAGCGGTAAGATCCTTGGATTTGTACAGTTGAAAGAAGCGAACCTACAAGGAGGTGAATGCGAAATCCAATCATCAGTTTGGTCCTGTGAAAAAGGAGCATTTGAATCGCTTGAAATTCTTAACATTGCCCGTAATTACATTAAGTGGGCATCTACTATGAATAAAATAGAAGGAACATTCATAAATTGTACCAGGCTACGTATCCTTGATATGTCTTACAACAGTATTGATCACGTTCCTTCTAAATTGCTAAAAGATGCAGTTAAATTAAGAAGTTTGAACCTCAGTGGGAATAATCTAAACACACTCAATTTCGAGTTACATGGTTTGACTTCTCTTAAGATGCTTAATGTATCCAACAATAAATTAGAAACACTACCAAAGCGTATGCAACAAGAGATCAATATTATAAACACTAATCAGAGCCTTGTAATTGACATTGGAGGTAATCCCCTAGTCTGTGGTTGTCACTCGTTTGAGTTCATTTACTGGATGCAAAAGAACAGAAAGAGCATACACCAATGGGAGAACTTACAGTGCAAATATCACAATGACAAATTGGTCCATATGCACACGGTAAACATACTCACATTGAAACTGTCTTGTTGGCGCAATGTGATCATTGCTGGAACAGTACCAAGTGGAGTGATTCTTTTGACAATGTTTGTTGTGATTCTGTCCTATAAACGTCGATACAAGCTGCAGTACTTGTACCTCCAACTAAGAGCCGCCATAAGGTATCATGGAAAGAAGAATTTGGACCAGGAATATAATTTTGATGGATTTATTAGCTACAGCTCCCTTGATAAAACCTGGGGGCAAAAAACACTGTATGCAAAGCTAGTAGGTGTCTATAACTATAGAATATGTATCGATGATCACAACTTTAGACCAGGGGGTTATATCTCGGATATCATCCTTGATGCCATCAACAGAAGTAAAAAAGTTATTCTGATCATAAGTCAGAATTTTCTCCGTAGTCGTTGGTGTGCTTATGAAATGAATCTTGCGAGGGGTGAATTAGCCAATCGAGGCCGAGACTGCCTGATATTAATTCTGAAAGAGCCGATTTCTGTTTTTCCGCCAGAGCTGATCAGCCCTACACTAAGATCTCTCCTGGATACTCGTGTTTACCTGGAATGGAGCGAGGATGCCGACAAGAAGGCAGTGTTTTGGAGAAAGCTGTGTGATGCCCTAGGTGAGCCTAGACCGCAACAAACAGATGTCCAGCATATAGTTAGTCCCTTTCTCACAGCTCAGACTGCAGAAGATGAACAAATGATCCAAAACTTTGTGGCACAAGGTCATATTGACAATGATGAAAGACCACTTCTGTAGTGTCTTTGTATAACAGTTGAAGTGGATCCTAGACTATGATGTATTTGATAAGCTTTAATGACATCAAATCCAGTTGACGTGGTATGATAAATAACGGGTTCGATATTTTAATCACAACCTTATTCAGATACTGTACTGTATATAAAAAAAGCAAGTATTTTATTAAAACTTATTGTACACCATGTACCTATACTCATTGATATTTTATTTAAAAAATGGCAATTACAAAATGGTTTGCAGGTACTCATGGAATTCTCAATATTGTTTTTTCATGTTATTAATTTATTTCTAATATAAACAATAACAATCGATTTCAATTAGCTAATTGCCAATATCTGGATGGAATAGATGGAACTAAGTCAATTGTTTCACATCATACATTATTAAGCGTAATTTCTCCTTTCTCAGACAAGGTATTGGATATGCCAAAGGTAAAAGACCAAAAATTGTTACAGAGCAAAGTACAAAATGTACAACAAGGGTACACCATTTATAAGGAAAACAAACCCCAACTAACCAAAACCATGATCTAATTAAACAATGTCCAACATCCCCCCACCCCCACCATTCAAGTTCCATTATCATAATCCATAACACCAATGAACATTTCATTCATACTAAATTAATTACAATACAAGTTGAAGTATTAACAGAAACTGATAACCAATATGCAGTAGCTGTAGATGGATATTTCAAAACCTCAGTCATGCTACTCAATGACGAACTTAGTCAAGTTTAACAATATTTTTTTTGGAGATTTTTAAAATAATATACTCTTAGTTTGGGAAATGATACAGATACATTCTCTTTAAATAAGCTGTTTAGCTCAAATAATATTATAATTTATCCCTTATACAATGTAATGTGGGGAATTTTCTCAAACCTGGATGAAATGTAATAAAATGTTATACCATATAAATCAGATAATTATTTAGTTTATCTGAATTTCTATAATTATTTTGTTTTTAATGTAATGTATATAAAAGGGAGATATAGGTTAACCATGACCAAAACTTTCATCTCCGATATCCTTACATTTAGAATTGCACCATATTTGAAGCATTGAAGTTTCAAATGTCAATGCTGTCAACTTTACATAACAAGCTTTGAGTTCTAAACTGATTATTTATTCATGACGTCATCCAATCTATCAATTACACTGTACAAAATGATTACACAGTACATCAACTATTCCCGGGGACACTCTCACCTGTATGGAGCATATACATATATTATATCAATAATATGACAAATGCTAACTCCTCAAATATTATTACACCATGCGATGTTCTTGAGTCTTACTTCAGTTGCTCTACTTGCCATTTGCTAAATTGCATTATAGACTTACTCTTTCAGGGATGCTTCCCAGTAGAGATATAGTGTACACTAGAATTTTGACTGAGAGAGGCAAAGTCAAGATCTTAGATTAGGCGAGGCAAAAGAAATAGTCAAAGCAAAAAATAATAGGCGAGGAGACAAAAGGCTAAAGGTACATCGGAATCTACTCCTCTTGACTCCATTTCAAATGGCCTTACAGTAGTAATGAGATGTATCAAATAGGGAGAATATAGGGTTCCATATTTTATAGAATTGGATTTGGAAAAAAATGCCGGGCATGGCATACATACATAGTAATAAATTTTATGCTGGGCCTAAATGAATTGTCCAAATTCAATTCTGTAAAAGATGGAACCCTATTATTCTCTCTATTTGATACATCTCATTACAATTGTAAGGCTGTTTTAATCAATACAAGTAGTTTTATTTTAAAAAAAGGCAGCTGAAAAAAATATTTGTGTTTAGTGAGGCCAATGTATTCTAAAATGTTCAACAGTTCTGCCTTTAATTCTCCCATTCAAAATTTAGCAGACAATAGTAATATGTCTGTAACTTCTATGTTTGATATCAGATCTCAAATAAAGTAACATCTGCTGAACTAGCTTAGCACCTGCATCATAGAATTATTTGATAAATACCAATTGAAACCAATGTATTTAAAGCACAAACATCAATTAAATGCCTTTCATGTAAATGAAAGTATTTTAGGATATACCAGTATACTGTAAGGGCACTAAGGGCCCATCTCAAAAATTTACAAATCAAGCTTTTTATAAATATTCAGCTAGAAAGTCTTTTAATCACTATCAGTACTGGAATCTGATTCAAGATTTATATATACATGTCCAGTATATATGATGACAGGGCCCATTTCCTCAATTTTGATTGTCAACTTTCCAGGAATGGTCTTCTTTATTTGGTGGGATTTGCCAATCAGTTGAATGCTGTTTTTGTTGTACAAATAACTTACATTGTATAACTACATTTGCATATAACTTATGTTGATTACAAAATACGTGGAAAATCTTGATTGTGTAATATGTTTAAAACTTTGTTTTCTAGCTTTATAATTACAACTGAGGAAAAAAACATACTACAGTACTTGTATATTGAATCATAAATTCATTTGGGAGAGAGGTATTCCATCAGCAACATATTGTTCTTTATGTATAAATATTAACACAAATTATTCAAGTGAAAAACAAATTACGATTTTAAAATTTGGTTATATGAGGGATGAGGGCTATCCATAATAAAATAACTTTATTTTTCCACAACTGTTGAGAATTTGACATCATCCCTGTTAGTAACCCTTAAGTGTACTGTTTGAGACATTCATTATGGTTTTTGACCTCCATATGGGTCTTATTATTATGGTATGTCACACTCAAGTGAGTTGGCTCAAACAACTGAACATTTTAGCCACACAATCTGACTGTTAAACCTGCGGAAACGGAAAAACCAATATGATTAAACACGGCTGTATAAATTTTGATCTCCTGGCTGAATAACTCCCTGTGTACAACAACATAACAGTCGCTGATTCCACATGGTAGTGTGTAAACTGGATTGAAGTGTAAACTGGATTGAAAAGTAAACAATTTATTATGATGAGGATAATGCTAAAGAAAATGAAACACTTTTTCTTCCTGAGTTTTGGATTGCTTTTGGTCTACAATCTTTATAAGTTGAATGAATCATCAAAGATGGGTGAATATAAAAAAGAAACATTTTCAAAATGGAACATTGTTTCAAGAACTAAACTAGAATTTAGAAAGGAATTCATAGGAATCCCCAGGCAGCTGAAAAATATATCAAAGCTAATGGCTTTAAAAGATGACATTATGCCTATTACAAACAACAAAGAAGTGAAAGATGATGTTAAAACCAAAGATGACATTACAGCTTTTATAAACAACAAAGAAGTGAGAGATGATGTTAAAACCAAAGATGACATTACAGCTTTTATAAACAACAAAGAAGTGAAAGATGATGTTAAAACCAAAGATGACATTACAGCTTTTACAAACAACAAAACCAAAGATGAAATTATAGCTTTTATAAACAACAAAAAAGAAGTGAGAGATGATGTTAAAATCAAAAAGGATAAAAATTATATTGTGACAAACACGGACCAAAGTGAAGGATTTTTAGTTAAAACACCAGGGTGTTCGATCCCAGACATCGATCCTTGGGATCACACAATTCAACATTTCATTAATAAAAATAAGAGACTAGATTGTGATACAAATCCTAGTATTACCTATACAAGTGGGAATATTTTGAAAATTAACCACAATATAGTTCAGAGTCATTATCCCAACTTCAGCCATTGTGGCTACAGAGGCATTTACAGAGTTAAGGGAGAGGATAATGCATATACAATGGATGCGCAGCAAACTAAATTCAAGCAAGATGTTCATCTCAAGGTTGAATATATTAAAGTTAAATGTTATGACCGCAATGGGAAAACAATTTACAAAAATTTTCATGCAGTTGTTTTTGAAAAGCAGCAAGTTGAAGATGAGTGTAAGAGAAATACAGTTGAAAGAAATGAAAAACTTAATATAGTTTTATTAGGGGTGGATTCAGTCTCAAGATTAAACTTCATGCGACTAATGCCAAAAACCAGGAGATTCATTGAGGAGGAACTTAATGGATTTGAACTTACAGGATACAATAAGGTGGGAGACAACACATTTCCTAATCTTGTGCCTTTATTATCTGGTAAATTTGCTGCAGATTTACCCTGGAACAGTGCAACTGATCGTGGTAAACCTTTTGATGAATTTAAGTTTATCTGGAATGAAGCTGCCAAAAAGGGATATAGGACACTATTTGCAGAAGATGCCCCTAAGTGGGCATTATTTAATTATCTTAAGGGAGGATTTCATAAGCAGCCAACTGATTATTATTCTCGTCCATTTCATATTGCATTAGAACTAGAAGAATCTGTTTGGCAAAAGGCTCATTGTGTTGGCGATCGTCATGAATCTGAAATTACGCTCAATTATTTATATGATTACATGGATACCTTTAAGGATCGACCACACTTTGCATTCACATTCAACTCCCGACTGACACACGAAGACATCAGTTTAACAGGAGTAGCAGATAACATTTACCTAAAATTCCTGAAGAGAGTAAAGAACTGCGGGAATCTCAATAACTCTGTCGTAGTGTTTTATAGTGACCATGGTATACGCTATGGAGATATGAGGCAAACAAAAATAGGAAAACTTGAAGAAAAACTTCCTTTTATTTATTGGATTTTCCCGAAATGGTTTTCAGAAAATCACCCAGAATTTGTTCATAATCTAAGAATAAATAAGCATCGACTGACAACTCCATTTGATGTGCATGAAACACTTCAAAATATCTTAACTGATGGCCCCTTGGAATCATTTACTTCTGACCCGAACAAAAAAGGAATGAGTTTATTCAAGGTTATACCTGAAACTAGAACATGTGAAGATGTGGGAATTTTACCCCATTGGTGTACATGTCAAAACATGAAACCTATCAGTACAAAGGACACCACAGTGAAACAGGTTGCTAATTTCACAATTAGCTCTATAAATAAACATTTATCTCATCTTCAAAATTCCGATTTATGTGCAATTCTTTCATTGGATAAAATAACCAAAGCTGAAATGTATGTTTCAACAAAAGATATTCTGAAAATCAAATCAGCAGATGGTTTTGATTCTGATAAAACAGAGATGGAGAAAGCTAGTACTCCAATTGAATACTATCAAATAGAGTTTGTAGCATCTCCAGGAAATGGGGTATTTGAGGCAACTGTCCGTTATAGTAACGATGACAAAATCTTTGATATTCCAGGACCGATTAGTCGACTTAATCGTTATGGTCACCAGAGTGCTTGCATCAAAAATCTAGCACTCGAGAAATTTTGTTATTGTAACAATAAACACCATAAACACCACAGACTTCTGGACCCTTCCTAGCTAGTTAAATTTCATACATTATCTAAGGTAGCATTCACAAATTCAATTGCCGGCTAAAAAATAATAAAAGACCATATATTTATTAATGTAAATATAGTTTGTTGGCACTTAATCCTTTGAACGATCTGACTTGTGTCTTGCACCAAGCATCTGTGTGCCCCCTCAGAATTTTTCATTTGGAAAAATAGAGGGGGGTGACCAGAGTCTTAATATTGACTGCTACTCTGTGCTTTATTGAATATAATTACTGCATGACCTTGTGAGTGTTACGCAAAATCGCACATCTGGACAGAATGAACTTGAAATTGATTGTGTTTAAAATTCCCGCATTATCTAAAATGCAAAATTTGTTCATTTATTGTTGATTCCGTCATAGACTGTTTTGCTCATTGTTTTGCCCCTGACAACAACTACTGCCAAAAGATACTTTAGTGCAATGATACCCTTTACATGTATATTAAAACATATCTGCGTTCTGGAATGACAACGGGCAGATTTAACGATACGCCCCTGTATGACTTTACATTTTGGTCCTTTTAATATGTCACCTTTGTGTTGTTGTATAATCATTTATTGAATACACATGGAAAAAATAACCATTCAAGAATTACTGAGAAAAAATCTGTATTTGTTCAGTATTTGATGAAACACGGGTCGAACGCAAAACATTCCACTTTAGTTGATTTATATCCTTTTCAACCTTTGCATATGGGTTTTGCATTTCAATAAATTAATTGAGGTTTAAAGGAAGGGCATCACAAAAAGGTTCACCTTAAGGCACACATTCTATTATATGGTGAATGAAAATACAAGCCAAACATGCTTTAGTACATTATTATGGATATAAAAATATGGTCAAAAGTTCAATTGATTAAACTGTTAAAGGCTCTGTGTAAAGTTTGAAAATATAATTTTATTTTATATTCTATTTTATAATTTTATCATTACTTTTCATGATGTGAAACATTTCTACTCCATTGAATAGATCAGCCAAAAGTCATATTATTTAAATCTATTTAATGCATATATAAACTTTAAGTGGCAAAATATTTTTTCTAAAATTGGCAGTTGTATATTTTTGAATATGCTAAACCTTCGAGGTAAAGCAATATTGTTTGACTATCTAGGTTGAAAATAAGTTTTTATCATGTTTAAAATATGTATGTACCATTTGATTATATGAGAACTTAAATTTTAAATTGCTTTTTCTCTGAAACACTTTTCTTCATTTTATGAATTAATTTCTTGCTTAATTTTCAACCAATTTCTTAATTTTTTCAACACAAGTAAAATTTATATTTGAAATAAATTCAAAATTCAAGTCCTTCAAAATAAAATTTTTAAAATTAAAATGAGAAGTTTCACAAATCACATTTTCACGGGGGTAAAGCAGACCCGATGATGCAATGAGCTTGCTCGGCGGTATCATGACTGTGTAACGGGTCTTAATGTATAATTGTGCTCGGCGGTAGGTTCAAACAACGCGGATCCACTAGGACTATAATATAAGTCATAAGTGGTTTAAACTTTATATGGAGCCTAGGGGGATGGAGGGGGGGGGGTGCATTACAGACATGTGTGAAGGGATTGTTAATTTATTGCCCATACCTTGGTGGGTTTCCACCACCCACCCACCACGAAGGATCTGATTTCAATTTTTGATTTCCCTTGCATGATTATTGCTAGAAACTATTCACCCCAGATTTTTATCAGATACATCTGTAAAAATATATTCAATTTTTGATGGCTCTCGACTTCAGGCTAAAATACTAAATACAGTCACAATTAGCCATTCAAAATTTCTCTTCAAATCCCATAGATTCATACACAATTCACAAAAGGTAATGTTTCAAATTCAATCAAATCTTCCTTATTCAATGATCATGTTTGAACACAATCTATTGCACTATATTCCACATTCATCTGTCACATATAACCAGTCTCAGCTTTTTCAATTTCCACTAACATATCTTCCAACCAATGAACAGCGTTCTCCAAGTACTCATGAGGATATTGGGCGTTAACTGCTTGAAATATGTCCAATAACTTCTTGTATCTTGTCTTTATATCAAACTTACAAACTTTGTGTAGTTTTCTTAGACAGACTGGACAGAGGAATATCGGTTGTCTCAGCGCTTGGACCATCGATGTACTCTCATTCATTGAGCAATGAAAATGGACACAATGTCTTTGACCAAATATGTGGCAAGTCTCATGGCTTAGGACCTGAAAAAAAGATTTAATTCATTATATTTGTTTGATATTGTTCTAACATATTGTGATGATTTTATTACAAATCAAAATCATTAATCACCCCTATGTCAATCTTCCATGTACATCTACTATAAATTGCTTTTTGGAGGCCATTTTAAATTGGTGGATTCGGCTGATAGATAAAAACCGCAAAATTAAGTCTCCGCCAATTTTTGAAAATAAAATTCCCAGAAATTTCCGTCCTAAATGCGTGCACAATAATTATGTGATTACGTCAGAGAAAATGACTATCAGTGATCTCCCCAGCATTAAAGCAAGTGGGCACAGCATCCACCTGAGATTTTAAAAATAGGCTTGCACCCACCTGAAAATCCATTTGCACCCACTTGAAAATGAGTAAAATCATAAAAAATGGGCATAAGAGTACATTTAAATCTACATACGTAAAAATATGAAAATTTTTGGTGACATTGGTAATGTTGAAATATGCAGATGAATTTGGTTCTCCAAACTGAAAATCGTCTTTGGTTCTCCAAACCCAAAATCGTCCATTCACAGAATTTTCTTTCAGCAATGAATACCCATATACAAGTATGGACATGAGAAACCTATAAAGTGGAACACCTCTAGAAGTGGAACACATTTAGAGGTACCAAATGTTTTATTGTATTACAAATACGGGTCATAAAAGATTGTAACACAATATCCCTTCAACAAACAAACAAACAATCAAACAAAAAAAAACAACAGACCTTTAACATCTTCCAGATGAGAAAACCATCAAATCTTTCAATCTCTGGTGGTGGAACTCCATCTTTGTAGCTCTTGGGTTCGTACCGTCCAAAGCTAAACGCTCCTGCATATTCAGGCATGCTAGCCTCCCCCAGGACAAAATTCAGCTCAGGGGTGGGGTAGAGATCTGTCCAAGTTAGTCCGAGCATACAAAATCCATCCTTTGGTCTTTGTTTAGAAAGATAAGCAATGACATCAGTCACAAGTTGCTGTTTTTGCCCAGTCGTTTTATGATTTCTACGAGTTATTTTCCAGTCATTTTGTACAGTGTCTAGCGTTGGGAGTAGCTGAACTTCAAATCCATCGAAAAATACACTGGCAAATAGTTGAAGCAACTCAAAAAAGTTTAATGTCTTTTTATTTACATTAAATGTAGAGTTGTTAACGAAATCAGGAAAATCATCTAATGGTTGGAGATAGATAATCTTTCTTTTGCGCATCTTCCAAAAGTTGAAATTCAAGTCCATCATGGCTTTCCATTGGTGGAATGTTTGCTGATAAACAGGAGGTGGTATATCATCTAGCATTGTAAAATAAACATGACACTCTGATTTTTTATGGTTTCTTTCATCAATTTTGAGTCCTACTGATTTGTTAATAGTATTTGCACATTTACATTGATCAGCTTTAATATTGCTTGAGTCCGCTTTTTCCAGTTTATCATCTTCATTTTCAATAAGACCAGGATCAGTTTTTGATTCATATTGAGTAAGACCGTCATCTAGGAGTTTATACATTATTCTCTCATCTCTGTTTTTCAAGTTTATTTTCCCAAGCAGACGGATTATTTCCTTATGGCTTGGATCAGCTGGTTCAAAGCAAGACATGGTTGTAGAGAGCTATTAAAAGACCCCTTCAACGGCCCCTTAGAAGATTGTTAGCAGGTACGTAGAGGTGGAATCAAAAATACAAAATTGATCATTAAAAACAGGCCACATCTTCAGGGTTTTAACAGCCAGCCCTTTGCTTTGTTTACAGTCCAGATTTTTGAACATATGGGTACTTCCTCCCAGAAGCATCACATTCAATCTGAAAGAGATTTGTTGAAATTACAATGTAATATCACAATTATAAATGTGTCAATGATCTAAAAGATCTGAGAACCCATTTACATTCTTCATCCACTTGAAAAATAGACATATTTATTAGTGGCAACTCAATTAATCTAAATCATTTGATTTTTGTTTTCAACTCTGATTTTGACTCAAGTGTGACTTCAGCTCAGTTCTTTCACAAAAATTGTGTCAATAAACTTACATATAACTCAATAATTGCATACATTTTCCTTATTTATAACAGTATCTTGTCAAAACTTTTACTCCTAGCGTTATTGGACTTCAAACAGAAGTGAAGGTTACCTGCAAATGATATATCCATTGCATGGAATAAGCAATTTTCTTTGATGTAACGAATATGAGTTAAAACAAAATTTGTGAAGTATTCTTATTGTTTTTATAAAAAATAGCATGCTCCATCACAGCGGGCAAATCTTTTAAGGTACAGCTGGAAAGTAACATTTTGGTAAAAAATTGCTATACCTGCACATGTTAATTTCTGGTACAAAATAAAGTATGAAGGCATGTATCAATTTCCTTGCTTTCTTCAGGAAAGTATCATTACATTGTCTTCTTTTAGAATATCTGGTAGGCGTTCAAAGGGAACTCCAGGGAATTCTGATATTTCACACTTCCTGTTTTTCAAATTTTCTTTCAAAGTTTCCAGACAACACAGGAGCTACCATTGACCTGTTTCCAGGTTTACTAAAAGTAGACAGTGTAATGATACTTTCCTGAAAAAAGCAAGGAAATACACACATGCCTTCATACTTAATTATGTACCAGAAAATAACATGTGCAGGTATAGCAATTTTTTACCAAAATGTTACTTTCCAGCTGAACCTTAATACCAGCCTGTGGATAATAGAGTCTTAAAATTCTAAAACCATGAATTTGATAACCAAGCACATCTATAGAATTTTGATGAAGATTTTCAAATGTCAGTACTGTGGCCTGCATAGGAGACAGGTTACCTGAAAAGGAAGATAGATATCATTATCTCTTATCTAAACAAGGACTGAAACTGAGGCAAGTCTACCCTGGCTGAAATCAGCTCTGAAATAACAATTACTGCATGTCAAGCCGTCATTCAATGCTGATTTTGTAGAAAACAGATCTGTCCATCCTTCTACATGTGAGTTTTTCCCATAAAGATGCTTGATTAAGTAGAAATTCATCAAATTATACCCCTAGAATATCAAAGTTCAACTGTACATCAATCGCGTGAGGAAAAAAAACAAATCCATTCTTCACCTTCTGTTCACAAACCCTTCTTCTTCTTCTTGGAAAAGTTGTCCCTCATTTGACTAACAGCAAATGTGTATGTTTATGCAGCAATATATGTTAGTTTAGAAAATGATTAATTACAATCTTACCTGTACTTCACAGAAACATCCTAAGTATGAAAATATTTCACTAAAAATACATGCTTCCATTTTGTCACATGTTCATAATAATTTACATATTGACCATGTGATGTTGACAGGGAGTGTAAACGCACCTAGCGTACAGGAAATATGTTATGATATTTATTAAGAAATTAGGTATGGTAATCATTATTACTTATTGTATTAAGCCCCCAACCCACTTCACAAAGTTCATGAAGTACCAAGGAAAGACCAAATATTAAATAAATTAGAAAAATTTGAATTTCCAAAAAAATCAAGTGGGCGATAATAGAGTCTCTGAAACATTAAATTTTTCCTTCATTAACTTATTACATACATTATTTTTAGATAATACTGTAGATTGGGTTAATTTGGTGCCCGCTTTAATTTGGCGAATTTGGCGAAATTGAAAAATTCACCAATATAAATCTTCACCAAAATTTAGAATGAATCCCCGGGAATTATCTAGGGTATTTTGTCTAGTGTATTTAGGTCACTTCCAGTTTAGTTTTTTCCAAAAATATGAAAAAATGTCTCTCATAAATTGGCTCAGAACTGGTCAGTCACTCATTAATACTCAGGGAAAAACTAGAAAGGAAAAGCGCGTTATAGTAGCAGCATTGATCGAGGTGCAAAATGTAAATGATCTCACAAAAATGTACAAACGTGGTGAATATCGCTAGTGGTCCTCAAAAGAAAAAATGAACATAGCCAAACATGCCCATTTACATGGTAATTCGTAAACAGGCCGTAAGTTTAACATTGCGTTAACATTTTTTTGGCATATCCGCCAAAATAAATAGCCGCCAATATGCCAAAAATGGCAAAATCGCCGAATTAAATAGCGCCAAATTAACCCAATCTACAGTATTAGTTTGATATGGTGTGGAAAGCACACAATGATAGATAATTATCGGGAGTATGCATTGAAAATTACAAAATATGTCACTTTTGCCATGTTTCAGAGGCTCTATTATCGCCCACTTGATTTTTTGGGAAATTCAAATTTTTCTAATTTATTTAATATTTGGTCTTTCCTTGGTACTTCATGAACTTTGTGAAGTGGGTTGGGGGCTTAATACAATAAGTAATAATGATTACCATACCTAATTTCTTAATAAATATCATAACATATTTCCTGTATGCTAGGTGCGTTTACACTCCCTGTCAACATCACATGGTCAATATGTAAATTATTATGAACATGTGACAAAATGGAAGCATGTATTTTTAGTGAAATATTTTCATACTTAGGATGTTTCTGTGAAGTACAGGTAAGATTGTAATTAATCATTTTCTAAACTAACATATATTGCTGCATAAACATACACATTTGCTGTTAGTCAAATGAGGGACAACTTTTCCAAGAAGAAGAAGAAGGGTTTGTGAACAGAAGGTGAAGAATGGATTTGTTTTTTTTTCCTCACGCGATTGATGTACAGTTGAACTTTGATATTCTAGGGGTATAATTTGATGAATTTCTACTTAATCAAGCATCTTTATGGGAAAAACTCACATGTAGAAGGATGGACAGATCTGTTTTCTACAAAATCAGCATTGAATGACGGCTTGACATGCAGTAATTGTTATTTCAGAGCTGATTTCAGCCAGGGTAGACTTGCCTCAGTTTCAGTTCTTGTTTAGATAAGAGATAATGATATCTATCTTCCTTTTCAGGTAACCTGTCTCCTATGGTGGCCTGTAGGCCTGGGCCTGTAGGGTCCACTGTGGTAGGGTCCATCTTTTCACAGAGATCTATTTACATATGGTTTGTATCATTTTAATGTTTATTCTCTCCGGAGATTATAAATGCTTTAAGACTCTAAAGTAAAAGGATGTAAATAGTTCTCTGTCACAGTCTGTGCAACTTTCTTTGCCCAAACTTTAGAAAATTAAATATTTTAGATTCCAGATCCCATAAAAATTGTATAAGTAATATTTTCTTGCATTCTGCCAATGAAGATTCATCCAGATATACTTACAAGATTGAAGATACAACTAAATTCAAAATTACTTATACATTCAAGTTGTAACTTGTGAAATTGTAACAGATTTGCAATGTTTTTTAAATTTTTAGAATTTTTTTGACACTTCCGCTTATAAAAATCAAACTCTATTGGGAAACGAAAATACTAATTAATTTTTGATTCTACTAAACTTTCATCGTTTTGTGACATTAAACACTTATTCAAAAATATTCAAAACTAAATATTTTTCTTTTAGTATTGATTTTTGATTGAAAATATATTATACTCTAATCGAGGATTATTCAATTGTAATAGATTTCGACTCCAAATACAGTTTATGAGTTTGACTTTTAGACCTTACCCTGTTGGAAACCAAAAACATTTTTCAGGTAACGTTCGACAAATGTTGGCTTTTTAGCACTTAACCTAAGCTTAACCCTGATATATCGTTATAAAAATGGAGTGTCGCGTTGTATGTATATTAACCAATTGCAAGGAGCTGGGCAGGATGCATCAGTATAGTCGTAGTGCCTACTAAGATTTTCGACATCTAAAAAGTCACTCGACTTTTTTGTGATTTTGAATCACAGAAAGCATTCTGAAGTTTCAAATTGGCGCCATGTTTAATTTTTTGCATCCGCCTAATGCACGGATAGTGGGAAGTTCTACTATTAGCTGATTATATACATCAGGTAATCAAACTAAAATTCCAACTCATTTCTACATGGCTATTGCGCATGCGTAGAGGGTGCATCTAGCGATCTGATTGGTCCATTTGCTAAATAAGGTGTAACGTCCCCTTTTTTACAAATTTTGCAATGGTCGTCTATTTGCAGTATTTTCTGGCCAGAATAGCATGATTGAGGTATGAATTATTTTTTACTATATATCATTTAGAGTGTTATCTTGGGTTTGTGTGACTGCCAAATGTGGATAATCATGATAAAGATGTGAATTATTTTTTTGAAAAATATCAATAATTATTTCCTGAAATTACCTTCATGACCTCTTGATCCTTGGCCTAATGTATACCACTTACCTTTTATTGATTCTTTCATAAGTTTCGTCATAAATGTACTGTCCTGAGGGTGGGAAATATGAAACCAGAACCTACCTATAATATGACTGATGCACAAAGTGGGAAGAACATGATATTAAAAAATAGCAGTGTGGAAAGAGATCTTGGTGTTAACATTGACTCAAATTTGAAATTCTCCGAACATGTTACAATAACTGCAAATAAAGCAAATAAAGTTTTAGGAGTAATAAAACGAAGCTACAAGTATATTGATGAGGACTCACTTAAGCTACTCTTCAATGGCCTTGTTCGTCCAATCTTGGAATATGGGAACTCAGTTTGGAGCCCACAGTATAAAAAAGACATTGAAGCCATTGAAAACATACAGAGGAGAGCAACAAGACTTTTACCAAACCTCAGGCAATTAACATACCCCGAAAGACTAGCCACACTTGACATGACAACATTAGCATTTAGAAGGTTACGAGGAGACATGATTGAGATGTACAAGATCATGAACAATTTCTACGACATCAACCCCAAGACTATCTTTCCCCAATTGAACAATATAACAAGACAACCAGCAAGAGGACATACAATGTACCTAAAAAGACAACACTGTAGACTTAACACGAGGCAGCATTTCTTTTCCAACAGAGTCATATCACCCTGGAACAAACTGCCTGAATATGTTATCCAAGCAAAAAGTGTTGACCAGTTCAAGAACAGGTTGGATGACCATTGGTACAGCCACCCACTGAAATTAGACTGGGAGCATAAGCCTTAACTGAATATATGCCAAAAATTGACTTGATGTGTATACGAAATACACACACCCATACAGGCAAAAGGCTACATAAGCCTACAAGCCGGTGTTTTTCTTATCTTATCTTATCTATCTTATAAACTCAGTTTGACCAGAAGTATCTTTGTTGCCGCTCGACTCCCCCAAAATGAGTGGTGTCAAACGCAAGATGGTAGAGATGCAGACATGTCGCCACTCTCAGAGAATCTATTCCATAATTTCAACATTACTACGCGGTTTTACAAGCGAAAAGCATAAGGGCAGGTTGTATATGATGAAAAAGATGAAAATAAATATTTTAAATAGATGACACCCCTTTCGAAATAAGATGAACTGAACCTATCACGTCACCGATTTCTTAGAAGAAATTACGTCAGAAAAACAAAAGCTCCGTAGAGAATTTTCGCTTGAAATGTTGAAAAGCAAGCCTAATTTTCTATGGGAATATACGGTAATTAATAGTTACGTGTACAATTTTACTGAGTTTGATGGTGCATAAGTGAGGCGGTTGATCATTTTGTAAGTACGACAATGTGAATTCATGCGACTGTTACTTTTTGGAAGGTTTTTTGCGAAAAAGTCGAGTGACTTTTTAGATGTTTTTTATTTTTTATGAATTTCTGAATCTCCTGAATTCATTCTACATCAAAAGCCACTATATTGTTGCCTTCGTCTTAAGATAAATCCCTACATGTTTTTTACTGAGCTGTATATGGGTCCTGTCGTAATCATAAAATTTGAAATAAAATCTTTGCCATTTTTCCACATCACAATTTGAATTGCGAGTTTTGGTCTTATTACCTCACCAAAAATTCCAAACATACATGAAGTGATGAATGTATTAGTTCACATCTTCTGGATCGCTAACTTAGAATTTACAGCCAGTTACTAATATCTGACGTTTACGACATTTCGTCCAGTTTTCGAATATCGCCATTTTTCTTAGAGCCGTTTGTTTTAATTTTAGACAAAATCCTGACAAAATCATGCAATATCTCATCAAGAAGCCTAGCCAGTTCCATTTTAATTCATGAAATTTTAACATGACAGTTTTTAGAATATTACTTAAAATTTATTGAACCCCAACTAGAAATTTTACAATAGTTCATGGTGTTCCAGATAGAATTACTTCTAGCCAAGAATTGGCTAGAGACTCGAGTAAATTCTACACACCCTTCCTAAGGGCTAAGGAGTATTTTTTCTAAGAGAATGGATATACATGTACATGTTTAATATATAAGATTATTCCAGTTCCACTTCAAATAAGCTTTTTTGAATCAATCAGCAACTAAGGCCAGGGTGCATGTTCGGAATTTTGCTGTATTCCTCAACATGTTATTTTTCAAACAGGAATCACTCATACGGGTTCCGAGTTTTCAACCTAAAGTCAACATAAACATAAACCCGTTAACAGAATTTTACCATTCACCTTAATATTAGTTTTGTCATAAAATCAACACATTTAACATAAGAGTCTGAATGATTAACATAAATTACACTGCCCAAAGTAAAAATACTAAGGGGTACCAAAATTGTCCTTCTAAAATCAGTACCTGAGCTTAAAAGTCACTTTGATTTAGAATAACTTGTTCTTAATATTTATACCATTGTTAAAGTTGAAATAACACTTGTCGTATAATTGTATTAAACAAGGCTTAATCATTGCCTTATGTAAGGCTCAATAACACATAAGTTAATCTGACTATATCTTTATTCATGGATCAATAAGGTAATTGTATTAGTTTTCGGATTTCTTAAACTAATTTATTTACTCTTGATTCTCAGTTTGAAAGGTTATCCTGTAAATACTATTTTAATATTGGTTTAGATTTGTATTTCGAATAACTCATTCTGGAGAGACATGTGAGAAAGATTGGAGAAAATACAAAACAAGAAAAATTCAGAGAATATTTAAGTCAGAAATTTAATCAATCCGTGGATATTGTGGTAAGTTTTAGTTTTAATATGGCTATCACTTAACACATAAAATTGAAATTAGTTTACCTTAAAGTAACATGCTGCTCCAATGTGAAAGCCATTAGCCATTCATCATTCAGAATTAAACATTCTGAACCAACTCGTGCTGAATTTCAACATATTGAATGGACTCACACCGGAATAGCCTGACAACGGTAAAGTCAGATATCGTTGTCACAAATGGCGGACATAATCATCGCTTCAATTAGATTTTCATGAACTGTATGTTTAATAGAGCACCTAGACTAGATTCCTTTGGAACAACAATCAATCAAAGTGTCTTAATACTCATTGTACAATTAATAATGTTCTACCATTGAAATAAAGTCTTTAATTTAACTGATCAAAAATAAATATGGGACAACGGACACTATAACCATATGACGTTGTCTTTGTAAATTATTTCAAATTCAGATTCCATTGTCACTGACGATATCGAAGACGCTATATTGTTGCGATTCACAGCCAAATGTGATCGAAATTGGGATTTCGGATGAAACATCATCACAAGAGCTTAATACATGCACAGAATTAGCAACGATAAAATCCCATGAAATTAGGACCAAGTGATTAAAGAGTTGAAGCGACTTAAACAGGCAATTCTGATAACAAGTTAATATCACATAAAACAATGAGACCATGAAAATATTGACATTTTTATGTGTTTACATACACAGGATTCATTATCCTAAAAATGTTACACCCTATTTATATAACTTCATTATTTTGATATAAGACATCATTGATTTCCATTAAGGGAGGCGCCTTTCTAAGGAAACCTTTGTTGACTTGCTTATACAATTCCTCAACAATTACAGATAATCAATAGAATGACCAATTTACTGAATATTTTCTACTTTGGTTGGTTTATTAAGTTCAGCAAAACAATAGTTACATTTTGTTCTATATTTTGATGCTGGTTTTTACACGTAGCACTCTAAAGCTTGACTATTGGTTTTTGTAATATATTGTAAAGAAATTGCTCTTGGTGTATTTGCAGCTTGGAATGTAAGGAATGTAAGGAAAACGGAAAATCACTCTAAAGGGGAGCTGACTATATGGAAACTGAACATGGAAAATGTAGTGCTGTGATGGAACTAAAAGAAACATGGAAAATGGATCAAATATGATACCATAAAAATCAAATCAATTCTTATTTTCAGTATGATTAACACTGTTAATGTTAAATTAACATGTTCCTTATTTTGAAAAAAAAATTGTAGATTTTTATCAAACTTTAAAATGGCGACTATCAGGACATATGCAAGAATCAAGCCGAATCACGGAGATTACGACGACTTTGATGTTACCAAGGGAACTCTGTATATTCGTGTACCAGACCACCTCAATGATTTAAGTGGTGTACCCTTAAAGTCCAAAACTACCACTCTGAATCATGAGTTTAAATTCGGACATGTTTTCCCAGAGGATGCCAAACAGGAAGAAGTGTTTGATAAGGTGGCGCAACCTATTGTTGAAAGTAAGTACTGTGTTGTACAAGCTATTTGAGAAAAGTAAAAAATGCAAAATTAACATAGTCAGTCTTGAGTTTTTTATTACAGGCATTTTGTGAATATGGATTTAGCTTTAGTATCTACTGTAGAATGAATACTTTTGTGTATGCCTGGTCCTGTATTTGATAAATGATAAAACCTATGCTGATAAATCTTTATAACCCATATCATGTTGAGTGCATAATAAGCAAATCTTTTTGGTATGTATCCCATTTTTTAATGGTCATATTTACTTGTATGCATCCTGGGAAAAGTAAGAGCATTTTCAACATTTTATGAAGAACTGTGAGATTGAGTTTTGCCAAGAATAATAAATTTTTTAACCTTGAAAATTGTATTTTTGTTTTCACCATCTTTCTAAATCAAAGTTGTCCTCCAAACATTATCATTACATGTACAGTAAAACATGCTATGTATGTTTTGTTTCAGATTTCCTAAATGGTTACAATGGGACTATATTTGCATATGGGCAGACAGGGAGTGGCAAAACATTCACAGTTGAAGGGAGTGCCAGGAGATATGAAGATAGAGGACTAGCCCCAAGGTAAATTTAGGATATGATATTTATCCATCAAGTTGGGGTGAATTTAACTACAGTTATTCATTAGGGGAGGCATCAAAACTTCGATGTTGGATAGAAAACTAAATAAATCTAGTTAGGGGGGGAGGGGGTTCAAACCCATTTCAGTTTGCTATCCGACAAATTTCAACATTTCAAATGTTTGGCAATTTTGACTCAGAATGCCTTGGAATGGTTTAAAAATAAAGATTTTACCTGATGCTTTCTTCATCAAGATCATTCCAAAGGATTCTATTCTATTAGTTGTCAAGGGCCACAAATTACGATAGGAATTAACAAAAACTAGATCGTGTTTAGAAATAATCTTTCAAATTCTCAAACCGGAAGTCAGCGATCAACTTTCATGGTATTTAGTTTTTGGGGGGAGGGGGGGGGCAGGTCAGAGTCAAAACTAGATTTATTTAGTTTCCAATCCGACATTGAACTTTTGATGCCTCCCCTTAGCATTTTAAATTAGAGTTATTGGTTCAAAGATGAATTTGGGAAAGTAACTTTATTTAATAGCATACATTCATTTCAGTTTTGAGGAGATTATTGAAAGTATAAATATTTTGAATTAAGGGACAGGGTCAAGAGATCAAGATTTCTTTTTTGGAGGTAATTTATAATATTTATTCCCGATATATTGATATTAATAGTATCTGACATCAAATCTCCATATAAGCCATTTATTTACTATTATTATATTGCGAAGAGAGAGGGATGGTATAATCCTTGATCAAATTACTTTGATAAAGTAATTGAAGCATGTAGTTTCAAATGGATCCTAAGCAGGCCTGTAGCCATGGGAGTTCGAGGGGTTTGAGCACCCCTCCCCCTGACCAAAAATTCTTTCAAAATCATGCAGTTTTTCACCATTCTGAGCACTTTTCAAGTGATTTTGGCCATTTTTGAGACAAAGTTGTCATAAGTGAACCCCCCCTTGAATTTTTCAAAAAGTGAATCCCCTTGGCAAATCCTGGCTACGGGCCTGCTAAGTATGTATCATTTAAAGCTCCATAGCTTTATATAGTATCAAACGTATTGAAGATTAAGAAACGTAGACATTTTGATCTAGTGTATATGCTAATCTATATTGCAGAGCTTTGTCAATGATTTACAAGAATCTGGAAGGGAGGGAGGACGAGACCATCAGTATTCACATCTCATATATGGAAATCTATCAGGAGATTGGTTATGATCTCCTCAATACAGCTGCTAGGAGCACCTCTGCTGTTACTCACTTTCCTAAGGTATGTAATTGTTGACTCCTCCAGAGGTAGACTGTGTGAATTGTGCACCTCTACTGAAAATGGTGGTTTTGGTATTGATTGAGATGGCCACTGAAATAGAAATAGAAGATTAAATGATTTTAGTGCCTAGATGCTGGTGAAGATAGTTTCATTGTCTCAAATTCAAACAATCTGGTGAATTTTTCTGTCACTACCAGAAGTTAGTCTCCAACTTTTTTTGTGGTTGGTGTTTGGCGTCTGTAACAGGTGTCTTTAACATGGCAGTTTTTGACATTTTGCATGTTAATGGCTTGTTTGTAAAATGCTTCCAATCATTAAAAGGTATCTTTTAGAGCCCCGGCATTTATCGTACCTTTCCTTTCTACATTTGTTAATTTTATTTTTGCCAGGTTGTTGTGACGGAAGGTGCCAGAAGTAGTTGTGTCGTGCGTAATCTCTCCAAGCATCTTGCAGCCAATGAGGAGGTAGCGCAGAGTCTTCTTCTCCAGGGCCAAGCCAATAGGAAAGTCTCGGAGACTCCAATGAATCAAAGGTCATCAAGGTCACATGCCGTATTTACCATACATCTGACATTAAAGAAAGAGGGCTCTGATGTCATTACAAAGTAGGTGGTATTAGAATACGATAATTGTAGATTATATCATCTGCAGATTTGATTTCATAGAAGTTACATCTACAACTTGTTGTATAAGTGATTTAATTTGAATATCGTACAACAGACAAAACAAATGACATGCAAAATTACTGGAAGTTATAATTAATATAAACATAGTAAAGATGGCAAAATAACAGGTGATTTTGAAACAAACAACTAAGGAAAACCACCTGTAGACTGTTGGTGATTAAACCCCTATTTTATTCAGTATTCAGATTAATTAGCTGATGAATTGTTGTTTCTATTTTTGCTTATTAGTTATGTGGGCTGCATGTTTAGACACAACTGGGTGCTGCCCCCTATTGAGCAATATAATATAGCACCAAGTTCAAAATCCAGTTATGAAATCCATTTTCAGCCAATTCAGAATTTGAAATAGTGTATATCTCAAAAATGTGTATTAACCTAAAAAACATGTAGCATGCATCTTAAAAATCATACAATCATCTTAAAAAACAGGCATTCATCTTAAAAACATTCATTCATCTTAAAAAACATGCATTCATCTGATAACATCCATTTAATCTTATTCAGGTCAAAGCTGCATCTGGTTGATTTGGCTGGCTCTGAGAGAGTGTTTAAAACTGGAATTGAAGGTCTTCAACTGAGTGAGGCCAAGTTTATCAATTTGTCCTTACATCATTTGGAGGGAGTCATCATTGCTCTGCAGAAAGGAGTAAAGGAGAGCACTAAGTCCAGGGCTAAAACTCCCTTAACTAACATGTCATGGACCAAGAGGTAGGTCATAGGCGTAGCGCTATATTTCTAAGTAGTACGCCACCGCAGGAACAGGAGTTGAACGAAGCAAAAAATGAGCAATTAGGGGGGTCTCCTCCAGGAAAACTTTAAAATTTGGTTGTATTTCTAGCGAATTTGCAACCATCTGGTACGCCTGTGCGTACCCAGCGTACCGGGCGTTACGCCTATGTAGTTTTGTTTTTAATGTGTTGACCTACCCTTCTTAAAAAAATCCTGTCAGACTGCATTTTGATCCACAATGTTTTAGTTGCTTCATATTACCACCTTGGAAGTTTAAGTTTAAGGTCTGATTACAGGGTTCTCACCAGACTTTTAGACCCCGGAGATCCTCCGGAGTCAAATGTCTTAAAACCCTCTTGCTCCAGAGTCTAATAGCTTTTCCGGAGTCTAAAGTATTTTTGTCACATTATTTGTGGTAAAACTCTTGAGAAAATACATACATGTAAAACTGGATACAAATAAGGAATAGGAAGTCAGAAATCTTTTAGAAAAAAATATTGGGATTAAAATAGCAAGATAATCTTAAGAAGTATGTTTAAAAGTCTCACATGGGGGAGAAGTAGTCGCGAAAAAAGTAGTCACAATACCACTAAAAATCCGGGGTCTAAAAATTTCCTGGTGAGAACCCTGTATTATGAAAGTGAAGTGGGGTTAGTCGATGGTTCTTAGGGGTTTTATCCTCAATGAGCATAAACAGCCACTGATAGCCTATAACTAGACTTATATTAGTAGCACTATATTTTAAGTAGTTAAGTCTCTGAAACCATCCTCTTCCCACTCTAGGTCAAAGTGGGTGGAGTTTGGCATTCAGCATCAGTGTCTAGAACAAATGTTAATTTTTGTACTTGCAGCTGGTGACATGTGTCTGTGTCAACATGCTTTGTTTGATATATTTTCGTATTACATCTAATTTTATTGTATATACATGTACTTATTTTCCAGCTGGGTTGATAGCAAGCGTCCCTCCACCGCTGACCCTTACAGACAAAGCAGACACATTCCCTACAGGAACTCACTCTTAACAATGATGTTAAGAGATAGTCTGGGTAATTACCTCTTGCATATAACAAAATCTATGTAAATCCAAAACATTCCCAATTATTGTTTCTGAATGGTGCAAAATTCATGTTTTAGAACAAAATCGTGGTGCCATTTTAGTACCACAATTCAGTGCTGCGTCAACACTAACTTTGACGCTAAAATGTTTCTTCTTGTTGTCTTGAAAACAGCATTGTAATTGGTACAGGAGTTTTTGTTTCCGAAATGACACCTATGAATGATAATGTAGTGGTGGCACATGGGGAATAACCTTTCTCAAATAGATTGTATTACTTCAAATCACATGCTTTATATGTAGTTTAGACAACTAAAGCCAATGCACACTAAGCCAATGCACACTAAGCCAATGCACACTTTGCTTCATAAATATAGTTAAAAAGAAAATTTTGTAGTGCCCTTATCCCATTTGTTAAAGGCCTTATCATCTGTCCCTAACTAACACTATTATCCCTATCCCTATATGTATAATGCATCAAGTCTCTGTGGTTATCATCCTATCTATTCCATTCGTTCATAAATCAACACAAGCTGGGCTAATCTTTATTTGAATCTTTTAAAGAATTGAGACTCTAATAAATGATTAAACCTAGCTAGCTCTATCCAGAGCGTTAGTGATGGGGAGGAGCACCAAAGAGACTAGATGTTATATTGCATTGATGCAGACACATTCAAATACAATAATGATCACAACTATTTTGTTGAGTTGTCTGGCTAATCAATAGATTTCATTGTGTATTGTGTTAATATGCCTGGACATTAGTATTTGGATGTGACTTAATCGAGCTGTCTGTATAATATACATTTTGCTTATATATAAAATTGTTGTACTATGTCCCCCTGCTTTACAGATGGCAAGGAAATTCAGGTAAACCAGTAAATAAATTATATAAGCATGAAAACTTCCTTTCATGCATGAAGGGTTATACATTACATATATAGAGATTATCCTATATGAGGTTCAGGATATTGGGATTATCCCGAGGCCCATATAATATATCTACCCGAGGGCCGTAGGTCCCGAGGGTAGATATATTATATTGGCCAAGGGATAATCCTAATATCCTGAACTGACTATAGGATGATCTGTTTATCCCATACCAATCACATTGTTCAATTGGCCAAAGTTCAGAAACTTTGCAACCAACCGTGGAATTATTTTAAGAATATTCATGTCCAGTTTTGTATTCTTGTCCGTAGCCAGATTTTCCTGTTCAAATCTTTGATTATTAACGGGGCATACTGCTCCTTCCCTTCTTATAAGTATTAAACGGATCACGTTTTTTCTCTATTGTTGTTAACAGTATGCGAACGTTACAAAAAAGAACCAATACGGGAACAGCGATTATGACGTAGCGGGCAGATATACTATATCTGCCCGCTCGGAGCGGAACGTAAAGCTATATCTGCCCGCTGATGAAAATATAAGTTTTTACAAACCGGCTTTATGTACCCGTAACACGTCCAAGTATGGGATAAATACTTATATTTAAGCATGTATGGGGACTAACACTATTTAAGCCTGCATAGATGGTGATTTACAGTGTTTAAGCATACGTGGTGGGTGATTGACTGTATTTAAGCATGTATGGAGGGTGATCGCCTGTATTTAAAGAGAGAATCAGATCTAGTGAGCAGCCCAACAAAAAATTGTTTCAATTTTTGAATATTTCTGGCTTATGTCATTTCTATTCATGTCTATTTTCTAAAAATTCCCAAAGTGCATACTTTATTTCAGGAAAACTAAAGGTTTTTACAATAATGTATAATTTTTTTTATAAGAATGGTTAGCATTCTTATTATTTGGGAGAATTTAAACCTTTTTCATCCATTTTTGCACTTTGAATCCATTATACATGTAACTTCACCAATTTATAACATATCATTAATCTTTTGGGAGATATTGTATTTGAGATTGTAAGGAATAGGGTAGTAGGTCAATTGTACATGTTGCTTGCATTTTTGTCACCCCCATTGATCTGATTCTGCTTTCAAGCATGAATGGAGGGTGGTCACCTGTATTTAAGTAAGTGCAGAGGTTCATCTTCAGTTATTTAAGCATGTGGAAGGTGATTTACACTATTAAGTATTTTTGGAAGATGATCACCAGTGTTTAAGCATGTATGGAGTGTTATCTACAATTTAAGCCGTGTAGAGGGTAATCTTCAGAATGCATGAATAGTTATTGTAGTACCATATTCTTTTTAATGGATTCAAAATTTCAAAGCCTCTTTTTGTTCATCTTTTTTTACAAGAAATAAGGATTTACTTGTACATTGTTTTATTTATATCATAAAAAGTATAATATGAGCCAACAATCACTGCCAATTTATTCATTTTAAGCATGCATTGTTGGTCAAGATTTTTTTACCCTCAGCTTCTCCTTTTGTAGATGTAGTCTTGCCTCAAGTCCCTCCAACATTATCTTCTGTACCTCATTGTGTGATGTGGTATGAGGGTGTTGGAGGTTACATTTAGGGCTTGAAGCAAGACTAATGTAAATGTTGTGTTGCTAATTGTATTCAATGTTCATTGTTGCGTCATGTTGTCAAAATGTTAGATGTTGAATAAGAAGATGTAATTTGGCTCTAAAACTTACATTTTTTTCAACCCATATTTTCATCCTATTGACTCACCAATGTTTTACAAAAATATATATGTTCAGATGTTTTCTCAATAAAAACAGTGCAAATGGAAGTCAAAATGTAGTAATATCTCATTTCCTAAATGCCTCACCTATTAACAATAGCCTTGCCCAATTTTTGCTCCCGGCTACATTTGATTTTCTTATATATAATACCCCATTCCAAAAGTAAGGCTGACATGTGTTGAGAATTTGACACTGTGGTAGATGTCATAGTAACTTAAAACAAGTTAATGCCAGGATATCTCAGATATATTTTCAGAATAGAAAGGGAAATGTAAAGTGCTTCTTCTCTATTTTGAGTACAATATATTAAAAAAAGTTTTAGTGCAAAGTTAGCATTGCTATGTGTATGTGTATGTAAGGGATATAGACTTTATTTTAAGGTGACTTCCTATTTTGTTGAAACTCAGAAAAGATTAAATTGAAAAAATAGGAAAAGTAAATGGTAGGGAATTATTCACTCTACTATACCTAACTGCATAAGATACTCTGTTTGTCAAATTGTATTGTTATAGTGTATTTTTGAAAGTACCTTATTAACATCTAACAGTCATCCGATAAACTATTAATAAGGAACAGACAAATAAAAACAAATAACATAATCAATACTAATAAGCCAAATGGGTTGCTCATGAACACAAAATGCAAGGTGAGTGTTATTGGATGAGTCTTGCAATTTTTCCCTGCCATTTCCACAACTAGATTCTGAACATAGATTTTGTTCAACAGTGTAGCTTTAGTATAAATTCAAAATAACAGTCTATACTCTATATTTTTTGACACAAAATCGTTTGACACAGGCTATTACACTTTTCCATTCCCTCGCTAAGATAGATTTATTTCCCCTAGGATATACCTCATATCGAAAAGTAAACCTCCCATAGGATAACTCATATTTTCAAGATAACAGTCTTACCCAGACAATTACACTTTCAGGAGGTAACTGTCTTACATCTATGGTTGCCACAGTTTCAATGGAAGAGGAAAACCTTAATGAGAGCATATCTACATGTAGATTTGCACAGAGAGTTGCATGTGTCACCAACCAGGCCAGGTAAGATTACACACGATGGAAATAATTCATCCATGATTTTTATGTCACCACAAGAAGTGGTGACATTTTGTTATGGTCTCATACTGTTTTGTGAATGGTAATCGGCAGTTGGTCTTCAGTGGTTGGTAATTGGCATACGGCATCTGTAACAAATAGCAGGTGGTGACATTTTGCGTGCCAATGCCTTGTCATATTTTTGGAAGCATTTTACCTTTTGTGATCATGAAAGATAAAATGTTAAAATTATTGAAAATTTTCAAAGAAATAAAATAAAAATAAATAGTACTAAGATAAAGAAATTCTTTGAAGATTAGTGATCCCAGGGATTCGCTCCCATAGTATGCATAATGGAATGAAACGTTTTATTGTGTTTGCCATATTTGAATGAATATGTAATTTATTTTTTATTTTTTATTTATTGTCATTAAAATAAAAGTCATTTTGATAAATCTGTGCTTTTTCAGGAAAAATGAGGAAATAGATGACAAGTCTATGATAAAGAGACTTCGTAAACGTATCGCAGAACTGGAGACAGAGATAGCATTGTTGAAGGCTAGCCAGGTATGCAATGATCTTCATTCTCCTACACAGTTAAAGTATTGGGAATCATAGCAGTTAACAATGTGAAATTGTTAACTTCTCCAGAGGTTGACAGTTTGGATTATATACTGATGCTTTAAACTGGACCTCCATGTTGAGGTTTTCTGGGGAGTGATGTTGTATAATTGGGACAGGTCCTCATATAGAGATGTTTATGGGCTAAAAGTAGGCAGCCTTTGACCCTTTGTGTTTGGGAAAGAATGGAGGGAGCGGGCAATGTGAGAAGATTCTACTTACCTTTACCATTTGTTACAACATCTGTATTGTGTATAAATAACAATTAACTAAAACTGTTCATATTCATTTTTGTACAGTTTTACTTAATTTTTTCATGCAAAATTTAATGAAACATAAGAAGCTTTGAGAAATCCCAGTTCAGTATATTAGAACTTATGTTTTTGGTTTTCAGGGTGTGTCTGAGGATGAGATTGCTGGCAAGGTGCTTTCTGATGATGAGAAAGAAACATGTGCCAAAGTTGTCAAGTCATACCTCGCTGGCAAAGCACTGGACCCAATCAGTGCAGGTGAGAATACAAGGGGAGTAGTTAAAAAAGAGAAGGGGGCCAGGGTTAATGAGGATCAAATGTATAAAGAAGGTAGGGGCTGAATCAGCGCTTGTGAAAAAATGTGTGGGAGGTGGACAATATATAAAAGATATATGACAGTCTAAGTCCTCATTGAAAACTATAAGTTGTGACTTGGGTTGTTTTAGGAGTTCAATAAATCCCTGAACATGTTTGATTTGAAACATGACGTTTAGCTACAATGTCTTGCCTTCTCATTCACTTGCAATTGGCTTGTAATTAAATATTCTCATAAGTTACCAACTTTGCAACTTCTTATCTTACCTTTTCAGAAAAAAAAACATATGTCGAGATATGTAATTTTCATGAGTCTTTGATTTGACCTTGTGCAAGGTAACTTTGACTTGAGTTACACTCCCCTTCATAATTTTGGCAAATGGAAGTTTTCATTTTATAGCTACCAAAACCTGTCAATGTTGATGATTTTTTAGATCTTCAATCATGAGAATGAAACATCCTCATTAACCCTGGTCCCAGACTTCCAGTTTTCAAACTTATGGAAGAGTAGTTTTAAATTCAATGTCTGGTTCTAATATGGTGTCTTATGGTTCTAATAATCACAATGGTGTACCCTCAAAATTCTTTGAAATTTTCTCCATTTGGCCCAAATATACATACATTGTACATCTGAATGTTTAGAATGATAAAACAGAAAAATAAAAAAATATGACCGATAAAGGACCATGCACATTTTTTTCTTTACAGAGGGTATTTGTATTCAGGTATCACTATGACATTTATGTTTTTGTCTTCAGGTATCACTACGCCATTGATGTTCAAGTATTGCTTCAAGCTGCTTAAGAAGCTTGTAGTTGACAACCACAATGGTGGTAAAGAGAGACGAGTGTATGACACAAGAGATCCTAGTAGACGTCCTATATCAAACACCTCTCATATATCAACTGTCTCCCAAGTCAGTAATGCAACAAGCGGCTTTGATGAGACAATGTCTGCAACAGATTTGGTTACAGCAAGACAACATCAAAGGTTGGTTTAAATATTAACACCATTCTGAGCCAATATTATGCATATTCAATATATGATATATATATACTAGTATATATATACATATATATATATATATATATATATACTAGTATATATATACAGTATATATACAGAGTGTCTCTAAAGTCTCTACAATTACAATTCAGTCTGGGTAAAGTGTATAGAGACTTCATTGACACCCTGTATTATAAATGCATTTTTCATAGCAATTTATTCATTTAATGGGCCCCATCAATGATAAAATGACCTGCTCTGGAAAATGTAATGAGCTATGGCTTTTGATACCCAGTTGTCTTGGCTAATTTTGTGATATTGAAACTGTTGGAATTTGGGAATCAGTTGATGATCTCCTGTCCCTGAATTATATTTAAATAAAAAATATATTTACAAAAAAAAATATTGAGGTGAATTATCAATTATAATTGAATTGATTTCCTTCTTCAGGTCAAGTAGCGCTCCAGCTCCAAATAAACGAACCAAACACCAGGACATTTATCCAGCAGAGGGCAGCACTTCTCCACGGCGTGGCTTTTCTGCGGAGCGTCATCGTCACGGTGTCGAGGAAGCATATGAGGATATACCTAGAAGAAAAATGAGTTCTGGCAGTGGTATGAAGGGATGGACAGGTAATTTTAGATAATATGGCAAATGGGATTTTCTAAGATTATTTTAGATAGGGCAAGATAAGCATTGGTCTCTGTCAAAAGGAACAAAGATGAGCTCTGGCAGTGGTATGAGAGGATCTACAGATATGCATATGTATGAAATATAGACAGATATGTTAGACTAGGGTTTTATTGCTTTTTGAATAAAAGGAAGTGTATAACTTCTTAGTTTGGCAGTGTTGGTCTTTGGCATTTGTAACAAATGGCAGGTGGTGATATTTGGCAATGTTTATGCCTTGTTTAAACTTTACATTGGACCATTTAACTGTTGTACAATCATAATTCTTGTATTTGTTGCCAGGTGATTCATATGTTGTGAAACCAAGGGAACCATACAAAACTCCACATGAGAAGAAAATGGAACGTTCTGTGAGGAAACTAAACGATAAGGTGGAATCAAAACAGAGGGAGTTAACAGAACAGCGCCAACACCTGGAGGAGTTTGAACACAGCATTAAAGAGCAACAACTTGAGATTATTATCAATGAACTCAGGTATGTTTATGTTTACTCAGGTTCATAGCCAGGGTACTCTTTGCATTCGTTCGACTTCACTTCTTAAAAGAGAGCTTCATCTTCACTCTTTCAGTTTACAATAAATCTCTGATCTCACCGAGCTAAACAGAGTTCGTCGTCGAAATAAGGACGACTTTCTATATGGTCATTTCCTATGACATCACCGCATTGTTAATGAGCACGTATTTAGCACGTGTTCCTTCCACTTCGCTGATTGGTTGAGAAACGGTAAGCGTGGTAGATTTGAAATGATTTATTACCTGGGCTGTCACAGGCACAAATTTTTGGGGCGGGGCTGCTGCTAAACTGTTATATAGTCTATACTAGGCAGAGGGTAGTTTATAACTAGACTCTGCGCGCAGGGTGTAGCCAGGGGGGATTCAGAGTTTCAAGTGAACCACCTTGGGCAAAAGTTCTTTGAAGATTGTGTAGTTTTTACCATTCTGAGCACTTTCCAAGATTATTTAGTTTGAGTTTTACATCGAAAGTACAAAGAGCTATAAATCTGTTCCCACAATCCTAATATATTGGTTGTGCAAGTTAAATATCATAATGAATTGAAAATATTTTAGCCTAACAACTTTCAGTTTTAAAGTCTTTAAAAGCAAATAATTCATTCCTTTGTCAGTTTTCTCCACATCATGTAATGGTATTAAGCCTGACCAAAATGACTACTCCCATCTATTAATCCATCTAATGGCTGTACTCGAGATGATTTTCTCTCAATTATTTCAATTATGGGGATAATTCCTGTAAAGGAAATATTCTTTTGCTGTTTATCAATGTTGTGCTGCTGAGTCGAGTATGTTGGGACAGCTTGTCATTGCCATAGCAACATTTTCATTGTGGTGATTAAAGCCATTGTGATGGCTTCACAAAACAATAGAGACAAGAGCAACTGCACTTTAACAACACACAACTTTTATTGTAAAGCTTTTGTTGGGAATATACAATTTTAAAGTGTCACCCACTGATGCATTTTATATTTGTGTGTATTTAAAAAGGAAATAAACAAGCCAAACAAGTCAACCAATTCTTAAAATCGCGGATTCGGTAGTATTGAATCTCTAATAAAGATGGCGCGAAAGTTTTTCCTTATAAGGTCAAAATATTTCCCATGATGCAGTTCGCGGGGGAACAAAATTTTTCTACCTTGTTTTTCCCCGTTGGTTTAACATGGGGATTTTCATACCCATTTTTCAAGCGATATTTTCGATCGAATCTCCATGCGATCGGAGAAAACAAACTATCAGAAACAATTAGTCTTTTAATAATCTTTATATAACATATATTTTTTTTCATTTTATTGGCTCCTAACGGGGTGAAAACAATGATTGAAAATGGGAGTATATTCCGGAAGAGAAGAAGTCACGTGACTAGTCGCCATATTGGAAAAAGCAATTCCATTCGACTTTCAACACGTTCATGCCAATATTACCGCACTACAAACTGTAACATCGATGCAACAACTGAATAAAAGTACTCATCTTCATATTACATTATAGAGTTACGTTGAAAACCCACAAACAACTGAGCATTTGACCAAAGAAGACACGTCGCTATTATCTAGGTCAAGTTTAGTGGTTCGAAAGCAAATCTTACATACTCGTTTCCGAATTTTGTTGTTAATTGTATAATCTTTTATTGATTAAATCTGGTATACTGACTATTAATTCAATGACAAAGAAGAAGAATTCCGATGGTGTCATTTTTTTATTTAGCTTGCGGGTGTAAAAACAAAATTGCGTAATTAATTTGATTTAGAACTTTCGGGTCTCACAAATAGCTACACGAAATGCATCGTTGAAAAATATTGACCAATCAAATTTTGTCCTTTTTGAGTACATATATGCACCATATATGCGAACGTTCTGATTCAAAGAGCGAACAGCGAAATGGAGAATTAACATTTATGTTATTGATTTCATAGAATTTATACATTTATCAGAGACATCTATTAATACATTATGAAGTGATATGTACATATGTAAATATTAATGAAATCCTTGTAATTAACTGATTTCTCTTTGAAGTTATAGATTACATTTTAAATATTTACTTTTTCTACTATTTAATTGGAGATAAACAATTATAAGTGGTCAGTAATTATATGAATAACTGCTTATACTTAGGCTATGAATTTGGTAGCATCACTTTGCTTGTGCTTATCATGGAAAATTTAATTGAGTGCCCATCAGAAATTTGAAAATACCTCTGAAACCCCTGTTCCTCCTCCTTGTCTCTTCAATCCTCCTCCTTGCCTCTTCACGAGAGATGAAATTCACTGATCCAAATAATATTTGATATTTATCATTAACTTGACTTGGCCTAACACCTACCCTTTTCTGATGGTTTATGTTGACCTGAGGTACAGTAGACCATGCCCTTTTCTTGCTATTGATCTCTGGCACCATGTATACTATATCAGCAGCATGACCATGCTGACTCAGTGTCTCTAGCTGCAGTACAGTGTCATCAATTGCTTTTTTCTCAGTTTCAAGCTCAGTGATTTGAGCCTTGATATTGTTAATTGCTCTACCACCAATGTTATTTACTCTGGCCTTCTTTCCATTGATATATGAGGCAACTTCGTCATGTAATTCTTTTTCCTCTTTAGCCAACTTGGCCATATAAGCATCAATGTTTTCCTGAATGCTATCCTTTTCTGTATTACCAGTTTTGATGATCTCCATGTACTTGCCTGACCTCTGTTTTCCTAATTCAATGACAGAACTCAGATTCTCTTTACTTACTTTGGCTGTATTCTCAATGTTTTCTAATTCATGGCCTTGATGTTTGAAGGCAAAACAATCTTGGCAAATAAGATGCTGGTCATTCTTACAGAAGTATTTCAGTGGCTCATTTGTGTGCTCTTGGCAGTATAGAGTGTGTTGCGATAGCATACTGATAGCAGCTTTTGCATCGAGGGACCTGTCACCTGTAAGGTCAAGTATCAGGTGAGACTTTGATAAACGAGACCTTTTATGTGCTTGTCTGCACGATTGGCACAACTTCTCATTACATTCCATACATTGCGACACAGCAGGGATGGTTTTCCCCCCTTGAAAGCATAAAGCACAGTTCCATATTGTTTCTGTTTCCGCAACTTCAAGGCCTTTCATTGCATCCAAAACACTGTTAGCAAAAAAGTTCACCTTTAGACCAGCAGCCCCTTGATTGGGTATGGGACAATTGTCTCGGCAGATAGGACATTGAAAGTTCCTCCCACCACGATGAGATTTCTAGTAATTTACCTATGTTGTACTGCTGAATTTGTGGTATGTCATTGCTATAGCAACATATTCATAATTATGTACAATGTAGTATCAGATGGCTTCACCAAACAATAAACAGCAGCATGCAAGTATTGTACTTTCCAATGGTTTATATCAAGAACATTTGAAGGATAAATCACCTCTCTCCCCAAACTGAACCAAAAGTGAAACCTCCTCTATTAACTCTACTTGGATCGACGTAAATTCTACCCTGAATGTTTATGTCGATTTCTGGTGCAGTAGATGACCATGCCTCTTTCTTGCTGTTTATCTCAGGCACCATGTAGACAATATCAGCAGCATGACCATGCTGTCTCAATGTCTCTAGCTGCAGTACAGTGTCATCGAGTGCTTTTTTCTCTGTCTCCAGTTCAGTGATACGAGCGTTAATATTGTTAATAGTTTTGCCACCAATGTTATTTATTCTGGCCTTCATTGCATTGATATGGGCATCTACTGCAGCATGCATCTCTCTTTGCTCACCATCCAACGTGGCCATAGAGTCATCAATGTTTTTCTGAATGTTGTCCCTTTTTCTATAACCAGTTTTGATGCCCTCTGTGTACTTGTCTAGCCTTTGTTTTCCTAAGTCGACGATAGAGCTCAGATTCTCTTTACTGACTTTGGCTCTTTGCTCTATGTTTTCTAATTTATGGCCTTGGTGGCTAAAAGCGAAGCAATCTTGACAGATAAGATGCTGGTCATTCTTACAGAAATATTTCAATGGTTCATTGATATGTTCTTGACAGTATAGAGTGCGCTGTGACAACATATTTATAGTAGCTTTTGCATTGAGGGACCTGTCACCTGTAAGGTCAAGTATCAGGTGAGACTTTGATAAACGAGAGCGTTTATGTGATTGTCCGCAAGATTGGCACAACTTCTCATTACATTCCATACATTGTAACACAGCAGGGATAATTTTCCCACCTTGTACGCATAATTCACAGTTCCATATTGTTTCCTCAAGTCCTTTCATTGCTTCCAAAACAGAATTTGCAAAAAAGTTCACCTTCAAGCCAGCAGCCCCTTGGTGTGGTATTGGGCAGTCATCTCGGCAGATAGGACAAGGAAAGTTTCTCCCACCTTTATGTCTATCAATTATACCCTGAATACATTTTTTGCAAAAGATATGCATACACGGCAGAGATCTGGGATCATCTAAAGTCTCCATGCAGATTGAACAGTTCATTGTGTCCTTCAGAGGACCTATGTCCATTTTTGACATCGCCATATTTATTTTTTAATTTTCACGTCTTGTTCACTACTTGTTGTCTACCTACTTACTTTGCAGAAGACGGCGCTGCGAATAGTGTATACCTTGTATGTCATGTGATATCATAAGTGTTTCAAGGTCATCATGTACATCTTTAAAAAGAGCTAATCGGTTCTTTTATTACACCATCTACTTGAACTATACATCCATATTGTAAACCAATTGGAAACCAATGTGTTTTTTTTATCTCGATTGGTACCAAGTTGTTACTTGAACCTAATGCACAACGTGTAAACTCTGAATAAATTAAAAAGTTATTGTAATTGTGGTACTATATTATTCTACTGAAAAAATATCAAGATGATGATGAACTTTATCTTTATCTCTTACTTGTTTATCTAAAAATGGGAGTTGTGATAATTCTAAAGAACACTTCATGTTAGATAAATATTATTAACAATGGTTAGGTTGAGATAGTGATGGCATTGTTATTTTTGTACTCTCTTGATATGTGCACATTATCCCACCCTATATAAGTGCTTTATATGATTGTATAATAGCATTGTATAACTGCAATATAAAACCAACACTCATCGTATACAACTCTTGAGAACGATATGCAACTCCTGGGCAGCGTTTACAAATCTTCAACTTGATGTACAACTGTTGAATTTAGATTAACCTTTTATTGATTAAAGATTAGGGTGGGATAATAAGATCATATAATGGTTGATTCTGTATATTGTTATACTCACTTAAAGGCCCCATATAAAGTTTAAACCACTTTGGCTTATATTGTAGTCTTACCCAATGTTATCAAAGTGTGATATGTGAAACTTTTTTTTTTAATTTCAAAAAGTGGTTTTCGATAGACTTTTTGTTCCAAAATTTGTGAATGTATTTTAAACCAACTTTTAGAGGTCACTCATATCTTCTAATTTGCCACAATTCATACCAATGCATAGCATTTATCCTCCCATGTTTTTTGCTGAAAAAATTAAGAAAATCGGTTCACAAATAAGCGAGAAATGAACTTATCAGTGCATGAAAATGGTTCTGAGAAAAATGCATTTCAAAATTTTAGTTCTCATAGAAACCAATGGTACAATGATATCTAAAACATAATTTATTCTTCCTTTTAACCTGGTTAGACAATCAACATTGTTTTTTTATGAAAGTCTAACATATTTAGAAAAGATTGACATCGAAAAAATAATTTCAATTTTTTTCAAAAAGTTTTTGGTACCTTAGTGACATCACTAATGTTTCAAAATATTTTTGATATGCTAAAACATTGAAGTGGCCCATTAAATATGGCATTTTATTATTGAAATAGTGTGTCCTTTGTTCAACCTTTGCATTGATGTTAAAAAGATAATCTTTTTTGAAATGCATTAAGAAATATTCGATGATTAAGAAATTTCAACTTTTTTAAAAAAATGGCGGGAAATTTGAATATTTTAGAAATGAAATGCTCACAACTTTTTTTTCAAAAAAATTTTTTTGTTCAAAAATCTCTAAAATCACTTTTTATGTCCTGACAAATAGTAAATGAATGATAAAAAAATATTTTCAAACTTTAGACGGGGACTTTAAGTATAAACACGATATACGGAATCAACCATTACATAACCTCATAAAACACCAGTTTTTTCTTTGACTGATATTTTTAATCAATGCATAAAATATTACTACAGGGTAACATTAGGCAATGTCTTTACTTCTGATTCTTAGTAAACTCAAATTATATTTTTAGTATGTATTTTTAACACCATTTTCAGTTTTTAAAAGGAAATGAATTAATTCCTTTTCTACATTGAACATGCTTCAATATTTCATTCAGGAGACTTATTGATGGTATAAGTTAAATATCTGTATGAAAATATTTGGTGTTATTTGGGATGAGAGCTACAGCTGTTTGGCTGATCTGTAAGTAAATATTGATGCTCTGGCAGGATAAAGGGCAAATAGCTTTAAGAGATATTAAAGATAGAGAAACTAAAGTATAAGTGCAGTTGAGAGAAAACCTACATCCAAAACAACCCTCCATCTGACTGAGATTAGGCGATTATCCTTTAATAGTCTTGCTTCAAAACTGAGTACTCCCCCCCCCCTATGTCAATATGTATGAAAGGGTCCAGGGTCTTATAAGCAGGACTACTTAAATAACTTCTGAAATTCCATTTAAAAATATAAAAAATGTTTTTTATAATTACTTGTAATACTGATTTCGTCTTTTGTAGGTGTAAAATTCTCATTTCCAGTTTTCTGCCCAAAATTGGTCAAAATATGTTAACGTTCTCATTTTCAAGTGGGTGCAAATGGATATCCAAGTAGGTGCAATTCCCTTTCCCTACCTCAAGTAGGTGCAGCTCCAACAAAAGGAAAGAAAAAATATAACATGGTGAAGATGGAAGAATGGTGAATATGTCTAAAATGAATCGAAATGCATGTATATATCATAGTCGGACGCATATGCTGACAATAAACAGAAAAGTTTGGAGTAAAGTGTGATAAATGGCGATGTCTAAAGTGGATATTGGTCCTTTGATGGACTCAGTGAATTGTTCAATCTGTATGGAGACTTTAGATGATCCCAGATCTCTGCCTTGTATGCATATCTTTTGCAAAAAGTGTATCCAGGATGTTATGGACAGATATTGTGGTGGGACAAACTGTCCTTGTCCTATCTGTAGAGACAACTGCCCAAAACCACATCAAGGGGCTGCTGGCTTAAAGGTGAACTTTTTTGCCAATTCCATTTTGGATGCAATGAAGGGGTTAAACATTGCAACAACAGAAACTGCACCAAAAACAGACACCATCAAAATGATATCTCAACATACCCTCTACTGTCATGAACATATTCATGAGCCATTAAAATATTTCTGTAAGGATGACCAGCATCTTATCTGTGAAGAGTGTTTTGCTTGCAACCATCAAGGCCACCGTTTAGAGAACATTGATCGAACAGCCAAAGCTACTAAGCAAAAGCTAATCTCTGTCATTGATCTAGGAGAACAGAGGTGTGAACAATACATTGAGTGCATCAATGCTGGGCATAGAGAAAGGGACAACATTCAGAAAAACATTGATGGCCAAGTTGGCTAAAGAGGAAAAAGAGTTACATGCTAAAGTTGGTGCACATATCAGTGCAATGAAGGCCAGAGTAAATGACATTGGTGGTGAAGCAATGAACAATATCATAGCCTGTATCACTGAACTTGAAATTGAGAAAAAGAGACTTGATGGTACTATTCTACAGCTAGAGACACTGAAGCAACATGGTCATGCTGCTGATATTGTCTACATGGTGCCAGAGATCAACAGCAAGAAAGAGGCATAGTCAACTGCACCTCAGGTCAACATAAACCACCAGAACAGAGTTAAGGTTGAACTAAGTCAAGTAAATGATAAAAGTATCACATTTGGATCAGCAATTACAGTTCCTTCCATATCAAATACTGTTAGCATTAATAACTCATGCAAATTTTGTGGACAAAATATGCCAAAGTCTGGAAATAGATATTGTCAATATTCAGATCAAACCTTGCCAGTATGTATGCGATGAACCAATATGTAACAGTATCTGTATAAAAGACTTCAGGATGGACTAACAACATGAACTGATTGCTAATAAGAATTGTATTGGAAAACCCAAAATTAAGATAATATCTATTTCTTGTAGTTTATTGAAGTCGAAGTATATTACCCCCCTATCACACCAAACTAGTTCTTACCCGTTCTTGTCACTCCTACGAAAACGTCGTCAAACGGGCTCAATCTGGCTGTGGTCGGGAAATATGTCTGAAATAATTAGCTTCTTCGTTCTTAAACAGTCTTCAATACGTCCATCTCGTTCGCAGTTCGTTCAGGTCGCACCACGTCGGAGTGCAACGTCGTAGAACGCGTCCCTTAGTCTAGAAGGTCAACATGACCTGACTACAGAACGGTATGGTCGTCATCAAATTTTGAATCGATTCAAAATTCTAAAATCACATTCCCGTCTGAGAACGTTCATAAAGTTCGCAAATAGACATTAGAAAGTTGCAGCTACGATCATTCCGTTCGCACACAGTTTTGAAGAACGCAGTGGCAACTTGTTTGGTGTGATAGCTTTATTTTTGCTAACTCGTTCATAAGAAGTGTTAAATACGTTCTTAATCAGTTTAAACCCGTTTGTAATTAGTTCTACCTCGTTCTCAACACGTCCGCAGACAGTTCATCTCGTTGTTAAAACGTCCCTAGGAGGATTGAAGTACGACGGTTCCGTTCGTAGTACGTCCAGCTCGGCGTTAGTACGTTGTCACTCGTTCTAATTGTAGAACGTGACGACCACGAGAACATTTTGAGCATTGTCTAAGTTCTAGAGGACCAACCCGTTCGAGTACGTTCGATGAAGTTTGTAAATAGATCCCAAACGGTTCTTAGTAGGTCCAGTCCGTTCGTATACAGTTGAAGCCCGTTTTCGAGAACGCAGTGAGAACTAGTTCGGTGTGATAGTAGGGTTACAAATATAATATTAGCATTTATTGTTTGAGATGAAAAACGTAGAAGTTTTGTTTGATTTTGTATGAAGTGGCTTTCACCTTTGAATTATGTAGTTGCCAATTAGAGAAGAGTGAAGTTGAACAATTTGTTGTCTCTAGTCTGTATATATAGTTTGATATTATTTAAATTATTCCCATGTCTCGGTTTATCTTTTCAAAATTTAATAGATGTTTCTATTATAATCCTTATTTTTTCTCTGAAAAAAGGAAGGTGTTCCTTTGTTCAAAACTATTGCCAGATATACTAGAATTCATAGGGTTATATTGATACTAAAATTCATAGGGTTATCTTGATACTAAAGGTTATCTTGATACTAAAATTCATAGGGTTATCTTGATACTCACCCTACACATAGAGCGCACGCAATATTACTACGCTGGCTGCATTTGAAGAGACTATCTGGCTATTTCAAACATGGCTGAAGAGAGGTAAGTTTTCTTTCCAACATTTTGATTGTTTTTCAAGCTGTATACCAGCGATTATTGAATTTCCTAAAAGAATGATACTCAAAGTACCTATGTTTGACAGCTTACTATAAAAACGCCGACCTATTGGCATGTGCTGCTGAGATAAAAACAAATTCCAAAAACCGCCAAATTATTTCCATTTATTTCTTCCTCTCGATCAACTGCTAAGCTACCAATTATCCAGGTAAGCTTATAATTGAACGATGATGACCCCATCCACCATCTATGCATGTAATTAGATCCTTTAAACAGCCCGAATTTGTTACAGTACAAGTCCTTAGTAGAACTCTGCCGAAAATTTAGGAGAGGACTACGGCAGGTGAGTATTTTATAATTCTAATGCATACTAAAATGTTTTCATTTTATTTCAGACTAGGATTCGAATGTTACTATTGCAACACAAACAGGAGGTGTAAGAAATTTACAGATATGATTCATCACCTACTTGAAATACACCCAGATGATGAATTAAAGCTCAGAAAAATTAGCAGGATCAATACCAATATAAGAATAACAACAAGAAATTTCTCCAGAATTATACCAAGTGCAGTGACAAACGCAAATAAAAGAAAAATTATTGATAGCGATGAATATATGACAATAAGTGTAATTAATGAAAATAGAATGAAGTGTTCAAAAATTCAAAATTCAACCCCAATGAAATGTCAATCTGATTTAATAACACATGAAATTCAATACAATGAAATGACAACTGAAATTGAATGCAGCAAATCCTCCAATGAAATGGACACTGTCCAGATTCAAGATGTACATCTGTTTTGGTGTTCAAAGTATTTTGATCTTTCTAAATACTCTTGAATACACAGCTATGAGCTTCCATGTACAGTCATACTGGAACTCACCAAGGACCTCCACAACTCTACCTACATACTGGTTGAGAAACAATATATGGATTTGTGTCTTCAGTGGGGGTACAGTACTATGCTAGTGCTTTCCTTAACTGGTCATCCGACTATTGTCAGGCCCATATGAAGGGACTTGATAGAAGTCCCTTTGACCAATGATTATTGCAAGCTTACTCAGTATTTGAGGATTTTTAGGAACTTTAATTTTTTAAGTGTTAGAGTCCCCCTGGAAAAGTTTGGGATATAAAGCATGTCAGTTTACATCATTTTTAGCTGTGTGAACCTATTGAATTCTCCATCAGTCCGTCCGTCCAGCTGGAAAGAAGCAGCAGATTATTAAGTGACATCCGTCTGTCCGTCCATCCTTCCATCGTCATCAGTTGTGTCACTAAGAGACAAATGTAATATCTATTCATATTTTGTTATGCACACAAGTGACATACCCTATACTGTACATGTATGTATATCCAGGATATCTCTTTGGAAATAAGTCACTTAATATCATGTATGGTACAGGTCATTATTGTTTAAAATGTTAATTACCTGTGCAAAAATTGTTTACAGAGTTCGACACTTGTATATATATATTTTATGCACATAAGTAACTTTCTTTGGATAGACCTACATTGCAACCAAATATTTATTGGTAAAATTGCATGACATATCAAACACTGCTCAAGATCAAATGCTACCCTCCCAGGTCTACCCTTGTATAAAAGTTCGAAATTTTATAACAATTTGATATTATAGTGAGTTATTCCACAGTCTATGTGCTTTTGATACACATGAGCACTGGATCTGTGGTCGATATTTGAGCAGTCTATCGCATCTTTCAAGTTGTAGTGTTAATCCCAAGAGCTTGTTATTGACACGCGTAGTCCTCTCATCCAAAAATTTAATCTCGGGATTTCAAATGAAGTTTCCTCAGGAAAAATAATGGTAAAATTCATCAAAATAACATCAATGATGCAAAATGTGTTAGGAATGTATATACTACTCTCATAATACTTCAGTTAACGTGATAATATGAGGATATTGAGATTCTTTATAAATTAGTGGAAACTTCGCGGTAACTTTCTGAATTATCAACTTTACATCGTATTTTATTCATTATGTAGGCATACTTTCCTATATTTTTGTCATATTTCTTCAATAAAGTGTATACTATATGGTTTGCCACCCATATAAGATACATTAATATCTTAAATAAGTCAGTAGGTGCTTCCAAAAAGTAAACCATGAGAAAGAAGTTGAGAAATAGCCAGATAGTCTCTTCAAATCCAGCCAGCGTAGTAATTTGCTCGCGCTCTATGTGTAGGGTGATACTATTAAGTCAGAAGATTTTCTAGAAAAATGAGTCAATATCAATTTTTTTATGTCACTACCACAAGTGGTGACATATTGTTATGTCACCACTTTTTTTGTTGACAGGGTTTGGCAGTTGGTATTTGGTGGTCAGTATCTGTAACAAATGGCAGGTGGTGACTTTTTGCATGTTAATGCCTTGTTGTTAATTTACTTCTCACTTTAGATACTACTATGCCTATGGTTAATAGTGACACATTTTGGAAAATGTTTTGCTATTTACCCATTGTTTTATTTTGCTTCTGAATCCCTAATGCACTCTCCCACTCGTATCTCATTTCAAAATAATACTTGGCATATACAGGTAACATACAGTAATCTTGTATTCGCGAATGCAACTTACTAAATCTTGTTTTGAATTCCTGTTTATTTATTATTTACATCTACTGTACATTTTTTACATGATGGCACAGTAAAATTATCTACCAACAATAATTTGAATGATACAACTTTATTACAATGCAATTAATATGGCACTATAAAGGCACTTTGAATAAATAATTCTTACATTTCCAGATGAACAATCATGTATAATACTTATTCCATTATAGACCAGTAAATCTATTGTTCTAGCTATTATGTCATCACGTATCATATTAAAATGAACAATAATGTGTAATTGTAGGAACAAGTTAGAAGTGACACAGAACCAGATTGCGGACCAACATGCATATTTGCAGAGACAAAGGAAAAGTGGCTGTGAACCAGAGCTGATTGAGCAAGAGAAACTAGTCCTTAGACAACTCAAGAAACGAGAGGTAAACACAAACTTAAGGCACAATTCGATACATCTTTTGGTACTTGTGATATGTTTTAATAACAGTAGTTTTTATTTAAACATATCTAAGTATGCAGCTTTATGACCAATCAAGGCACAGTTCAGCTCTGTGCCATTTGAATTGCCAGAACGTGGTTTTTATTTTGTAACACAAATGAGAGGTCAGAAAGGTCAAATTTTAAAAAGGGTACCCAATTCATTAATTAGAACATTGAATCTATTTTCTACTCAGCCTCATATTAATATTGTATAATTTGATTACTTCAGTTTTGGATGGGAACAATTTTCATACTGTTAAGTCCTAATAAGTATATTTATACAAAAAAATGTTTCCAATTGTCAAATATGGCTTGATACTTGGTAATAAAATATTGTCACCTTAAAAAGTGGTTTGATCTTACAATGTAGGCTGGCCTTTGTAAATATCATGTTTTGTTCACCAGAGATACATGTACAAGATCTGTCTCTATGGAGTTGTCATGGACTATGGCTCTTCTTGACGAACCACAGGTTTCAAACTCCATATCATCCTCCTCACATCTTGATCTGGGATTGTGTACTTGATTTCCATACTTGTGTAGAACTGTTTAGATATATCCGCAATAAAACGTTTACAATTTGGCGTATTGGGAAGTAGGTCTGGCGCAATTCGACTGAGGGGTTGGATTGAACAATGATACTTATATTTACAATTTCCTCCTGTATTCAATGCTTCAAAATCAATGATCTTAACTTCTTGTTTTCCCTTTAAAGATTTGAGTCTATAATTTGCTAACTTTTCATCATAATTTTTGATTACTCCAAGTTTCGAATGTAAAAATCTGTTATGCATGTCGACCATGTTGAAAAATAGCTTTGGCCCATTTAGCTGGTCTCTTCTAGTCTTAATGTTATATTCCAAGTTGTGTTCTAAATATTCACTAACTGTATGTATTTCAATCACATCTTTCCTATAGGGTTTTGTTATTAGTTTATATAGGAGATTTTTGACAGTCTCTAGGCTGTGAAATCGGCCAGATTTTGTAACTATGCAAAAACCATATAATCTTGCTAAATCATTTGATCTCAATCGAGCATACAATAAGATTTCTTTCATCGCTAATATTTTCTGTCGTTGTTTATACATAAAATGCCGAGATCTTTTATTGTTGAGTTTCTTTATTACAAGGCTGTCATTATAGGATATATTGCCAAAGAGACTATTTATATGATATACACGTATATTTGGACCATTATAGTTGACTATATACACCTTTTTATTAGTCGATCGTGCAATCTCCCGCTTTGAGCTTGTTAAATTGTAAATGAAATCACAGTTCAATGGATAAAAATGATACCAGTTTGTGTAGTCAAAATCTAGAAGATCTTTCATCAAATCAGATGTCATATTGCTAAATGTTGCTTTCCATTTGATGTTGGCATTTTCCCAGACTTTCCCAGCTGATCTCCATTCCGGTCCAAACTTCTCTATAATTTTATCCTTATTTGGAAACACGTTTGTATTGTCCTGAAAGTTGAATAGTTTCATTTTAGAATGATTTCTCCTTATGCTCCCTTTGTTATCCATTATTCCATATTTCAGGTTTACAGATTTCATGGAAGGTTGAAGTTTTTCTGTCTCAGTATAATTGTTTGTGGAGACAAAGTTAAGGATTTCTGTCTTGTCTATCTTGCTTGTGGTAAACTCCAGAGGTACAGGCTTAATAGAGTTGCCAAAGTTTTCTGAGATGTTTTGCTTTTCAGTAACTTTGGCAGTATCAGCCTGATATGTCTTTACTTTCATTTTAAGGTCATCTTCTTTGAGTGTAATATTGTTTTCTGTCACTATGTCACTCTGACACATCAATTTTGTTGATAGGTGCAACTTGTTGTATAAACTTAAATATACTGAAACTAAGCTTAGAAATGTTAAAGTTACTATCCATGATTTAATCAAATGGCCAATTTTGTTGTATATTTTAGCCATGCTTTATCTGCAATGTTCTCTTTAATATAAGTTGCTAAATACAAGCATGTGCATTTTACTGTGCAAAATGATAAAGTTAATATTAAATGTCCACTGATGGTGATTTATACTGCAGCTTAGCCAAACTATGTCAACACTTCTGCCTTAAGAATATTTAAATAAGTAAATACACTTTCATTTGACCATTTCCAAGTTCATTACATATGGAGTCGGTTGATGAACTAATGTATATTTTCTCCAAAACATTAGTAACATTATTTATTCCAAGTCAAGATGCTTTTGAAGGGCATACATCTACAATACCTTATTGTGATTGTTAATTTGTGAAAACCTTAAGTTCCTTAACATAGTCATATACAGTATAAGAAATATAAAAGGTTATACTCTTTTTGATGTACTCGCTACAGTTTATGCATTTATCCCAAAATTTGGAAAACTGAGTCCCCATTGTAAGTAGATTATTGTTGTTAACAAAATCCAGTTCATGATCATCATGATAAACCATGACACCTCATTTCTCCCGATCCTTGATATGCCATGCCATAACAGGCCCGTAGCCAGGGGGGGTTCGGGCAAACCAAAATTTCTTTCAAAATCATGCAGTTTTTAACCATTCTGACTAATTTTTGAGTGATTTTTGACCATATTTGCCAAAGTGAACCCCCCCTAGAATTTTTTAGAAAAACGAACCCCCCCTTGGAAAATTCTGGCTACGGGCCTGCATAATGTCATGGTTTAATGAAACAGATGCGATGAGTATCATATCAGAATGGTAAGATATGGCAACATATGTCTCTTTATAGAGTTACCATTGACTATGGTTCTTCTTGACTACCAACAGGTTTCAAAGTCCATGTCATCCTTGTGAAATCTTGATCTTGGATTATATACCTAATCTCCATACTTTTGTTGAACCTTTTAGATATGTCTGCAATAAAACGTTGACAATTTGGTGTATGGGGAAGGAGGTGTTTTGCAATTTGCTTCAGTGGTTCGATTTCACAGTGATGATTATATTTGCAATTTTCTTCTGTATTTACTGTATTTCAACGCTTCAAAATCAATGATCTTAACTTCTTGGTTTCCCCTCAAAGATTTGAATCTATAATTCGCTAATTTTTTATCATAGTTTTTGATTACTCCAAGTTTCGAATGTAGTAATCTGTTATACATGTCCACCATGTTGAAAAATAGCTTTGGTCCATTCATCTGGTTTATTTTGGTCTTCATGCTATATTCCAAGTCATATTCTAAATATTCACTAACTGTATGTATTTCAATCACATCATTCATGTCAGGTTTTATGATTAAATTATACAGGAGATTTTTGACAGTCTCTAGGCTGTGAAATCGGCCTGATTTTGTAAGTATGCAAAAACCATATAATCTTGCTAAATCATTTGATCTAAGTCGGGCATATAATAAGATTTCTTTCATCGCTAATATTTTCTGTCGTTGTTTAAACATATAACTGTTTGATCTTCTATCATTGAGTTTCTTTATCACGAGGCTGTCATTATAGGATATGTTGCCATTTATATGATATATATTTGGACCATTATAGTTGACTATATACACCTTTTTATTAGTCGATCGTGCAATCTCCTGCTTTGAGCTTGTTAAATTGTAAATGAAATCACAGTTCAATGGATAAAAATGATACCAGTTTGTGTAGTCAAAATCTAGAAGATCTTTCATCAAATCAGATGTCATATTGCTAAATGTTGCTTTCCATTTGATGTTGGTATTTTCCCAGACCTTCCCAGCTGATTTCCATTCCGTTCCAAATTTCTTGTTTCCTGTCACCACATTCTGGTTTATCAATTTTGTTGATGAGTACAACTTGATGTATAAACAAACTAAAGTTAAAATTGTTGAAAATATCCAAAATTTAACGAAACAATCAGTTTTGTTGTATATTTTAGCCATGCTATATCTGCAAGATTCTCTTTGTATTTATTTGACAATACAAGCATTTGCACTCAGCCAATCACTTCCTTGCAAAGAATGTAACTGATAGAAGGTTGTGATGTGTCATAATGAAGCATATGCCTGTATGCATTTTTACATTACAAAAGGATGAAGTTAATATTAAATCCTTACTCGACTCTTAGTAATTATCCCAACGAACAAAGTTTGGTAGGAATATAGTAAAGCCCTCTGTCTGTCAGTCAGCCTGTCTGTCAGTTAGTCCATCCATCCATCTATCCGTCTGTCTGGAAGATAACTTGAATACTAGTAAACAGATTTTCTTCATATTTAGTTGAAAGAAAATCCCAGGGGCTGTGTATGGGAGATCGGGAAAACAGGAATTGGCATCTGAAGTATAGCTTTATTATACTCAAATAAAAGGCATGTTAGAGTAGATTGCAAATATTGTGTCATTTTTCTGATTTGGGCTTCTTAAAATTCAAAATGCCCACCTAACATTGGATTTCAAAATAACTTCAAAGTATGGCTATATTACACTGTCTTATATCTGTGGCTCAAGCTAAAAAAATAATGAAGAAATGCAAAAAAGCACTCTCGAAAAAAGCGAGAGGGGGTAGGGTTTGATTGACCCCCTCCCCCACAGCCATTAGGGTCAATCAAGGGTAGAGTAAATGGTAAATATTTCATTGTGACATATACAGATTCATGAATATAGTGTTCATTGTGATTTGATATTCCGTGGAGTTGCCGATTTCTAGTTCAACTGCAGTTAATATAAGCTGTCGCTTTTGTATGATGTAATTGTTTTCAACTGAAAAGTAATCGCACAAGATGTCCATTATGATTCATGTATATGTGATGAATTAACATAAATCTGTGTATGTTGTCTGAATTATGTATTTCTATTATGAGATCTCAGCTATGTTTCCTAGGTCTTGTATACAGGGTGGTACAAAAAAGTGAACCCTTGCAACAAGCTATATCTCAGCTACTACCGGCATTCATGGGCTAATATTCTCACATGTTTTAGAGGGAGGTCTAAAATTTTGTGAGTACTTCTTCTTGTTTTCTCTTCAAAGATTTGAATCTATAATTCGCTAATTTTTTATCATAGTCTTTGATTACTCCAAGTTTCGAATGTAGTAATCTGTTATACATGTCCACCATGTTGAAAAATAGCTTTGATCCATTCATCTGGTTTATTTTGGTCTTCATGCTATATTCCAAGTCATAATCTAAATATTCACTAACTGTACAGGGTGTTCCAAAAGTAACAGGACTGGTGCTGTCATTTTATCAATTTTGCACTGAGTGTCTTCAAATTTTCACAAATTGTACCTTGAAGTATTGCAACTAAAATTGCAAAGTTTCAGAAAAGATGATGAAATGCAGATAGAGTTATGGTTACTATAGTAACATGGCATCCCAATACCCGGGGCAACTTTTTTCCTGAAAACGTGATATCTAACATTTTTGTATTACTGAAGAAAGTATCTAATTCACCTATTATAATACAACATTTCTTGTTTATTTTATTAGTTGTTTTGTTGTAAAGATGTTGCTATACAACTCAGATTCAAGTATAATCTCATAATGATAATAATATTTATTCAAATTCCTGGAATATCACTATGTATACCAGTCTCCATTAAAGACCATGCAGCTATAGAGGAGCTAGGTCTTGAGGTCTAAAACCATGCACCATACTCTTCTGATCATGCAATATCTAATTTTTACTTATATTGAGAACGGAATGCTAATCAGTGCTGTAAGACCTTTAAAGATGAGAATGACCTCCAAATTGTCCAATCGACCCTGCGTGACATGTTCTCAAATGGGTTCACTCATGTATTTGGGTCATGGATACAGAGTACTACTCTTGCACTGACCAAAGAGGAGCTTATTTTTCAAAGTAGAGGATACATAGGAATATCAAATGATGTAAAACAAATGTAATTTCCACGTACCCCATTTGTTGCATTTCAACTTTGATATGGCATGTACAAAATGATATGGGATGTACAAAATGCTTAATGTCTCTGTAAATTTTTGCGTGGTATGTTGCCCCGGGTATCCCGATGTCATGTTACTATAGCAACCATAACTCTACCCAAGTTTCTAATATTTATGCGAAACTTTGCAGTCTTAGTAACGATACATAAAAGTACATTATATAAAATTTTGAATAGGATTGGTGCATATTTTACAAAATGCCAGCACCAGTCCTGTTACTTTTGGAACACCCTGTATGTATTTCAATCACATCCTTCCTATAGGGCTTTGTAATTAAGCCATATAGGAGATTTTTGACAGTCTCCAGGCTGTGAAATCAGCCTAATTTTGTAATTATACAAAAACCATATAGTGTGGCTAAATCATTTGATCTAAGTCGGGCATATAATAAGATTTCTTTCATCGCTAATATTTTCTGTCGTTGTTTAAACATAAAACTGTTTGATCTTCTATCATTGAGTTTCTTAATCACAAGGCTGTCATTATAGGATATATTGCCATTTATATGATATATATTTGGACCATTATAGTTGACTATATACACTTTTTTATTAGTCGACTGTGCAATCTCCTGCTTTGAATTTGTTAGATTGGAAATTAAATCACAGTTCCATGGATAAAAGTTATTCCAGTTAGTGTAGTCAAAGTCTAAAAGATTTTTCATCAAATCAGATGTCATATTGGCAAATGTTGCTTTCCATTTGATGTTTGCATTTCCCAGACCTCGCCAGCTGATTTCCATTTCAGTCCGAATTTCTTTTTAATTTCATCCTTATTTGGAAAAATATTTGTGTTGTCCTGAAAGTTGATTGGTTGCATTTTTCTCCTTATGATGACTTTGTTATCCATTATTCCATGTTCCAGGTTTACAGATTTTATGAAAGTTTGAAGTTTTCCTGCCTCATTAGATTTCTTCAAGAAGACAAAGTTTTCATTTTCTTTCTTGCATATGGTAAACTCTGGAGAACTTATAGAGTTGCCAAATTTTTCTGAGATGTTTTGCTTTTCAGAATCTTTGGCAGTATCAACCTGATATGTCATTGGTTTCATCTTAAGGTCATCTTCTTTGAGTAAGATATTGTTTTCTGTCACTACGTTATTCTGGTCAATCAATTTTGTTGATGAGTGTGATTTGTTGTATAAACAAAGATAAACGGAAAGCAAGCTTAGAAATGTTAAAGGTAATGTCCATGTTTTGACCAAACGGTCAGTTTTGTTGTATATTTTAGCCATGCTTTATCTGCAAAGTTCTCTTTCTTTATATTGATATGATACTTTCAAGAAATGGATTTTACAGTGCAAAATGATAATGTCAATATTAAATGTCCACTCTTGGCAATGTACAGTCCAGTTAAGCCAAACTAAGTCAACACTTCTGTTTTAAGAACATTTAAATAGGTAAACATATCTATCATTTGGCCATTTTCAAGTTCATTACATATGGAGTCAATTGATGAACTAAAGTATATTTTTCTCCAATCAAGAGTAACATTATGTTCAAATATGTTTGAACATAATAAGTTCTTTAACAGGGTTTGTGTAAAAAAACAGGTAACAGGGTGGCTGGGTGACCGGGTACCTAACATTCCTAGCAGAGTTACCAACTTTCAAGTTCAAGTTTCAAGTTGCACGTTTTTCCAATTGAAGCCAATTGATCTGTCGAGCACTGAATAGACATAGCCTCCCTAATGTAGACTACTATTCGATATTCATACTTCATTTTTACCAAGAACTTGTAAGATATAGAGCACTTTTAAAATAATCTACTACTTTATCAATATCAGAAAAAAACTAAATTGTTAACTGGTTACTCAAGATATCCACTGAATTAACATGAACAAGCAGTCCTAAGTAATTTACATTTTACACAGTTTACGTACATGTATGATGACATAAGTTGCTTGATTTATTGTCTGAGTGATTGACAGGATATCGATGATTGTTTTCTATAATGGTGATTTCTACTAGAAGATTTGTTTAATATATATTACGGACATGTACATTGAAACATTATTTGCCGTTTCAAACTGTCAATTAATTAATCAAAAAATCAAATTCATAACCCTGGTAGGAACGTTAGGTACACGGTTACCCGGTCACCCAGTTTTTTACACAAACCCTCTTTAACATAACATAGTCATACGAAATGTTAAAGATTACACTCTGTGTTGTGTGCTTTCTACGGTTCATGCACATATAGCTTTAGTCAAAAATTTGGAAAATCGATTCCCTATTGTGAATCGATTATTATTGTCAACAATTCCTGTTCGTGATCATTGTGATATGATGAAAACCATGACATCATTTTTCTCTCCAGCCTTGAGATGCCATGCCATGAATTCATGTTTTAGTTTTCTAAAAGTTTGTTTCACCTTCATTTATAAGACATTAACACATTTAGAATTTACATGAGACCACATGTTATCCACAAATCTTCATAATATATGTACATGTAGTGCTATACCCCTGTACTATACATTTCTTGAAATGGAATTTTCATTCTTTGAACAGCAACAAGATTTCATAAGGATAGAGTATGATACTCCCGTGTGTATGTTAGGTTTGGATGATGTGGATGCAACTTATAAATTCACCCATTCACTTTTGGAGGAATTGACTTAACAGAGATGTTTATATTAGTGTTCACTTTGGAAAATTGTTCACTTTAGAGATCTGTTTAGTTTGAAGGAATGTTCACATATTTTGCCTTGTTTATCCTGCATTTCTATTTATTTATAGAAAGAGTGACATAATCTGATGAGATAAAATATTTGCTTATGAAATATGTAATATTTGTATAAATGATTTCAGGCTAAAATGGAAAAGCGTCTCTATATCATGCTGGAAACACTTGGTAACTATAGAAACAAAATGACGATGAAAAAACAAGAAATTGATGATATCATGAACCAAAGTCAACCAATGTCTTTAGAACAGAAGTTTGGACCACATACATACAAACGAGATGGAAAATTGAATGCTCGTCAAGTCAAAGAATATCTCGCATCTGAGGAAAAGATGACTGAAAAGGTATGGCTTTACATTATGATTATCACTATTTCTGACAGACAATACTGTTAACTCAATGATTTCTATCAAGTTCTTCCTATATTTGCTCATAGTTTTAATTTCTTACTTTTGATTTCGTAGTTTTGTATTATTGACATTTTATGATTTTGATTTTGAATTTGCTTTGCTTTGAATATATTTATATCTTGTCTTATATACCGTATTCTATCCACGTATACCAATTTTTTTTAAAATCTTACTTAAGTGCATTAATTATTTCAGTTGCAGTCTAAGATAGACAAACAACGAGTGATGACCATTAGCAAGCAGATCGAAGTAAAAGAAGCTGCCACTCGTCAAAAGTTAGCTGATTTCAAACGACGACTAACTACCTCCAAAAGCAGCGAAACTTTGAACTTAACAGTTGAGACTGACAATGAGTCATATTCAGGAAATAGTCCCGTTATCAGTTCTTCTGCCAAACCACAACGATCTAAATCTGCTTATGAATATAGTTCCAAATCACCAAGTTATGTAAACTCAGATGGTGCTGTTAAATCAACCGATGATCTGAATGTCGAGGAGATTGAATCTGGTGCTGTTGATGAGAATACACTGATTTCAAGAAACACTGAGGCTAAAAAGAAACCAAGGGCTAATGCCTTTGCTATTGATGTCCAAGCTTTGTTAGCTAAAACCGTTGGTGCTCAGGCCTATAACAACCAATTACATAATGGTGCTACTCAGGGGTCCTCTCAAAAGTCTATTAAGACCTCTTCTAATAGATGGGATAATGCATACTCAGGGAAACAAGTGAGGCCAGAATCTGCCGAAAATGTCTCATTTGGAATTTTAAAACGTAACATACCAACCCATGAAAATTATGACAGTAGGGAAGAAATTCTTCATAGATCTCAAACTGGAAATAATACAAATACCTCATCAAGTAAAAGTCCTGGTTATGATGACCCATTTGGTGATCGGAGCCATAATATTGACCCTTTTAGTGCAAAATCAATCACCACAGATCCTTTTACTAAAAGCAGTACTAAGAATGACACTTACTTTAACCAGTTGTTAAGTATGAACGACACAGACCCTAGTGTCATGGGGCGACCAAAAACTGCCCCAGAAAAACATCGAACAGATCCATTTGACTCTGTAGTAGATTATGAATCAACTTCGCAATCAATTGAACATTTTGAAACATTGTCACGATCATTGGAAAAATCAAATCTGGAACCTAGTCAAACTGAAATTCTTTATTCTGAGGAAATTCCCGATAAATACTCATCAAGCTCAAGTTTGAATAATCATGGAAACCCTCGCGAAAAAGAATTATCGCCACATTATAAAGATGGCAGCACTGTAAACAATAATACATATGACTGGAATAATCAGATGGAGGCTCCGGGAGATTTTGACTCAGCTTTGAATAAAATGCTTACAAATAACGAATCTTTAACTGTCAAAGCCGAACACTATGATCAGTTTGCCAGAAATAACACTAAAAAGCCACATTCGAGTTATAAAAAGCCACCTTCTGGTAAAGAGCGAGATATGCATCAGAAATCACCAGAAATTCAAAATGGCTACCTGGATAATACTACCAGCAATGCCACCTATATGCAGAGCAAAGATTACAATGGAAAAGATTACAGTGTCGAGTCAATATGGGGTGATAGACTTGGGAAAATCGAACAAAGCGCAACACCGACAAGCAGTTCAAAGGTAAATTAAAGTTCAGGATTTCATTGTACATTATTTGGGAAATGTTGAAGAATCAATTGTCTCTCTATTTCCAGTTGAAGCATTCTTCCACAATCACATGTACATTTTTATTATAATTATTTATTAAGGAAAATGCTTTTGAATTAGGGTCCCAGTGGCATTCCATTTACATAGATTTTACTGTAAATAGTAGTACATTTTTTTCAGTATATATTTTGGTTTGTAAAAGACCTTTTTGCCATGTTCATTGCAATGTAAATACTGTAAAACTATTCACTCCAGTACTAAGTACTCATTTGTCCATGATGTACTTAAGGTATGTCCCTGTATACATAAATTTTCATATTTTCCAACATTTATTAATGTTTCAGGTAACAAGCAATGGATCCTCTCCTCAGAGTAGCAAACTGGCCAAGTATCTTGAAACATCCCCTATTACTGGAGAAACATACTCAAAACCCAGTAAGTCATGTTTTCCATATGGTCTTGTATTAAGCATTTGCAGCCCTCCCTCTGTACACCCAACACCCCCCTCAATAAGTGGATACTCAAAACCCAGTAAGTCATGTTTTCAATATGGTCTTGCATTTAGCATTTGCAGCCCTCCCTCTGTACACCCAACACCCCCCTCAATAAGTGGAGAAACATACTCAAAACCCAGTAAGTCATGTTTTCCATATGGTCTTGTATTAAGCATTTGCAGCCCTCCCTCTGTACACCCAACACCCCCCTCAATAAGTGGAGAAACATACTCAAAACCCAGTAAGTCATGTTTTCCATATGGTCTTGTATTAAGCATTTGCAGCCCTCCCTCTGTACACCCAAGACTCCCCTCAATAAGTGGAGAAACATACTCAAAACCCAGTAAGTCATGTTTTCCATATGGTCTTGTATTAAGCATTTGCAGCCCTCCCTCTGTACACCCAACACCCCCCTCAATAAGTGGAGAAACATACTCAAAACCCAGTAAGTCATGTTTTCCATATGGTCTTGTATTAAGCATTTGCAGCCCTCCCTCTGTACACCCAAGACTCCCCTCAATAAGTGGAGAAACATACTCAAAACCCAGTAAGTCATGTTTTCCATATGGTCTTGCATTTAGCATTTGCAGCCCTCCCTCTGTACACCCAACACTCCCCTCAATAAGTGGAGAAACATACTCAAAACCCAGTAAGTCATGTTTTCCATATGGTCTTGCATTAAGCATTTGCAGCCCTCCCTCTGTACACCCAACACTCCCCTCAATAAGTGGAGAAACATACTCAAAACCCAGTAAGTCATGTTTTCCATATGGTCTTGTATTAAGCATTTGCAGCCCTCCCTCTGTACACCCAACACCCCCCTCAATAAGTGGAGAAACATACTCAAAACCCAGTAAGTCATGTTTTCCATATGGTCTTGTATTAAGCATTTGCAGCCCTCCCTCTGTACACCCAAGACTCCCCTCAATAAGTGGAGAAACATACTCAAAACCCAGTAAGTCATGTTTTCCATATGGTCTTGCATTTAGCATTTGCAGCCCTCCCTCTGTACACCCAACACTCCCCTCAATAAGTGGAGAAACATACTCAAAACCCAGTAAGTCATGTTTTCCATATGGTCTTGCATTAAGCATTTGCAGCCCTCCCTCTGTACACCCAACACTCCCCTCAATAAGTGGAGAAACATACTCAAAACCCAGTAAGTCATGTTTTCCATATGGTCTTGCATTTAGCATTTGCAGCCCTCCCTCTGTACACCCAACACTCCCCTCAATAAGTGGAGAAACATACTCAAAACCCAGTAAGTCATGTTTTCCATATGGTCTTGTATTGAGCATTTGCAGCCCTCCCTCTGTACACCCAACACTCCCCTCAATAAGTGGAGAAACATACTCAAAACCCAGTAAGTCATGTTTTCCATATGGTCTTGTATTGAGCATTTGCAGCCCTCCCTCTGTACACCCAACACTCCCCTCAATAAGTGGAGAAACATACTCAAAACCCAGTAAGTCATGTTTTCCATATGGTCTTGCATTTAGCATTTGCAGCCCTCTCTCTGTACACCCAACACTCCCCTCAATAAGTGGAGAAACATACTCAAAACCCAGTAAGTCATGTTTTCCATATGGTCTTGCATTAAGCATTTGCAGCCCTCCCTCTGTACACCCAACACTCCCCTCAATAAGTGGAGAAACATACTCAAAACCCAGTAAGTCATGTTTTCCATATGGTCTTGCATTAAGCATTTGCAGCCCTCCCTCTGTACACCCAACACTCCCCTCAATTTGTTTGGCAATTGGAAGTTTTCATTCACTAGTTCAGAATATTGCGACTTTGATTAATTTAAATCGCCAAACATACGTAAACAGGCTTCAATAAGTGATCCAAAAGATCAAATCAAACTTATAGAGGGGAGTGTACCTTAGCAAAAGAAGTATATAGGGGCAAGATTTGAAATTAATATGTTGAAGTAGTGAGGCCTGAGGGGTGGTACTGGATGTAAGACTATCTCACACCATGAATGATGACTATTTTATTTGAAAAAGTCATAATAGAAACCTGTAAAGTGGAACACCTCTGTTAGTTGAACTCTTCTGAGTTTCCAAGACCAAAATGTTAAATGAACCTCTATAAGTGGAACACCTCCCAAGTGAAACACTTTTTAAAGGTACTAAAAAAGGTGTTCCACTGAAACAGGTTTTACTGTATATGGAAATGGGATAGGGATAAATAACTACTTGCAAATTATGACACCCTAGCTCCATTTAATTTCTCATGTTGGAATGTATTCATGATATTGGTGAATAGGTTCTAGGTAACCAAACTCGTCTGGCCCAGTTATCTACTCCCCGATTCCGTCAGGAGTGGATAACTGGGCCAGACGGGTTTGGTTAGGTTCTCGTTTGATAAAAAGATGGCAGCACCTCTCATTCTCTAAGAGGTTAGATTGCGCTGCCATTTTTTAAACACTTTGTATCACCCATTGCCTAGCATGGTCTCCCCAGGATTTTCTGTCCCTCAAAATATTCCAATTCCATTCTTAAAGTATGGTGCAAACAGAATAGTCAACATGGTGGCATCCAATTTTCAGCTTTTTAACTGGGTAAATGTACACTGCAGACAAAATACCCCGGGGGCTCACTCTAAGTAATTTAGGTAGTCATGTGCAGCAGGAGCAATTTTGGCTAAGGGCAAAAACCATGAAAGCTGGCCAATCTGATAGGAAATAAACATGGAAAATTTGTTGAAGAGAGAGCCTTTTTTAAGTCAAAAATCAGTTTTTCTACAAAAACATGGTAATAAATCGGTAATATCAGTTGGCGAGGTCTGGGATCACCTAAAAAGTGGATTTCATAGTTATACACCAATATTTCAGGAACTTTACTCCCTTTTATAAGTTCGAGAGGAAGTATACATGGAAACTTTCAATCTTGAGAGGAAATTGACATGGAAAAAATGCTCAAAAAGGGTACATAGGTATTAAGAGGTATATTGGAGTGAAACCCCGGGCAAAATTCCAACATTCCCATTGTATCAAAATATATACTGTGCTGAGTACACTGAAAGTCAGAAGCTCCAAGGCATATGGGCACCTATGAACTCCTCACTTTGAGATTCAAAATCAAATATTTGCAAAGGGTTATATCTGTTGAGGGAATGTAGACACTATCAGATTATCAGCTGGTTAATTAAGACCACATTCCAAGTACCCGGTACTATTCATTACATGATAATGTAAGGGAGTAAAAATAATATGTGTATATTGTGTATATTGTGTATAGTAGATTTATTAAGAAATACCATGAAATAGAGATTGTCAGAGTCACATATTGGGGAATCAAGACATTCAACACAGTGGTGTAGCATGGGTATTTTGTGAGTATACGCCATGAGTGAAGCGAACGAGCTTTGAGGGGGATGTGTGGTCAAACGACACAGGATTAAGAATAAAAGATTTATTTTGCTTTTCATATATGATTGTTACTACACACATTCAGAATATCCAGTATTTTTGAAGTGAGGGACAATCCAATAAAAAAATAAACTTTTCAATGAATGTATGATCAATGAATTAGGTTTCATTAGATAACATGAGAATGGTTACAAAATTCCCAAAAGCATAATTTTAAGATATACGCCCCCCCCCCTCCATTTTGATGCAGTCATAATTTTAGTCAATTATGGACAATTCTTGTTTTTGCAAAAAAAGTACCCACATGCAAAAGCATGCACGATACAGTACTTGTACATCATGTAATTGTATACACATAGCACAGGCATTGTTCACTAAAGCACTATATTTGTACATAGCAACAAGCTTTAACAATTTAATTGATAGATTTTCAATGAAGTTAGTTAAAATTGATAGATTTTCTATGAAGTTGGGCACAATATAACAGAACACCATTAGATTTAGTTGTGCTGCATGAATTTCATTGAATGTAAAAACATTATCATTACTAATAAGCCAAAATGGTTGCTTATGAACACCAAATGCAATTTATATAGTAGAGTGATATTAGACTCACTTTCCAGAAAGAAGCCATTATGTTGATAACAGTTCCGTGCATATCTCAGTTAGTTGTGCTGGTCCTTCCAGTTCCTGAGTTTCTTGTGTCTTGTTCCTGTTAGTTCCTATTAGTCTGATGTTTTGTTGTTCCCCATGCATAGCTGAGAATTGAGGTGATGGTTAAGCTAACATCATCCCCTACCCTCAATGCCTGGGGGTCCTCTGGGATAGGGTCCCTCCACTTGGCAAGAGGCAGCCCTCTTGATTGCGTAGTCGCTATGGGACCCGTCACCCGTTGGACCAAAAAAAAAATTGAAAAAAGTTGTTGGCTAACCCATTGCTGAGTATAACCAGTGGCTAGCTCATTGCTGAGTGTCACCGTGTTTTGACGCACTAAAAAGTGCAGTCAAGACGAAGTAAGCGTTATTTGTATATCTCTTTGTCAGTCATCTTTTGATTCGAAGTAAGCATGTTTCGATTGAGCCTACCCCCTAGAGTTCCAGATTTGCCTGAAAATGGCGTCTCTGGTCTTTAGAGTTTGGAGTAGTAGACTGAAATATACAGGGTTTATCCAGATTATATACTGGCGCTGAACACTTGGAATACAGAATGAGGTAATTTCCCATGAGGCAAAGTATAGATCATGTGATATAATCAACCAATAGAGTTCATGAAATTTAGTATATGATGAAAGAATTATGCTGGGATTGATTGGTTAGCTGTGCTTACATTTGCAGTTTTATCAATAGATTGTGCTTACAATTGCACTTTGAGCATACTGTGTAGGTTTAGTTGGTAAGGTCAATACGATATTGCAGTGTTGATATTGTTCCAATAAAGGATGAATCAGCACTCCACTTGATATTTTTCCTGCCTATTTTAAGCATATTGTGAATTGCACCATACAGACCACGTGGTTCAACCATATACAGTATAAACAAACATGGATATGAGGTTTAATAATTCATTTCAATTTTTATGTTATACACAATAATAGAACATAGAGAAAAGAAAGAAACTATTGGATGGAGATCGCGGTGAAAATTTCTGTAAAGGCAGAGATTATTTTTGTTGTTTTTATAGTTTTCCACTCAATGTTACTTGAAAAGATAACACAATCTGATACACTCAGAATAGCAATATAAAAATATTATGCTCATAAAATTTACATGTAATTACAGATGTATGTATATATACCAGCATTTCAAAAGCAAAAAATGTAAATACAGCTTGCATCAAGTTTTACCCCCCCCCCATCATCTCCTTATTTGTAAAGCAATGTCTGAATGAAAGTATTGATATAATGGGGGGGGGGGGGTAACCCATGATGCAAGGCCAGTTTGCAAAAATAAGTCAACAAAAATATCTGACATTTACCTGTACCTGTTAAAGATCATAAATGTTGAGTAAAAGCTTTCCATTGTCACCAAAGTGAGACTTCAAGTTGATATATTAGAAGCCTCCAAGTTAGTGCCATTGGTGGCCTGAAGGGCGTGTGTGAGAGGTATCCGCCACTAGCATATGGTAATATGACTGCGCAGCTGTTTATGGAGCCCTCTCACCCCTCCAGGCCTGGTCCAACCTCTACAGACATCTGCAGTTTGCTTCGAATCCCCCGGGCCTAGAAAGACCCGGGGGTCCATCGTTTGGTATTACACGTTTCGTTTTTCATCACAAAATCGTTGGTCTTGAATCATGGTGGTTGTTATCCGTGTTGTGTCATGTCGGAGTGTGCCAGAGTATGAAAACTCAGCACGTAATTTGTGAAACAATGTGAGCGATGAGAACTTTCAGTAGTTTAAGTGGAGGACAACAGATCTAGGGGCTCTCTGCTTTTATATACATTTCTGTGGAACATTCTGGACTTTTTAGATACTTTGCAGTATTGGATTGGTTAATGTTAATTTTGTTTAAAGGTAGAATGTTCTAGATAGGCTGATGCAATTTGCTATCTACAAGTGCAAAAAGTTAAGCTGACTATATTGGCCACATCAACAAACTGCAGTGTTCTATTTTTATCAGTCTTATACTTAATATCACCACAAATTACCAACACAACAACAATACATTGTATATTAACAGTCAAAAGTTATAGTTTTATATCACCACCAATTTACCAACAACGCATTGTATCTCAACAGTGTTAATATCATGTACATTTAAAGTTTATATCATTATAAAACTTTTAGTTATAGAAGTCATAGATGTATTTATAGAGTATGGCTGATGGAAGAATATCTATGATCGGCTTGGAGGTCATGTTGTCCCATAAAATGTACATGTAGTTACAATTTAGTTTCTCACATTATTTATAGATGTCATGAATCATACTCAGATGATTCTCCAATCTCTCATAGTAAGACATGAATTAAACATGTACCAGCAGCTGATACGAAAAACTGGCATGTAGCTCTGCTACTATACATGCAGTTAGTTACATGCATAGTTTTTTTGCAATACTGTTAGCTTAAACATGCAAATTTGTTTAGGTTTTCAGTTTTAAATTTTTCTACATTTTTCAAATCCGCTCACAAATAGTATTCCAGTATTTTAGAAATTTATTGCAGTCCCAAATGATTTGATTTGGTAAAATGATGTAATCTAACTTTCCAGTCAATCAATCAAAATTTTGTTTTATCAAAAAATGACAGTTTTGCTGTAAAAGATGCAAATTTTGATACAAAATGTGCCAATTTTGACCAAAAAGCTTATTTTTCAAGAGAACAATGTCAAAATTTTCCTGAATGAAATTTGTGGGGGAGGCTCACATGATCCTCCAGAGCCACATGCAATGATTCTTTGAAAGTGCTAAACAAATTCACATTCCTTCTGAATAAATCACTATTTGTGATTGGTCGGTGCTAATTTTGTTCAAAGGTTAGTATCTATGGCTATGTCATTTCAGAAGCTGGTAGCTATGACGACAGTACAGTCCACACCCACTCTACAAGTACGCCACTAAAACAACATACCAGCCATACGCATACAAATCAAGACTGGAGACGCCATTTTACATTCGAAGCACCACAAGCCAATAATGAGTCCACAATGACGTCATTGACATTTGAGGAAGGACCTTCTAAAGTAAAAGCTTTATCGGATGACAAACGGGAGACAACATTTATGGAGAAAGTGACGTCTCAGAAGGAACGAGTGAAGAAGATACGACAGGCTCGTTTGGCTGCTGAAGTCATACAAAAAGCCTGGAAAAAATACTCAAAAAAAGTTTAATTATTTGTGAATGTAGTTTAGCGTCAATGGGAGTTCGCTAGAATTTCTCGAATTTACTGGAAGGAACTTTATGCAAATGCCAATTTTGAGAAAATGTAAAATATTAATATTGCCAATTTTGCCTTCTTTAAAAACGAAAAAATCCTTAAGTTTTGCAGTTTATTTTTCAGTTTTGATTGCCAACTATTGTCTCATATTCTTGGAAAAATGCCAAATTTCCTCATATTTTGCCAATTTTGACTATCCATTTGCTGATATTGAGAAAATATGAAATAATATTTCGAAAAACTATGGAATGAATATACAGAACTAAAGAATATATTCTTGAGAATATTTGAAAGGAGCATGAACATGAATGCAGGTCAAAACAGAAATAAGATAAATTGATTTTGTTTTTTAGCCTTAATAAGGCCCTTCAAAAGTAGATTTATTGTACCTTGGGGCAGTTATGATAAATTGTTATTAACCATAGATAGATGTGCCAAATTATGTTGATATGTAGCAGTTGTAGCCAATAAATTTTTAGAATGTATGCCATAGTCAATGTTTTAAATTGATGATATTCCACATAAAATGAATAAATGCCCATGTAATGGTCCCATTGGTGGGTCTGAAAATTGACAAGCTGTTGCAAATTTGTCTCCATTTTTCGAAAAAGTGAAGCTTATTATTCCAAAATGTGAAACAATGTAGCTTAAAAGTTCTAAATTCCAGGTTCTTAATGAATTAACGAAATGGTCCCAAAATACACATTTAGGGGGTAAACTCTGGCCCTTGCCACTCACAAATCTGCAATAGTCATATTACAAATTCTTAATACAGGTTACTGTTATGACATCTATAAATGCTGAAACAAATATTCCTCCAAATCCACCTCAAGACAAAAGTGATTCTGTTATACTTTTCATACCTTTTGACATTCATTGAACTAAGTTTTTGTTTGAATAGAAAATGAAATGAAAATACAAAGACCCTATAAGTTCAATCTCTCTGGCACCAGAACAAGGATATCATTCATAGCTATTCTATGTAAAAGAAACATCATGGACCTAACAAACATATTTTACAAGATTTTAAGATTAAGTGGATAATCCATTTCAGTCTGAGGACTCTTATGTATAAGTGAATAAATAATATCAGAGCAATAGGATTATGAACAACAAAACAGAACCAAACAACATGGTTTCATTGAGAAATACACAACTTGAAATTCTGTATTCTTTGAACGTTTTCTGTTTAAGAGGATTGTGGTTCGATATTGTGTTATATTTTCTTGCCTATTGAAAATCTAGACAATGGCAATAATCAGCTAATCATTTTTAATCCCGACTTAGTCTTTTAGACCCCTTCTCTTCGGGGTAAACGTTTGTGTGAAAATGTTGACAACACTATAAGAACTGCAACTAATAGTAACAATATACATCTATCTAATAGTAACAATATACAATATACATCTATCTAATAGTAACAATATACAATATACATATAGCTTCATCAGTTTCTACCTTAAGAAACATATTTGCCTTAGTTTGTATCTGATGTAAATTCTCATCATTTTTATATATGTCAAATACCAACAGGTTAATAAATGTAAAGAACAGAAAATGAAAAAATGGCTATGTTAAAAATAAGGTTACTATAACCTACTTTCAGTTAACTTTAGGCTTGCATCAAGATCCTGTATTGCTCGCCCCCCCCCCCCCCTCCCCCATCTTGATTTAGCTCTTGGTGGGGAATTAGATAGAAAGGGGGGGGGGTTTACCTGAATGTCAGACTAATCATAAAATATTAGGATATTATCTATATCAGGTTGAAATAAAATAAAGTTTTAACATGTTATCAAAAAAATAAATTGTAGTTCATAGACTTATATACCAATGATTTTATATATGTTGCACTACCAATAGCCTATTGGTCTATTCAGAGACATATAAAACAGAGATGAGTGTTATCATATGTCTCTGGTCCATTGCAGTTTTTGTATTACACAAAGGTATAATTAGCTGGATAAAGATATGGATTTTAAGCTATCAGATAGAGACAGTAGTCAAGGGCCCTGAGACAATACAGTCTTGCTGTTGCTTCGATTATATTCATAGTCTTTGTTTACTTTCCCCGCTTATAAAATATGATTGGATATTCAACAAAGGTATTCTTCCTGTCGTGGTATTGAAAAACTCTTCAGACAAACTAATGTCAAGGGAATCGTTCAAAGTATATTGATCAAACTCTCTACAGGATGATTGGCCATAGTGTTTGCCTTGAAACCTTGAACTTGAAATTTTTGCTTGTTTTGGAAAACAATCTATGCAAAATTGATTAATGTGAATTTAAAATTATTCACACTGTGTCTATTATTTGAATTTTTTAAACTTATATGAGAAAATACTCCAGAATGTTTGAAAACTTGGATTCTAGGATTATGCTATATCTACGAGAAGAGGAAGCATTTGATCCCGTAATCCATTGTTGCAATGTTTTGAAGGGGTCTCTTGTTTAGTAAAGTCCCTAATCTCTATCACCAAGGTACACATGTAGATTATAGATCAACCCCATCCAGACACGCTAGAGAAATATCAGCAGTTCTACGGAAGGCTGTGTTCCTAATTTTTTATCATCCCCTGTACCATTGGAGAAGTTTAAATAGGATCATGCTCGGGCGATTTGGAGCTACATTGACCCCTGAATCTTTAAGGACTGTACAACTGGATTAGGATCATTTAGGACAGTGCCCCATTGATATTGTTACTTCAGGGGATGTGATCACACATAGTTGATACGAAATCTGAATTATATTAACAATTTTAAATTGTTCAAAGGTACAAATCAGAAGTGTACCAAATTTTTCAAAAGTACCATTCAGAAGTGCCAATCAAAAGTGCCAAAGATGCCGTTAGCATACCAATATGTCAGTGTCCCGATTTTGCCATCTGGGAAACCATCAAATGAGAGAAAACCATGGTATGTATAGAAAATCTTGTTTCTCCAACCATATAGACATTTACGGTTTTGTTCAAACACATACATTTACAATCATTAAAACAATTGAGAAATAACTTGGAAACATTTATAAACAGTTCAAGAAAAACATGTTTAATTTTTAATTTGGAAAAATAAAAATGATGGCGCTACATGGGCACTACAAAGCTAACTGGAAATATGGTTTTAACTACCATAGTAGAGTTTAGCAGTGGAACCTGATAAATAAAATATGATGTTCTCATTTAAATTACCAAACTTGGCCAAATATAACTGACAACTGAGGAGATTGATAAAGTTGACATATATTATTCCTACCTGTCTTAATAAGTAATTCATTTAACATTTTTAAATGGAAAGTGTTACATTGTATTCTAATTTAAAATGATCAGTCAGAATAAGTACAGTAAAACCTATGTAAGCGGAACTCCATGACAACAATAAATATGTTCCACTTCGTTCAATAACATGAATTAAAAAAAATTGTTCCTCTTACTGAGGAGTTTCACTTGACGTTTTTACTTTATCACTTAGCATCATATATTTTAAAATGATATGTCAGAATAATTACAGTAAAGTCTATGTAAGTGGAACACCTGTCTTGAGATTGCAAAAAGTGTTCCACTTAAAATTATGTAAGCAGAACTCCATGACAACAATAAATGTGTTCCACTTACAAAAATGTTCCACTCACTGAGGAGTACCACTTGACAGTTTTTACTTTACCATTAAGTTACATATATTTTAAATGATATGTCAGAATAAGTACAGTAAAGTCTATGTAAGTGGAACACCTGTCTTGAGATTGCAAAAAGTGTTCCACTTATAAGGTGTTCCACTTTAGAGGTTCACCAGTTAGGAAGTTAATGGGTCATACAACTTTTCTATGTTTCACTCGTGGCAGTGTTTCACATACAGATGAACATGAAGTATTTTAAAACTGTTCCGCCTTACAAGGCGTTCCACTGTTTGTTTGTTTTACTTTAAACAATAAGCGTTTGTTGATGGATGGAGGGGAATTCTGAGTTAAAAATTAAAAGATCGACAATTTACAATTTAAATATATTTTTATGAAGGCAGAATTTAATGTAAATAAGTGTACATTCTGAGTTCCAAAAAAGAATTCCTAAGAATCATGTGTTCAAATTAGAATCTTATGAATAGTTGAATGTCCTGATATCAAAAATAGCGAATTGAATAATTCAGAAAATTTTTTCCATTTCAACATTATCAAAATTAAAATGTTAGCCCCATGGTGACAAGGTAGCCTAGACTGTATAAATAGTGGATAATAAGCAAAATATCGCTCAAATTATCAGTGACACTCCGAGTGCCTAGGGTTATTGGTCCTTTTTCAATTATTCTAATTTCCAATTGATCCTTGTCACTTGTATTTAATATTTACATTGCACTTTGCGTCTCAGCCATATTGACCGGATCTTTCAAAAATGTAACCTCCTGTCATCAGACTCAATTTGACAGGTATTGTATTTTGTTTGTTCAAACTCTTATACTGTTTGTGTCCGAGCTATACCAGGTGACCATATAAGAAATCTATTCCGTGTAAAATATGAATAGGTAATGAAAACATTAAGGGGTTTATCCAAGGAACCCGATCATTCCAGTGTCAATAAGTCATTGAAATTAGTATTTTGGTTGGCTGATTCGCCGAGTTAAATTAAGAAATTATTGATGTTGAGGCTGAATGCGGTGTTGGATACCAAACAGAAATCACATATTCACAAAGCTAAATGTTCATGACAACTGGAAACAAATTTAAAATGTGGATCAAATGAAATCAAAATAGATTAATTATAAATGAAGCAGTATCAAATGACTTGAATATCTAATAAGAATATCGATATCTGAGGTGTCAAAATAAGATAAAGTAATTAAAACAAGGAAAATATATTAATCACAGGACTTTTGAAAGCCCATTTCTTTCTCATTAGAAAAGACAATTAATTACCACATGTATTAATTCAAGAAACAAGGGAAAAAATTGTTGTCAAATAAAAATAAATAAAACATTAATTTTTTCATGATGCTAAAACGTTCAAGAAATCTGACATGGCCAAATAAGATGAACAATGGATTTAACAATTCTATGTTGGAGATAACTTTTCAGGATGTTATTGAAAGGTAAAACGGATAAAAATATGTATACCACTTTACATGTAAAATATGGTTTTGATTAGTTGATTTTATTTGTCTTCTTTTTTGTCGACATATTCTACAGTCTTAAAGTGGGCCATCTCAACTAAATGGAATCTTGAGTTGTTTCATAGGTTCTCAGTGAGATATTTTGCAATAATAACTACAGTATAATGATAAGTGAATATAAAATGATGAACACATTCAGGTAAAGATGTCACTTTCATGATTGTTCATTTGATTTTGTCAATGTTCAGGAGAGATCCAATTTATCTTGTAAGTTAAAAATTGTCAAAGTTTCATGCTTTTATTGGTTCAGACAATCGCTATAGAAACAAGTACACAGAATGTTAAACACACTGGTTGCCCTTTCATAAAATATAATACTTTATGAAATTATAAGATAAAAGTCTAAATTCAAATTAATAAAATAAATAAATGAATAACTTTATTATGGTAAAAAATTAAAGAATGAGTTACTCTTTGATATTACAAATAGTCACTCAGAATTTTGACTAGATGGTTGTGCTGATGTAGCCATTTAACAAAAGATAAATTTCAGAAATATATTATTAGTTTTAGAAAGCACACACTAAGGAAATAATATTTTATACATAAAGTGTATATTCTTTCTAAATGTATCCTTTTACATGTCATGTTTATCTTTAGGGCAGACAGAGGACCTCAAAATGACACCTATGTCCACAGATCAGCTAGCTTTCAGGTATATATTCCTCTGATTTTATTTAACATCCAGTTGCATACACAAGAAAAAGATTCACTTTAATTTTTCTTAGAAACATAAAGGTCGATTCTCGGTTTGGAGAACAGTCTCTTGGGCTAATAATTTTTTTCATGAAAAATATAGAAATATTACCCTAATTAAACTATGAATATTCAAAAGGACATTTAAATCTACAAGATGTAAAAATAACAAATTGGTCTGAAGCAGGGATAACGCTCAATTAGACCGATTCAATAAAATACAAGTCTCGATGTGGGGAAAGAAGTTCATCAGTGTACTGCGGTAATATTTTTTTGAGAAAAATCTAGAAATATTACCCAAATTAAATTATGACTATTCAAAAGAGGACATTCAAATCTATATTATGTAAAAAAATCAAGTTTGTCCGAAGCAGGGATAATGCTCATTTAGACTGATGAACTTCGTTCTCCAAACCGAGAATTGTCCTTTCAGAATAATATATCATATATCTATCAGTCAAAAGTTGGTCTGTTAATTAAGAGACATAGAATATGATTACTTATGCAGTACACTGTACAATTCAGTCAATATCAAGCAATCAATCACCCAATCAATCTGCAATTCAATCAATACAATTCTCTTCCAGCCATGTAATGGCAAACAGTATATGAGCTTTGATATCCACCCTGATTGGATGTCTGAAAGAATGCACAACAGCAAGACAGAAATCAAGAACTTTAAAACTTACTGGCCCTGGGAACACAGAAACACTAGACACCTTGTAAGTATCTACTGGACATGTGTCATGTATATATCTTGAAGACAGAAGTCAATTTTGGTGAATTTCATGATTTCAGATTCATCATTTATCAAATATTTTTGTTACTGTTTCTATGTTTATTTATTCTACATATCATTTCACAGAACTTGTTTAAATATGTGATGAAAAATATATATCGTAAATGAATGATAAAAACATATTTTCAAATTTTACATGGGGCCTTTAATCAATAGTTAGTTACCAAAATACCTCATCATATTCCAGGCAAACCGCCAAAAGCCCAAAGACCAGAGCTACTTCTTGATCAATCCCCAGTGGAACTCAGAAAATGTAGGAAGACCAGTGCCCCCTAGGAAACAATACGAGAAGTTCCAATGGCCCGCTACCACCAAAGACCCAGATGTTAGCGGGGTTAAGTTTCCCTCAATTATAGAATGTAATAAACCTATTAACTATAATATCACAGCAAGAGCATACAAACTGGGGCAAGTGTACTAGGAATCTAGAAGAGTGTACTGGAAAAGTGTATTAGGAACAGGGTTCAGTCCTAGGACAGAGTACTAGGAGTCTGGGGTAGTGTACTTCTTGCAGTGTACTAGGGTAGTATATTTTTGTATTCTGAGGAGTAAAATAATATAAAACTCACACAATAATATTAAAGCGTATTGCCCCCTAAATGACCAATTACAAAACTGGAACGTATCGGAGGATTGGAGCGGGCATCTCAAGTTGTAAGATTTAAGAAATAGTTTGTTAGCTTACACACTCAAAAAGTTAAGAAACCTTGAGTCACAATTGGATAGTATGTTACACTTAAAATGAACATTTATGTTTGAATTTGAACTTTTTCTCGATTACAAGTTCAAAGAATGTTTGGTTTACTCTTGTAGGGAATTGTTTCTAAACTTTTAAGAGGAGTGTACATATTGCAAACGCTAGTACAACTGTACAACAGAGGGATGGACAAAAACAGTATTATTATGCCAATCAAATATTCACAACTAAAAAATATTTTTATGCATAATTTTTGATTTCTTCACATTTTGAAGAATCTTTTACTTTAGACCACCAATGGAAAACATTTTGAATTGGGTCAGAGAATTCTAGCAAATGTAACAGTAGAATGAATATACTATAATGATTAATGTTTAATACACATGTATATTCAAAAATAAGAATGCTTTATGAAAATATTTACACATGAACACCCTGTCAAGTTCTTTTTATTATACCTCATACAGTATTAGGTGCATTTTATATAATTTTGTTTGCCAAATAGTTATTTAAAAGGGCTCGTTTTTAATACACAAACTAATAAAGACATGGTCAAAATAAACACAAGAGATCAGTAGTACACAATTGATTAATTATATGCATTTGAAGTTAAAAGAAGTAGAAGTGATAAGGAGTCAAATTAAAATGTTGGAAGCGTTCATTTTAACAAAAGGCATAATTGCTAGTGTTTCTCTCATTCAGATTTTATTTTCTGAAAGAAAAGAATAGAGAAATCTGATGAAATGATGTGTGTTTGGTTTACTTATTAAAGTGCATTTGTGATATTGCCGTTTCTGGTTTCATGTACACAAAATCATTTTAAGTAACTAAAACAAGGAAAGGTGAAGATTCAATTTGAAGAAACATCATTGATTTATTTCAATTCACTCTCTATCCCTTCTGCTTCAAAGGTGCTTCCAAAAAATCAATGTAGGTTTTCATAAATATGTTCTGTGAAAAAACAGCCCTTTTACATTACTTTTGGCAAATCTTCACAGTTAGTGAGATTAATAAATTAAATTTTGTTTTACACATTGTAAAATTAATTTAGCTTTTTTAAAATTCACAAATGTAAAATTCACTTGTGCAATGGTGGTTAATAGGGTTTTAATGTCTTCACAATGTGGATCATAAATATTGGGACATAAAAGTGGAGACATTAGAAACATAATGCCTATTTGTATATAAAACTGAGTATTGATTTAAATAAATAAGATTTATTTCATTAAATATATTGATTTTTTGTATATCATATTCTACTTGGTGACAGATCATATTCAATTCACTATGTAGCAGATACAGGCTGAGCCAAAAAACTTAACTCAAACAAAGATTATGTTTTTTGGCTCACCTTGTATACAATTCACAGTGTAAGATACGGTTTAACGAGGCGTATAGCCTTTTTATTTTTTTGTAAAGCCACTCAGTAAAATTACGATTTCAATTTTGCGTGCAAACATTGGGTAGACGTTGTCATTACCGGATGCCCAAACTGTCAGGAACACATACATACTCGAATGATGTTGATTGGACATCAGGGTGCAGAGAAATCGTAATTTTACTGAGTGACTTCACGAAAAAATAAGCAGCACTTTAAGCCACCTTAACCTTTTGTTAAATGTAATACCTCTGTAAGGGGAACACCCCCAAAGTGGAACACTATTTTGAGGTTTCGTAAGCTTTCCACTTGCACAGGTTTAACTGAATGAATGAAAGGTAGATCTAAAAATAAATAAGGAACTGGTAAAATTTCATGTCCATTTACATACTCTACTAAGCAGACTTAGGCACACATTCTGGTTAATTCAATTGCCCCATAAGGCAGCTATAAGAATCTATTGTAACATCTAGACCAATTTCTATGGCAAGATCAATCGTAAAGACTAGTCCAAATTTTTAAAAGCCTGTTGATTAAATCCCTGGGGTACCAAATAACATACTGCGTACTGTTGTATCTTTAGCATAAATCAAGTCCCTAGGGTACCATCTAACATACTGCGTACTGTCAATGTAGAGTAGTATATTTTATGCCATATGAGGCAGCTGTAGTCTCGTATTGCTGTTCAAGTCCCTGGGGAACCATATAACATACTGCGTACTGTCTATGTACATAGTATATTTTATGCCATATGAGGTAGCTCGTAGTCTCATTTTGCTGTTCAAGTCCCTGGGGAACCATATAACATACTGCGTACTGTCTATGTACATAGTATATTTTATGCCATATGAGGTAGCTGTAGTCTCGTATTGCTGTTCAAGTCCCTGGGGAACCATATAACATACTGCGTACTGTCTATGTACATAGTATATTTTATGCCATATGAGGTAGCTTGTAGTCTCATATTGCTGTTCAAGTCCCTGGGGTACCATATAACATACTGCGTACTGTCTATGTACATAGTATATTTTATGCCATATGAGGTAGCTGTAGTCTCGTATTGCTGTTCAAGTCCCTGGGGAACCATATAACATACTGCGTACTGTCTATGTACATAGTATATTTTATGCCATATGAGGTAGCTTGTAGTCTCATATTGCTGTTCAAGTCCCTGGGGTACCATCTAACATACTGCATACTGTCTATGTACAGAAGTATATTTTATGCCATATGAGGTAGCTTGTAGTCTCGTATTGCTGTTCAAGTCCCTGGGGTACCATCTAACATACTGCGTACTGTACAGTAGTATATTTTATGCCATATGAGGTAGCTCGTAGTCTCATATTGCTGTTCAAGTCCCTGGGGTACCATCTAACATACTGCGTACTGTACAGTAGTATATTTTATGCCATATGAGGTAGCTCGTAGTCTCGTATTGCTGTTCAAGTCCCTGGGGAACCATATAACATACTGCGTACTGTCTATGTACATAGTATATTTTATGCCATATGAGGTAGCTCGTAGTCTCGTATTGCTGTTCAAGTCCCTGGGGAACCATATAACATACTGCGTACTGTCTATGTACATAGTATATTTTATGCCATATGAGGTAGCTTGTAGTCTCATATTGCTGTTCAAGTCCCTGGGGTACCGTATAACATACTGTGTACTGTCTATGTACATAGTATATTTTATGCCATATGAGGTAGCTTGTAGTCTCATATTGCTGTTCAAGTCCCTGGGGTACCGTATAACATACTGTGTACTGTTGTATATGTGGCTGGTTCCATGTCATGTGATATTTCTTTAAAACAGTCTCTTGCAAGTCCCTGTTGTACTCTACATCCTGATAGCATCATTTCACCATACAAATATACCCCCATAGACTGAAACAACATATAATTCAGAATACAGGCAAATTCAAGTACATAATTAAGTACAATTTAAGTACAGGGTGGTCAAAAAAACGGCAACCCTAATTTTTCCTCATATCTTTGTCATTTTTAGAAATTTTGCCCTGATATTTGGCACACATGTACATCATTCAATTTCATACTAGACTGCGTTATTTCATGAACATTGGACTGATAGTTGCGATGTTACAGCACTTTAAAAAAGGTGCCCCAGTTTTCCAATATCGTGCTGTAGGCAAACCTGCACACATTTTCCAAACCTGTTAATGACCTAACTGCATTCCTCAGCAAGTATGGCCTGAACCACACATGTGATCTTTATATTGAGGTCAAATGTCTTTCTGTTGTTATTACCCTACACTCTATCTTTGGGGTATCCCCACTGGTAAAGATTAAATGGGGCCATATCATGGCTATGGGGTGGCCATTCATTGTCTGTTGTACTGCTGATAATGTGGTCATTGAAGTGGTCCCAAAGCCATTATAGTGCATCATTGGGTGTATGGGGTATGGTTCTGTCTTGTTGGAACCACTGTTGCTGCCTATCAACCCCCCTGGGTTCAACTAAAGTCCCCAAGAACTCCATGGGAATCACAAAATAGAGTTTGATGTTGACAGTTATTGCATATCCGTTGGTATCATCAAAGGTAAAGAGCCCTGTTTTCTGAGAACACTAAACTGTGCATCTGTCTGTGTGAAGGTGCCTCTCCACTACTTCATCAAGTGCTTGGCTCCCCAAGAATACATAATTGTTAGAGTTTACCAGTGCTTCATTTGAATACGAGACTACCCTTTGCATTCGTTTGACTTCACTTCTTAAAAGAGAGCTTCGTCTTCACTCTTTCAAACTAAAATAAACCTGTGAAATCACCGCGCCAATCAGTGTTCGTCAGCCAAATTTGACCGACGTTCTATATATGGTCATTCCTTCTGACGTCATCGTTGAGCCCGGAATTGACCAATGACATGTGCATATTTAATTAGAACGCATTTGGCGTATGTTTCTTCAAGCTCGCTGATTAGTGGAAGAAATGTCAGTGCGTAGGTCAGAAGTGATTTATTACCCAAACTGTCACCAGAACCCGTCGTGGGGGCGGGGCTACTAAACTGCAATATGGTCTCTACTAGGCAGAGTGTAGTTTAACTAGACTCTGCACGCAGGGTAATACGAGACCAGCTCAGACAGCCCAAAAGTGGCCATATGGGGCATGTTGCTTAAAATGAAGTAATATTGTGACTATCAGTCTCATGGTCATGAAACATGGTAGTTTGGTAGGAAATTGAATGATGTACAAATGTGTAAAATATCAGGGAGTTATTTCTTAGAATGACAAAACTAGGGTTGCCGTTTTTATTGACCACCCTGTACATAACATGTACATGTTTTACAGAGAAACAATCACTATTGTACCTATCAAAATTATTTATTCATGTCAGTTTTTCATGTTTTTCTACTGTAGAACAAGATTTTAATTACAGATATACGTGTATTATTGACTCTTTCCTAAAATAACAGAAAAATTAATTGCGCATATTAAGTAAAATCAAATATTTTCACATTTCGCCCTATCATATAACGGTTCAGTCTGACACAAATAACAACTGTGACTTCTTCTAAAAATTATTTTGATCATTTCTCTTGCCACATTCTTGCCAGATATTTTCGATTTTGATATAGTGTGAGCACTGCACACGTTGTCTTGGAAATATAGCAAAATAGAACACAACTTGTATTTAAGTGATTACCTGGTCATTAATCAGCAATAACCTGACATCCTGGTAAGCTTTACTGTACTTGTGTTTCACTACCAGTTCACACCATAGATGTCTCACCTGTAAAAAAATTGAATATTCATAACAAATTTTGAGGTGGACTGGGAAGAACACGACATGAAGGTTTACAAGGTAGATGTCATGTATAGCAGTAGATCAGATGTCACTAGGGCCTATGCCTCCTTATGGTTCTTTTGACTGACTTTCTTATCACACTGCTTGGTCATTTACAACATGCAACTTGCATTCTTTATCAGTTTTGTCCATAGAGCATGCCACAAAAATTCAAGGAAAAATAAAATAAGTATTAAAATGGTCTTCATGCCTCAATAGATGAACACTTTTGAATGAGGTGGAAACTTTTATACAAACCCAAATCAGTATTGTTTCAATAATCTCAAAATACCTCATCGATAACAGTAGAAACTCCCAAAATTGCACAACTGATAGAGTGTTTACAGCCTTTATCAACAGACATACAGTATCTGGTACACACACATTAGAATGTGATTATACCAGATACTGGGCCCGTAGCCAGCTTTTGCCGAGGAGTTCAGTTTTTTTAAATTCCAGGGTTGTTCCAATTGGATAATTGTGGACCAATCACTTGAAAGTGGATGATTTTGAAAGAAATTTTGCCAAGCCCCCCGATCCCCACCACCCCTGGCTACAGGCCTGGATACTTAAATTCAAGCAAGAACAATAAAGTATAAAATCATCAGGAAAGGCTTACATCAGGGTTCTGCTGTGACATGTCATAGACCTGCTGCAGACTGTCCAGTGTCCGGTACTGCAGTCTAGCACACTCAACTAATCTTTGCAACATCAACACTAACTGATCAGCAAACTGGAACTAAAATATATACTTTTGCTCGTACCTAACTTATAATCCTGGGTTTTAGGACAATATAAAGATGGCGGGGCATGTCTTTCACCTTAACATTAATGACTGAAAATCCAAATGTATAAATTGAAAATTGTTTTTCTATAAACACAAAGGGATTCACTTTGTTCTACCAATTATTTCATAATCTTACTTCCACACACTCTGGGAGGATTGCATCATAGTCATCATTTTGAGATCTTTTTCGTTTCCTCTTCTGCTTCAGGATATTATTGTCAAATTTCATCCACCTCTCAGACTGAAAGTATAATAAAATGTGCAAAAATTATATTTTTTATTAAATATGGGAATATATGTGAGAGCAATCTTGCATAAGATAAGAATTTATGACAAATATTAGAAATTTCCACACATAATTTTTATCGCATGCTTGGAAAATGAAATGATTAAATCAGTCTGCATTCTTTGAAAGCTGGTTGGTATTCATTACACCTTTATAATTCTAATCAATCATAAACAAGATACCTGCTTCACTGCTTCATTGTACAGGCTGTTTCCTCTGAGGCATTCTTCATTAAACATTTCATCTATTTCCTATATTCAAGAAACAAGAATACAAAATACATATGAACAAAAACAAACAGTAAATGCTATGAACAGATCTACTACATGATGTATACCAGTACCTGTATACAAATACAATTCAAACTGAAAATTGAGCGTCAATCTTATCTATTGAACTGCCTTATTATCGTACTGTCTACTATATTGTTTATGTAAAAATGGCACCATTTGGTGGGCTTACATGCCAGTTTTTCTAAGTGAAAGCTATGGACCAATAATGCAAAATTACCAGGCTGAGTATGCATCTACATAAAATGAATATGAACATTAGTTCAGGCAATGGGCAGTTTTAAAATTGTTGATGGATGAACAGACAGGCTACTTTAACCTCTTGAATCCCAGGCTCTAAAATCGGTTGAAACCAGAGAGTTTTTCATTTTTGCCACCTTTTGACCATTTACTAAATACAAATACAACTTGAAATAAGAGCAATTTTAGTGAAAATTTTTGTGACAGATTTTCTCATCACTCTGGGTTTCAAGGTCATTTCTGAGGTGACAAGAAATCTTGTCACCCAAGGTAGTCAAGAGGTTAAACAGGGCACTTTTAAACAGAGCCATTTAACCTAAAGGGCCTATTCAAATGATTTACCTGAGGCATGCCACTTGATTCTAACCATGTTTGGAACAAAGTGTCTGGAGACAAACCAGCATCTCTGCAAAACAAAATGCATTTAATTTTTGGAAGAATAGCTAAGGCCTTTAAATCGAGGATCAAAGAGTTTTGTGTGAAAATCTGGTAAAAATCTGATGATTTGGGATATTAACAATTATTCATTTAACATTTACAATAATTCAATTCAATGAATAGTACCGTATAAGTAAATGTACCTTAATTCATCTCCATGATGTAGAAACAGCAAATTAAAAAAATCCTAGAAACAAACCAAAACAGTGATATAACATACTGTGTGCAATCATTCAACAGAATGTTCACAAACAAATTGAATTTAACACAGGTCTGTTGGATATTTTTTCAAAATTTGCTGGACAAAAATGCTTCAATTTATTTCGAATGTCTCTATTTTAACAAAATTGTTGAATGTTTCTCTCACCTGTGATGAAACTTGCTGTCCACTGAAAGTCTTTGTATAGATCTTAAGAAAACTGAGAAACTTGTTCTTCCCAATAATGCAAGCCAAATGTTTGAGCAGAAAATATCCCTGCAAAAGTAAAACTCATGTACAGTAGATAATATTGTTTATGGTATCATGGGATAAATCTAATATCTGATCATTTCTTGATATATATATTCTTTTACTGATTCATACAATTCACGGAATAGGTATAAATATATTTTGTACCTTTAAACACAATATCTGATAACCCAGCAATAAAAAATGATAGCATCCAAAAAGGATCAGTTACTCTTGTGCTTTAGTTTAGTTACAAATAACAGATAAAGTTTACCTGTTGAACTGTTTTGCAGTAACATGTATAGTGAAACCTGTAAAGTGGAACACCTACAGAAGTGGAACACCTCTCTAAGTGGAACACAACCAAACAACTTAATGTTAAATGAACCTCTATAAATGGAACAAATCCAAAGTGGAACACTTTTTTAGAGGTTTAATGGTATTCCACTAAGGTAGATTTTACTGTGAATGATTTTGCTGATAGGGTCCTACCTTGAGGTAATGAACCTGAGTAAATGTTTTCTCTGGATTAAGACCATTCTTAACATAACTGATCTGTTCTGTCCCTTCGGTCATCTTGCCAGCTGCTGTACTAGATATAAGGTAAAAATGAACAATATTACTCCTAATAATGTGATAAAAACTTAACAAAGCATTAACTTGCAAAATGTCACTACCTGCCATTTAATACAGACACTGACTGCTGAACATCAACCTCAAAATAGTTGGAGACAAAAATGACATAAAAATGCACAAGATTCCATATTTTCCTTTTATTTTTTACTTATCTTCAGATTCCATGTTTATTTTTTACCCACTGTCATGTTCCATATTCAATTCTTCGCTATAGTACCCCTTACATGTAAGTGACACTAATATGTTACTTACAATAATAGCTAACCAAAATCTATTAAGCTGTTAAGCAAAAAATTATAAAATTGGATTCTAACCTTAAAACTTGGATATCAGTATTGGTGTTTTCAAGCTCAGATTTCAAAGTGTGATATCGACTCAAAGCCCTCAATTGGCAGTATTCTTCTAACTTCTTTTCCTCCATCTTGAAAAAACAACATGCAGATGAGGTGAATTGTAGTTGTGTGTTGGGGGGGGGGGTTGATCGGATGAGTTGTTTTTACAGAAAAAGTGATTATATTTAGCTTTAGTATGAAACCTATTACACAAAACAACATCTTATAGAGTATGATGATGAGGAAACCTAATCTGTACTGGACAAGCAATATACAAGGCATTATACAAGGCATTAACACAAAAAATGTCACCATCTGCCATTTGTTACAGATGCCATCCACAGAACACCAACCACAAACTCCACCCATAAAAAGGATGGGGACTATGACAATATGTCACCACTTCTGGTGGTGACATAATAAAACATGATGGTCAGTAAACTCAGTACAGAGTGAGGAAGCATTACAGGGTGGGCTAGTACTAACATTTAAAGCAACTCCATAATAAAACATGATGGTCAGTAAACTCAGTACAGAATAAGGAAGCATTACAGGGTGGGCTAGTACTTACATTTAAAGCAACTCCATGCAACTGGTCCTCTATGAAAGTGGCAAACCCTTCACTCAGCCATTCTTCTGACCAGTTGCTTGCTCCAATACATAAGCCAAACCAATAGTGGGAGAGTTCATGCGCAATACGGACATTCGTGCTGCCATCTTTGCACAATAGAGTTTGTGAAATGAAAATAAGGTTTGGACTAAAACAGATAAGATACAAAATTCTATTAATAATATACTTGCACATGCATGTAGATATATGAAATTGGAATTTATTTCATACGCATTAGTTTATAAATTGTTTTTTTGCTGAAATAGCTGGGACGAATATACATCATCTTCTAAAAATTTACCATTTGATAGCTTCTTCAGAGAACCTATACTATACAGTATGTGGTTTGTGGGGGGGGTCTGTCAAGAGCATAAACTATGGTATATGGTACTATGGTACAAAATAAGGAAAGAAATCTAGCAAACTCTGACAACCCCCCTGGCTCCTCCCCTTCTCTTACACCCTATGAAGAAAGCACACACATGTACCTTGTAAGTCCTAGACTGGCGAAAGCTTTAGGCACAACAAGGAGATCAATTCTAGGATATGGCAATGGGCCTAGCATCTCCCCCATTGCCCTAACACATACAGGTAAATAGTCATCCAGCTGTTGAGAGGCAAGTGGTACCAGATCTGATGTGGCATAGATATTACAGGAAATCTTGTCATCATATGTAGTCGTTCTGTGATTGAAGAGAGATGAATGAATATGCATTCATGTAGATTACACATGCATGTAAAGAAATTGTGCAGATTAAATAAACATAACTTATATTATATTTGTTACATGTACAGATATGGCTTTGAGGTCAAAACATGAAATTCTGAGCATGTTGATGAATTGATTATTATATACGTACAATTGATCTTGTGGATGGGAGAGACTATTATAAATCAACTACTACACTGGTTGTCATAGTGACCAATATGCAGGTATCAAATATAATTTTATGAGATATATTGATATATACCTGTACCTGTGTTCAACTGGGTAGTCAACAACAGTTTTCTCCCAGTGGCCAACTGCAATTGCTACAGTGGAGGGTGGTAGAGCATTGGTGGACTGAAAGTGAAACAGCTTTCTTCCTGTAAATAGATTTATATCATGTTATAAAGAGCAGTAGCGCACAAGGACTACACTAAGAACAACATTTTGGCATGTAGTAAAGAGTGTACTAAATGGTACACCCTTGGGACCATATAAAGTTGTAATAACAATGAGGTGTTCAACTCACATGGGTCCCCCTTTACAAAGAGTCAATAGGCCATGTAAGACTAAAAAATGTTGCATTTTCAAGGCATTTCTCTTAACCGGTTTTACAGTATTCTTTCTCCTCTTGCTCTCTACGATTACGAATCTAAAATTTCATTCACATTAAGTAAAGGAAATTATAAGATGTCTGACTTATTACCCTTCATTCCTTCATAATCTAATCTCAAGATAATTTTTTTCAAGTAAAAGTTCCTATGGTGTTTTTTTAACTAACCATTGAATTCCTCTGTCCAAGATAAATCAGCTGCCATTAACACAGTAAGTGGAGATTCTACTTCAATAACTGCTCCCCAGGTGGCACTAGCTAAAGGGACATCTTGGGCGGGGAAGAATGAGCGATTGTTGATCCAGGATGCTGGCGTTATTACACAAGGCCTGCAATGCAAGTGTTGTTTTTGTAGCAGTGGGAGAATGAAGCTTCCTGGTCATCTCAACCCCAAGTCAACTCAACCCAGTAAAACTCAACCCCAAGTCAACTCAACCCCAAGTCAAGTCGACCTCAGTAAAGCTCAACCCCAAGTCATATCAACCCTGTAAAACTCAACCCCAGTAAAACTCAACCCTATATTTCCATATATTGATAAACTTATAAGAAAGTTTATTTCATAAAAATAATTCTGATTATTCAGTTTGTGGTTTTCATTCTTAGACCACTGCCTTTTTCGATTATAGTTAATAATGAGTTTATCTCCAAAATCTCAGCATGGTACTAATAGGATTAAAATATGGGTCATTTTATTAATCTTGCTAATACGTTTGTTTTGTTGTAATCCCTATGAGGTTGGCACTCGTGATTATTTGGGAAACTGGAACATGACCATTGCTTTCCAGGGGCATAGCCAGCTTTCAGTCAGGGGGTGCAGATCGTGGCATAAGCGAGCCAAAAAAGATATGTTTTGACAAAAAATGATGCAACTTCCTTCAAAATTGGGGGGAGAGTGTGTGCGCACCCCTCCTGTGACAATTTGATGAATTATCCTTGAGCTTAATCATTTTTTGGAATACTTTTACAACTTTCTATTCAAAGTATCATGCAAAATGCTAGATTTTCAGAAATGAATTACTTAAATTATTCATCATAAAAAATTAAAACAGGGACAAATGAATAGGGTTGAGTTTTACTGGGGTTGAGTTTTACAGGGTTGAGTTGACTTGGGGTTGAGTTTTACTGGGGTTGACTTGACTTGGGGTTGAGTTGGACTGGGTTGAGATGACCTGTCACCAGAATGAAGACTCAAGCAACCAAGCATGTAAACAAACTAATAAACAAAACAAAGTCTGGCTTACTTGGTACCTGAAATAAAGAAGTTCAATCAAAGTTGAAATCTCATTCTTATGTAATGCCTTTAGGAAATGTTATTGATTTTGTTATTATAGACACACATGCACCATTATTGAAATGAATGATAACAAAAATAAGAAGAGGCAAATTGCGTCAGGCAATCATGAACTTCCCAATCTTGTCCGCCAAAATGGCAAACCATGTCAAAAAGTACCAATATTCATACCTTTAATTATGATTAGATTATGGATTGTAAAAAATACATACCTGTTGCTCTGATCCATTAACCACTTGAGTGATGCTCCATTGGGGTCAGTGCAATAACTTATTCTTACTATCAAAACATTGGGTGAATTGGTCTCCTTTACATCCAAGTTAAGAGGCTTGTTTTCTATTGGTTTACGTTTTTCTTTGTAAATCTTAATGCACCACTTTTCAACGTCAAACTTCAGAAGAGTCGTACTGTAGCAAGAAGTCGGGTGATGGTTGGAGAGTTTTTTCTCTAACTTGAAAAAGTCCTTATCCTCTAAAAGCTTGACACAATCTTTATCCTTCAGTGTTAATTCCTCAACAGATTTTATGTTGATATCATATGAATCTAATATTAGTTTTATATTTTGTTTGTTATCATGATCAGGTCCAGCTTGATTGATGATTTTCTCTTTTCCAGCCAAGAGCTGTGTCTCATTATCGGGACTTTTGTTTCTTATATTTGCAAATATTGTCATATTTCCTGAAAATGATTTTCCATTCAAATCACACATAAGCTGCAATGTAAAATGATTAACGAAGATGTCTGCTATATTTGACATCAATGGGAGGTCTCCTTCTTCCATTTTCTTGTTTTAGAGCCCCTGCTTTCAAGCTGTTAGTGTAAGTTCCATGGACAAGTAGTTCAGTATATCTGACATACATTTAGTTCTTTCTCTTGTTCTAAGTTGGGAACACTGTATTCATCATAAACAAACCAATCCTATAAATAAATGCAATAGTGTATTTCTATCTAAGATTATCAATCTCAGTTTCTTGTTGTCTGAGTCTGTAGAAGTACATGTACATGGACAGATACAGGAACAAAAAGTAAAACAAGAATCCATGCCTTCAAGTAGAAAGGATTACCTATACCCGAATCAAGTAAACCATGAAGACTGGCTAAAAGAATGGCTAGATTACAATTTTCACTCTGTTGAGGGCTTTAAATGATGTTCAACCTACAGTGGCATAGCCAGCAAGAAAAAGGCGACAAGGCAAAAAATATTTTCAAACCTGTTCAAAAAAGCATTGAGGTAAGCGATTAATATTTAGATTCCAAATTGCGGCTATGTTACTCAGACAAAAATATGAATGTAAATCATTTGTCTGAAATAATAATGTAAGTCATGCTTAAACAAGATAATCCAGTGGAAATTTCACTAAAAAAATATGAATCCCATATAATATGTGGAAAAAACTGATTCAGTGTTCATACATCCTCCTAAGCAGGTATCCAGAATCCGTACCTCCTTCTTCCCCCTGCTATAACCAATTTGGAAGCGCCCGATTAAACTGAACCACGTGATGTAATAATGCGCAATGACTTATACATGATTTCTGTCGCAGTGTTGCGACAGCCAATCAGATTGCGAGTTCTTAATCGGGGAAATGCTAACTGCTTATAGCAGGGTGTAAGAAGAAAGAAGATATTCTGGATTTTGAAGCCCTGTGATCGGAGGATGGTGTTCATAAAACACCACAGAAAACAACAATGAACAAAAATAAATGCTTGTTTTGTTGTGGGTTAGGTAACATGTTAATGACGTCACATATTACTGTAGAATCAACAGAGATGTGTAACATTAAAATTATATGTTTGTTTAGTTGCTGATGGGATAATACTATGTGACTGATGTCATATGACATTTGTATATTTCAGATTATTTAGTGTTTAGTGCAATAAGCCTGTGCCCTCTTATAAATTGAGCACTAATCCACCATGTTATTTTTCAAAATTAACATGGCAGAGAAGCACCAAAATATAAGAGGTTACAGACTTTATAAGCCAATTCACAAGCAATCCCATACATTTATGTCATTCTTGTGCAATATGAATATATTTTTCTATATATTATTGCACAATAGTGTTTAGATTTACTTCCTGCGAAAGCTATTTGGATTTTGATATAGTAGCTTTCCCACGGAGCATTTGGACAGCTCAATGATTGTGACCTTTGAAATCGAATTAAGTCGATCAGCGGCTTACTTTTGGTCTCTAACTGTGTCTTACATCAGTATCATCAATCCGTGTAAGTATAAGAGCGATGAAATACTTCTTTTTCGATCAAGACTTGTAAATTGTCCATCGAGTGAATGTTTTTTAGACCTATTTCCAATATGGCGGTTTGCTAGGAGCGAGATACGCAACGAACGAAATGAATTTTGAGAATTAGTTAGGTTCGGACAACCTCCGGAAATGTACGAAAATGTCCGGGCAGAAAACGCCATATTGGAATTCGGCAGTAAAAACATTCACTCGACTAACAATTACAAGTCTTGATCGAAAAGGAAGTACCTCAGCACTCCAATACTTGCACAGAAGGATGATAATGATGTATAGCATAGTTAGAGAACAAAAGTAGGCCGCTGATCGACTTAATTCGATTTCAAAGGTCACAATCGATGAGCTATCCACTTTTGCGTTTGAGAGCCATAAGTTTCAAAATCTAACATGGCTCTCGAAGTGAGTAAGTTTAGATTTCTTATTTTTCAGGTTCACCTGCTTGCTTTTGAAAGATTAAAATTCGATATATTAACAATGAATTTAAAACTCATCATTGATAGACTACTTATTGAGAGAGGAATATTTCTCAAAGGATGACAAAAAAGTGATGAGGCAAGCGCCCCGGCGAGCGCCTCGTCTGCCTCATCCTGGCTACGCTAACAAGTGACCTACATGTACATGCATATACAGCACCTTGTCCTTTTACTTACTACAAATGCTGAACTCAAAATAAGAAGGAATCACGTCCCTGTAGACTCACAGGCCCCATCATCCAATGTCAATTGTAGTTATTGCAATTGTCAATCTCCAAAAAATCAATGAAGACATCAAGTCACAAATGGTGTTTCTGCTTACTGAGTTCCAGCTTTGAAGAGCATATCATATGCTACGTGCAATCATGTAAAGATCTAAAAATGTTTGGAATGGTTATATATATATATAAATATAAAATATTGCTCGGTATAAACTGAAATATTGGAAGACAACAACTTTTGAATTCCGAATGTAGCCTCCATGTTTTTGTCATGTGACTAACACGTGACTTCAATTTTTTCGTATAGTTTTTTTTAAATCAACTAGTATTACAGAGCCCTAGACTAATGACATACATTCCTCGGAATAGTTAATTTATTTTACTCTACCATATGGTTGTAACATGACGGCGGATGGTCGATGTATCCCTTATTTGATAACAGAATTTTCAAAACACCGAACACTTCGACTAGACTAGTTCTGAAATATTTGTCGTTCGTATATTCCATACAAGCCCGGAACAACTCTAGATCAGAAAATGCTGAAATTTAAAAAGTGATCATAGTTTATCTGTTTTAGACTTTAATACTTGGCTACGATGGATCTATTAATGCGTACCATGTTAGGAATTATGTGTTTCGTACCGATTTCACATGAACAAGGCGTTGCTCCAGTACGAAAGCGTGATATCTTCGATCGAAATTCCGTGTTTCTAAAAAAACAAATTCTCTCTCAAGTTGCCGATGATTTATTATCAAGCAATTTATTCAATATACTGAATGGCCAGTTACTCCTTTCTGAAAGGAACGTCAATGTATCTGTCCAGTGTCACAACCATACGATGTTGATGTTGGCCACTGCTGTCACAGAGCTGAAGAAAAACCCCGAAAATTGGGCAATGCAAAGTAAGTACATGTACATATAGACGGTGAACACCGCCTCTAATGCGTTGGATTGTCGTAAGAACACGATCCTCAGAGACCCAGAGGGTGAATGAATGCACCTAATGTACATAATGACTAGGGCAAAGGGGTGAAACGTCAATGTGTGGGGTAATGTAAACATAAATGAGGGGGTAACTTTGACACTTACTTATTAGAAGTAGAATTTCCGTTTCCGCCATGTTTGATTTCTGAAAAAATTCAAATCTCGCGAGATCTCGATCCATGCGAGAAAAAAAATTGCTTCCCCCTAGATTGGAAATTAGAGCAAATAAACAACAAGATGTCGAAGTTACCCCACATGTCGAAGTTACCCCAAAATGGTGTCGATGTTACACCCCTTTGCCCTAACACTATGAAAAAGATGCAAGGAGGATTGGCTCCCAGAAAGCAACATGACACGACAGCTTTCAAAATGCCGTTTCACCATAAGGTTAACTGATGTTGCATTCTGGGAGTCAATCCTCCTTTGATCACAAACATGGTGATCCACGAAAATGCCATGTATAATAACAGCTTGTGATATTATTGAATTCTGTGTGATATTTTCAAGGAAATCGTTTATCAAACTCATATGCCGTTGCTATTGTTTATCACATGGATCTGTGTGATAAACAAATTTGAATTTTTCGTTACAATATTGTTGGAAAATAGGTCAGATAATTTATTCTGTTGAAGTTACATTGATGTATATGTAGTTTGATTAGGATGCTGCTAAATAGCAATTATAAAATGTATTCATGACAAACTACATGTATATCATGTAGAGAAAGTACTTGCAAATTACTGTGCAATGGCAGAATTGTCAATATAATTTCTCATGATATCATTTTATTGTCAATATCATTTCTCATGATATCATTTTATTGCCTTGTAGATATCAAATATCAATGCTCATTCACTTCGCTCACTCATGTTGCTGTTTGACATAAACACGGCGATAATTTTATCATTTAAAAGGGTGTGATATTCTGTATTTATCAAATATTCCATTTTACAGTGCAAAACATATTAAACACCATTGAACAAATGTCACACAATTGATGAAATGGTACTGTTTTCTAAATATCAATATTTTGTGTGTCACGTGACCCAGTTCAATCAAAAAAGTGGGTCAAACTTGGAAAATGTGGGTCAATTATGAATTATGATTATATTAGCTCATTTTGGATAAATCTAGAGTACAAAAATAAGTGTGCTGCAATGAGACTTCATGTCTTGTGAAACTGGAATGCTACAAGTCCAGGCAATCTCCTTTTGTAACAAAAACAATTGTTTTTATGATGCAGGTGACTTTTGCCATGATTTAAGTATCAAAGTCATAGACCACATTATTTTCCAACATTGAACACTCTATCACAGGCCTGTCAACTGTCCCGCAATTTGCGTATTTGTCACGCATTTGCTGAAGAATTTGAAGTCACGCCAGTTATTTTTGCGTGACAGAAAATGTCACGCAAATACGCATTTTACCTGGTATTTGTCAAGCAAAAATATTTCTGTAGAAAAATTTCTAAAAAAAGTACGTCTACACAGCAAAAATACGACACCGAAAAATTTGAGGTGTTCAAAATACCAAGGTGTTCAAAATTTGGATCAAGGTGTTCAGATTTGGACCAAGGTGTCCACATTTTGAGGGGAGGTGTTCAACATTTCCAAGTCACTCATGTTAGGTGTTCCCAAGTTGACAGGCCTGCTATCAGCATAAATAAAATCTAAAATATTTTTGTGTCACCCTGTATATGAAAAAATGTAGGCACTGTAGGCATGTTTTGCATGTACATAATGGAACTATAACTGAGATGTTTCCTGCTATCACACCTTTCTGTCTTTTCTGATTTATGAAGATTTTTGCTCTTGTGTCAGGGTACCTGGATTGTAGATTATTTTCAGTTATGCATCAGGCTCGTAGCCAGGGGGGGGGGGGTTCGCAGGGTTCGGGCAAACCCCCCCCCCCCTGGCAAAAAATTCTTTCAAAATCATGCAGTTTTTCACCATTTTGAGCACTTTTCGAGATTTTAGCCATATTTGGGCCAAAATTGTCAAATGTGAACCCCCCCCCTGGAAATTTTTGAAAACTGAACCCCCCTTGGCAAATCCTGGCTACGGGCCTGTGCATGTAAGTTGAAAGTGACTAGTTAGATGACAGTTAGAATTACCAATGTGCCAGTTTGTATCAGTTTTATTACCAGGTGGCTCATTCAGGTCAAATGACACAGCTGATATTGAAAAAAGTTCCTTTTAACTTCAATATTCATTAGATTTATTGAATATAACCCTTTGACTATTATCTAATTGAAAATATTTCCAGTAAAAAAAGTATCTGTTCAATGCAAGAAACGATATTTCAGAAAATAATTTCTACTTGTATCTATGTCTAGACTCTTATAGTGTACCAGGCCATATGTCATTTGAGGCTTGTATCTAGTTATTCAGATTAAAAAAGAAGCAAAGGGTGAACCCAAAAAACTGCCATATTTTTTTATTTTGCTTCAACTTTTTATCATAAAGCATTGATTTCATTAAAATCTTCATAGAAAATTCGGCAATTGATAATGCAATTGATCCCAAAATGGCAATGAATAATGAATGTGTGTAGCATGAATCAGGTCAATAGTCAATAAGGATGTAAGTGAAACTAATGCATTTTTTGTTTTGATATGATATTTGAAGTAATAATTTTTCTGTGATTTTAGTTATATATAACTTTTATTGACATCTTGTATCATATATATATATATATCTTTTATTGACTCTTTAGATGTCATGACCTGACATATTAGTCATTACAAAATGAAATTTTACAAAACTACACTACACTACACTAATATATACAATTTATACAAAAAAACTTGTTATTTACATATGTTATAATATACTTTTGGTGTGATGCATCCAAAATGTTAATCCCCAGGCAAGTTTAAGTTTTTGAATGATTTTGTAATAAAACTTCCAACTTGCTTTTGCACATATTTATCTTTTGAAGAAATTAACATAATGAATGTATTTTCAGGATCATGTTGATCAACATTAATTTTGCTAGAGATGTTGTCAAACAATATTCTTCTATTTTCTCTATGTACTTGGCATTTAATCATGAAATGAACCTCATTTTCTATTTCCCCACAAAAGTTACACAATCTTTCATACTCAGGTTTTGGCCGTGGTTTTACATGTCTACCCAGTTCTATTTGTAATTTATGTGAACTTAATCTCAGTTGTGAAATTGATTGCCTGTGATTTTTGTTTTGAAGGCTTAAATATTGTTCTCTTTCGAAAATTGTTTTGAATTTAATGTATGTTCTTAAAACTGGGTATAACTGTAAATCACACTTCCATTTCTCCTTATAATTTTGGTGCAATGTTTCAGTTAGATTCTTTTTGAATACATAGTCATCATCAACAACTTGTTCATTCCAAGTGCTTTCAAGATTACAATCTTTTAAAATATTATGAACCTTACTTGACCAAGTATTTTTAAATCCTAAACTGTACATTTCATAGTCATATAGATATGCTTTATAAAGGAGGTTATCTGGACAAAGTTGTATAAGCCGTATCCAATATTTAATAAGATTAATATCAAAGCACAAACTAAGGGGGAAACGACCCAGCTCTCCATAGACTGCTAGGGTTGCAGTTGATGTTTTCACACCAAGAATGCTTTTTAAAAAGGACAGGTGAATAGTTTCAAGTGACTTAATATGTTTTTTACTTGACCATATTTCTGAACCATACATCAAAATTGGTTGGACAAGTGAATCAAATAAATGTAAGGCAACTGATATGGGAATGTCATTAAACTTGTGATATTGTTGCTTTATTTTGAATAAAGCTTTTCTAGATTGTTCTTTAAGATAGCATATTTGTTTATCAAAATTATTTTTACTGTTGAAGATACACCCTAGGTATTTGTAGTCTTCTACACATGCAATCACTTCATTATTGAATTTAAAAGTTTCATCTGATTTAGAGTTAAAAATAATAGCCTTTGTTTTAACAGTGTTGACAACAAGATGATAGTTTCTGCAAAAATCAAAGAGAGAGTCTAGCATAGATTGTGCCCCAGATTTAGAGCTAGCTATTAATACTAAGTCATCAGCCCAAAGTAGATGGTTTAAAGAAACACCTTCAAACTCTATACCATGTTCTGAGGGAAGAAAATCTTTCAAGTCATCCAAAAAATGGTTGAAAAGATATGTACTGAGAACAGAGCCCTGCATAACGCCAATTCCAGTATTGTACGTTGGAGTAATGCCATCTTTAAGTTTGAGACATGATTTCGATTTTTTATACATGCTATCAATAATTTTAAACATTTTTGAACTTGGATGTATCCCTGATTTACATAATTTATAAAGAAGTGCTGTCCTGTTGACATAATCAAACGCTTTCCTAAAATCTACCATTATACAATATAGAGGCTTTTTCTGCCTCTTAAAATGTGAAATAATAGTATTTAAAATGAACAAATTATCTGTTGTACGGTGACCAGATTTATAAGCACCTTGTAATGGGTCTTGAATATTGAGCATTTCTGCATTGAACACTAATCTTGTTTGAATGATTGTATCAAAAACATTTCCTAGACAAGCAAGTACATTGATTCCTCTGTAATTATCTGGATTGAAACGTGATCCTTGTTTGTAAAGAGTGGAGAGCATACCGATACTCCATTCTTCAGGGTATCTCCTCTATCAAAAATAAAATTAAATAGTGCAGTAAAATCTAATGATAGAGCTTTACAATTTTTAATAATATTAGATGGTAAACCATCAATACCTGGTGATTTATTAGCATTAATTTTCTTTAAGGCATTTAGAACCTCTTTTTCATGTATAACATTGTTAAGTAAATGATCACTAATTTGTAATGAATCTGTATATAAATTATGCATGTTATATTCCAATATAAAGATTTGCATTTTCTCTATAACATGATTACACTATTAGTCATAACTATGAAAAACTAAATATCTAAACTACAAACACTAACTAGAGCAAAAGTACAAAAAATATATACAAGATATACAAAAAACAGAAATAAAAGGTCGTACACATCTTGATGAAAAGACAAGGTTACATTTTAAGTGTGGTGCACATACCCTGCATTCTGACTATAAATTCTTAAATGAATGATAAATGAATTTTCCAATGTGTCTTTGTAGTGTTAAATTTTTACTAGAAATGAGATTGACAAATAAATTTTCACTTTTGAGGTCAAAGTTACTTAAAATTTCACAAGCCTTTGTGTACAATAATGTCTATGCTCATCATTCTTTGTACAAGTTAAAATGAAATGACACTCATCCTCTATATGTTTACAGGTATTGCATAATCTTTCTTCTCTAGGTTTTGGTTTTGACTTTGCATGTCTTCCAGTCTCAATTGCCAATCGATGTGAACTCATTTGAAATCTACTTATCGCCAACCTATACTTTAGTTATATGGCATATATAAATAAATACCAGTTTGACATTTAAACAGTCTATCAAGGAGCCACAATGGTGCTCACACTATTGTAATCTATATTTCTCATAAAAAATTAAACATCGGGATGTTATTGAGACCAATAAGGAAGATTAGATGGAATGGTTAAATCTAATCTTCCTTATTGGTCTCCAATTTGAGGAACAACTGCAAATTTGAATATTTACAACATATGATTGTAAAATTAGTTATCGCCAAATAAAAAGTATAGACATTTTTTGGCCCAATCTGTAATTACCTAACTAAGGTCAAAACAAAAAACATGATCAATTGAAAAAAATGAATAGTATCTACACATTACTATTAAAATACCACCTAGACAGACTTTTTACAATACCCCTGAGTGCAAAATTTCACTAAATTCTAGACACAATGACATTCTCAATGAATAATAAACAATCACGTGAAGCTCAAGTGTAAAAAGTAGACCATATTACAAAACATAGTTATGAAAGAACATTAAAGAGGTCAGATAGACAGAAATATTTGTTTACATACATTCTTTCTTTCAAGTAGATTTGAAAAGGAACATGTAATTTGAGTATCTACCTTTTACAAAACTGGCTGCAGATGTTCGTTCTGTGTTATCTTTTCAACATACCCACCAATTTATGATAATCCATTGTTTCATGAAACAAGACTAGATAGGGAAAATGTTCTCTTTCTGCTAATTGTAGTATTCAGTGTTAGACCATTTATGACTTTAATACTTAAGTGCCAACTCATGTAAATCATAATCAAACAGAATTCCCAACAAAAGAAGTTCTGTGGTTTGCATTAATTTTTGAGATCTCTCTGAAGTACAGCTTTATTGTACTCATATCGTATCGTTTTTCTGTTAAGAATCTTGTAAAATTCAAAATGCCTGCCTAATTAGTGGAATTCATAATAATTTGCTGATCTCTTCAAAGAATGGCTATATTATACTCCAATTGAAGGAATTTTAGAGTAGATCACAATATCGTCCATTATTGTCTTTCAAAGTATGGTTACATTATACTATTAGATCTCAAATATTGTATTGACTCTTTATAATTATTTTGTGCCTTTGAAACTCCCAAATGGTGGTCACCCAATCAAAGATAGAGTGCATGTAGATGGTAAATAATATTACAAATATGACTTATACAGATTCATGAATACAGTGTTCGTTGGGATTTGCTACTCCGTGGAGTTGCCGATTTCTAGTTTAAGGTATCTTTACCAAATTGTCAAAAAAAATAATGCTTAGTAATGCCAGTTTGTTAACCTAAATTGCCCAATTCATGTTGGGAGAAGCAGAATTTTTTTGCTCTAAAATTTGGGCTTCAATGAGACTAGGGCCTGCCTCATGACGCAAGTCAACGTAAACATTTATGTAATATTATACAAATATTTTATTCTGTTTTGGTGAATACCTGTGCATCTTTGACATATGGTGAGTGGAATATCATCTTGTGAAACGCCACATGTATTCACAGAAAATAGAATGAAATATTTGTTTTGTTATATCTAATGAGGGGAGTGACTGTATTGTTTGTCAATCAAAGATTGAATGAAGCATCTAAAAAATTTTGAATATTTCCTGTTTTTCAGTGATTGATGCAACAGGAAAACTTCCCAGTGGCATACTAGAGGGAAACTTCCACTGGTGGGGGTCATTTAGTCAGTGTAACAACGTAACAGCTAAGGTGAGTAGACTTTCACCAAGAGGAGGGGAACCCCAGGGTTCAAAGAAAACTATGTCTATAATGTAAATGTGTATTGAGAAGACAACATCAAATCTATAGACAAATCACATCATTCAATGGTAGTTCCAAAATTTTATGAAAACTGTGAATAATATTATGTTGATTTCTAGTGTGTTAATGAATATCATTGCTTGTTATTTCAAATCAAGATGACGAAAGATATAATTAATGTAGTATCATCGATTAAAGCATAACAACGAGTGTTGTATTTGGAAACTTCCCAGTGAGAATTTGGACAAACGAAGGTACCAAGAGACGTAATTATCCAAGCTCTGGGGTTTTCCTTCTTCTTTCACCTATGAATTATTTTAGTTCCATTGTTTGTTACTAGCTTAAAATCATTAAACTTGTGCAAGTAGTGAAACATTATTTTGAGGTACATATATACCAAAGGTGTTCTACTTATACAGGTTTACTCTCCTTGAATCCATTTGTGTTTGTTTTTTATATTATCTGGAAATATTTTCAAAAACAAGAACTTGAAAAATGATCGTAATCTTTCACATAGATTATTTTGTGTTTCGATTGTTTTGTAAACATTGTAAATCAATTCATTGAGAAATACAATGGATAAATTTGAAGTACTTGTACATGCTTCACCGTGACTTTAGAATATCACATTTATCTTGTTTAGAGCAGTTGAAATATCTGATTACGTTTCTTAAGTATTTCCGCATTATTGCTAGACTAAATAAATTTTTTACATAAAACTTGAAAGTTGAAAAGTGCTATACTGTTATTGCCTTGCGATGATGGGCGTGTTGGACTAAGCTGCACAAAAAATCTTGTTGTTGAATTCTTGTTATCAAGATTGAAATATAACTTACTTTGATATTATTAAAACTTCATTCTAATCAATGTTCATAGCATCTCTCTTTTGCATTGAAGAAGGGCTGAGATCGAGAAGGCGTGGCTTAGCATGATGGTTAAATTTGAAATTTTAACAAATGCAAGAGCAGACAAGTTCCAAAATTAAAGCTTCAGTCACATTTCCTCCAGGCGGTCGTAACTTCACAAAATCGATATAGAAAATCTACATCATATTCTTCATCCCTTTATTTAATGCTGCATATTTTTCTCGATTTTGAGAAGCTACACCCGCTATGAGGTTCCTGTTAATCACATGCTGGGTGATTTATTAGGCAGCCAGGCCCGTATCCAGGGGGGGTTTGCAGGGTTCGGGCGACCCCCCCCCCCCCCTTGCCAAAGATTCTTGCAAAATCATGCAGGTTTTCACCATTTCAAGCACTTCTCAAGTGATTTTAGCCATATTTGGGCCAAAATTGTCAAATGTGAAGCCCCCTGGAAATTTTTGAAAACTGAACCCCCCTTGGCAAATCCTGGCTACGGGCCTGGCAGCCATTTTGAATTTCAAGTGCGATATTTATCGCTGGGTGTCTTGTTTGTATTGTAGGTAATGGAAAATGGAACAGTGAAGATGCCATTCAAGGGTAAACATTGCATGGCTAACTTTGGCAGCCTCCTACCAAAACCAAATATGACACAACTGGGACAACTCCCTGCAGGGGTAAGTTTGCCCGTATGACACCCAAACTTAAAAAGCTCTTACAGGAGTTGTCATTAAGGTAGTTAGGCACTTTCAGAAAAATAGAAAAATAAGTTGAAATGCCATTTCAACATAACTTTGATAAAAATTGTTTGATTTTGGATTATTTTATAATATTCAACTAGAATTCTGAAAAATATCACATATTTCATGAAATATTAGTTATTGTAATCATGAAAATTACATGAAAATATTCATCATTGGGAACTGCCTTAATTGCCACTATTAATTATTTATGAGCAATCCTTATATGGTGTATTGATATAACTCATGCTCATGAGTGTTATTTCAATTCTATCCCTCACTTTTATGTAATACAACTGTACTTTTTCTTGGATTATCCAAAGGGATTTTTTAAACTTTATATTTGTGCAATTTTCATCCTTGAAACATGTGAAACCATGCAATTAATCAATAGTTTGGTGTAAGGTTAAAAAGAATTGACCAAATGGAAATGAACACTCCAATTCTATTATTTGACACCATGAGATCCCTACTATAGGTATGATAAAAGTGTATTAAAATATTAATATTTATGATTTCTTGTTTAGATTTGAAATAAGTTTCTTGCGAAACAGTGTATGAAACTTTGATCAAGAAATCATAATTTTTGCTATATATGTGAGAGACCAACCTAGAGAGTGTTTGTATATTTTAGTTAGATCCAAGTATCCTAGATATCGGTGTATGTGTTCCTAGCACATGTTCCAAGGAAGATGTTATAGGCCTTGTCGATGCAGGTAGGACAACAAAATTTTTTTTGTAATTATATTTTATTGTATTATTTAATCCAATGTAGATTTAATTTCTTATGAAAGTACAAAACCTCATGTAAGAGTACATAATAAAGCCTGTTTCATTTGAGCTCCACAAACAAAGAGGAATTACCGTTAACATGATAGAGGTGGACATTAAAACTGAAAATTACAATAAAATTACAGTAAAAAAACAGTTGAATATCACCAACAAAACGTAGGAAAAATATGTGAAATGAATATTCTTAAACTAGGTAGTTTGACTAGGTATTTTCATTTTTAAGCAGTGTGTTTATTTCATTGTAAGCAACGATACATAAAGGGCAAGTTCTACTTACTATGTATTACTATGTATACTTAAGCTTTTGAAATTATAACTTGTTCCAGGTTTATTTTTGCTGCCAAAGAATATCTCTGTAAAAAAAGCTACATGTACTAATACACATCTGGACCTGGACTGGAGAGCTATATTAGCAATGTAAGTAGAGCTCTTCATTCAAAGAGAGTGTAATTTCTATTGATCTGATTGACCCACATGACACAAATATAGCCTGTATTTTACCCCCCCCCCCCCCCCCGTGATACAGAATCTGTATTACAAACTTGATGTGGAAAGGATGTATTTACTCAGTTTGTGCATTGTTAAACACTGAGTTTCCCAGGTAAAATATGCTCCATATTTGATTTGATGTAAAGGAAAAACAGGATCAGGATTTCATCTTGTGTTTCATAATATTTTAATTCATATTATCTTAAGCCACAAACCAAAACAAGCATGAACCTAGACTGGAGAGTTCATCTGCGGCAGCTTATATTGTCCAACTTGCGAGTTAGGTCAGCAGCTGAGCAAATTTAAAAAAATAAGTTTGTCCCCTAAGTTTCTTACTGGATTCATGTAGAGCAAGGTCTTGAGCTTATTTTGAGCTTGGGTTCTCTGTCCTAGCCCCGGCAACGAATGTGAAAACTGGTCCTATAGGTGGCGCCCCCTACAATTCACCCCAAAACTTAAAACTAATTATTATTTTCATAATTTAAACATAAAGACATCTCAAATAGCTTAAATTGATCAATGGTACATTAAATTATGCATTAACATTTTTTTCAATGTGTGAAAATAATAATTTATGGAGAAATAGTTGATTAACCCCTTAGAACGCCCCTATTTTAAAGGGGGTACTTAAGTTAACTTCCGTAACTTTTGTGTTATTCAGGATTCTGGCTTAAAAATATTCCTGAATATGTATGATTATGCTGTTGAGAGACTGCAGTAACCCTATGTTCATAGCTTCATCACTTTTTGAGAAAAAAAATAAAACATCTTTCCATATAATTTGGTTTTGTATTATTTTCAGATAAACCATCATCTGTACTTTTTAATTTACTTTCCACACCTTAAACCCATGCATAGTATTGATAGTTTTCTTTCATTTTAGACCAATATAGATGACTGGAGTTCATAATAGTTCATAATAATAAATAATAAAATAAAATTTAAGCAGAAATAATTGATTTACCCCTTAAAATGCCCCCTATTTTAAAGAGTGTGTGTGGAAGACTAAGGAAATATTTTTGAAATTCACATGCATTGAAAGCTTATGATGTTTGGCAATGAATGTTTTAATATGCTGGTATTCATAATGGTGAGTTTAATATTAATAGCAAATGTAAACCATCCAACATTTCTGAATAAAAGCAAAATTATAGTCGATTTTACATCATGAGACAACCCCAAACCTGATATATCTCCTAGCGACCATTAAGTCTGTGTTTTCACCAAGATCCACAATCCAATAACTGAGTTTTAAATACTCTAGCATGCATTCCAAGAGGATGAACCAATGTATGGGCTTATATAATTAAAGATTCAATCTCTCCTTGCAGGTTACTTACTAACATGTAAAGTAATTAAAACAATTACTACTTAACATTTTGGTTTTTTGGATTGTGCTGTTACAATGACTGAATTGTGGCACAATCACATCAACACAATCAAGAGGTACATTTATTTCTCTTTGTTTGCTTCATCAAGTGATCTGAAAGATGAGAAGTTATAATGTACATGCAGGGTTTTTCATATCTTTGCACCCCCCCCCATAAACTCATACATCTAGCATTGCTACCCTATCATTTTATGTATCATATCGAAAGTTACATAGGATTGCAAAGTTTCAGAATCAAGGTGTATCCCTGAAAAAAGATACATTGTATCAAAGATTGCGGGTACGGGGTCATTTAGAGGGCATTTCCTGGTGATCTGTGCACTTTTTCTCGTATCCAATTTTAATGATAGAGGTCGCACCAGGGTCCCTGGCCTCTCCATAAGCCACTGCAAGAATCCTATCTATACATCTTTGCGCATAACTGTCACACTCATGTGCACTGAACTCTGCCATGATGACAACTGTTTGAAATTTGCAATACAGAAACTCAATTTCCCCTTAAAAGTGCCTTCAAACTCACCAGAAATTCCCCTCGAAATGACCCATACCCACATACTTTGATGCGTATTTCTTTTTTCAGGGATACTGCTGTATTCTGAAACTTTGCAATCCTATGTAACTTTCCATAAGGAGCAAAATGATATATAACATGATGGTGTGGCAATATGACATGTATGAGTTTATGGGGGATGTATACATATGAAACACCCTGTATGCATATATTAGTTAAAGTGTACAGATCTAAATATTTCTCCATACAAAGAAAGATATTTACTGGTTGTGTTGAAGTGATTGTGCCAACAAAACCCAGTATATTGTGTCAGCACAATACAAAAATGATGAATAGATAGCTCCAATTAGCTCTTCTATAGCCTTTGGTGATTCCCTAGAATGCCATGGAGGTGCTTTAATAGTCCCCTTTTATTCCTTAATAGCTTTACTGATAACCAGTATGCCCTGGTTGTAATTTAATAACCCCTATTGATTCCTTAGTAGCCCTTGGGGACTGCTTAGAATGCTTGGTGTCTGGTTGTGCTTTAATAACCCCTATTGATTCCTTAGTTGCCCTTGGGAACTACTTAGAATGCTTGGTGTTGTTTTAGTAATCCTGTTTGGTTCTTTAATAGCTTTAGTAATGGCCTTAGTGATAAGATCGCATGCCCTGGTTGTGCTTTAATAACCCTTATTGGTTCATCAATAGTCTAGGCAATAACCTAGTATATCCTGGTTGTGCTTTAAACATATGGTTCCTAATAGACCTTTGTGATTCCTCTGTATGCTTGGTTGTGCTTTGATTTCCCTCATGGTCATGGTTCATTAAATAGCCTTAGCAATTACCTACATGTAGTATGCCCTGGTTGTGGTTTAATACACCAAATTGGTTCCTTGGTAGTATGGTTGTGCTTTAAACATATGTTTCCTAAAAGACCTTTGTGATGCTTGGTTGTGCTTAACTCCTATCAGGTTCATGAAATAACCTTAGCAATAACCGAGTATGGCTGGTTGTGGTTTAATATCCCAAATTGGTTCCTTTTAAAGTGATATCTAGTATACCCTAATTGGCTCTGATTGAACTTGATACCCACAATTGGTTCCTTAATAACACTAAGTGATTCCTCAGTTTGCTTAGTGATGCTTTTATAATCCCTATTGGTTTCTAAATCTGCCCTAGTATTCCCTAATATGCCTTGCTGGTGCTTTGATAGCCACAATTGGTACTTTAATATCAATTAGTGATTCCCAAAGATGCCCTTGTTGTGCTTTTGTCACCCACATTGGTTCCATGTAGCCTCTAGCAAATAACGCAGATGCGAGTAGGTAGTTACTAGATTCACCACCAGGTGGCTCGTTCGGGTCAGATAGCATGGCGGGTATAGTAGAAAGTTCCCTTTAACTTAAATTACATCTATTTGCGTGGTTCAATTTTCATATAAACCTAATGTATCTAATAGTTATGCAAATTAAAATATGTCCAGTAAAAGAAAATGTTATCAGATTCTGTCCAATACAAGAAAAGATAATTCACTTTTTGTGATTTTGTAACGTGGGGTCTATGAGGATTCAACCCGAACAAGAAGTCACATTTTCAAAAAAATTAAATTTTCAAAGTTGATAGACAATTTTCGAAACCATATTTCTAGATGTACTTAAACATGTAGATTTCAAATATGACATCACTTTGACTGAATTTTGAATATTTAATGACGTAAATCAAGATTATTTCTACTCGCATAAAGTCTATTCCCTAGTATACCCAGGAAGTGTTTAAATTCATAGCTCTTGGAGACCCCTAGTATGCCTTGTGGTGCTGCAGTATTCCTTCATGGTTTCCTAGATACCCCGATTGGTTCGATGGGCTTTCTCTTGAAAGCTCATGATGGTTCCAAGTAGGTCATCATGGTGTTCTGTTAGCCCCTAAAGAGCACTACAAGGCATATTAGGAAGCACTAATGGGTATTTAGAAACTAATTAAAGCTCTCTGGGTATACTAAGGAATTGATAAGGGATATAATCAATGAAACAACCAGTGCATATTATGATAGCACTAAGGCTATAAAATAACCAAAGAACCAAAAGAGGATATTAAAGCACCTTTTTCAGTCTTTAGCTTACTAGGGGTTCAGTTAAGACTATTGAAAAACCAACTAGGGATATGGTATGTGTAATATTTTTGTATTGTGCTGACCTTATTGACTGGGTTGTGCTGGCACAATTCCTGCAACACAACCAATAAATACCTTTCTTTGTTTATGGAGAAATAATAATGCATGTACACTTTAACAAATATATATATAATTTCTCATCTTCCTGACCAATAGATACAAAGATACAACATACGAAGAAAAATACTTTCTGCTAGTTGTGTTATGATGATTCTTCGAAAAAACATACATACAGTATCACAGTGACATCAGATTAATAAGTTCATGCATTACTTACAACACTTTCTAAAAGCTTGATTAGATGGTAATTACAGTTGCCACTTCCCTTGCACTTACAAAACATGCAACAATTAATTTTGTTCAGTTCACATAATCTGTTTTGTACCACACTTACTATATAATAAATTAGATGGAAGTAAAAAAAAATTAAAAATTAAGTCAAAGTGATACCATATTTGAAATCTACATGCAAAATTACATCTAAGAATGTGTTTTTGCAACTTTGAAAATTTAATTTTCTTTGAAAATGCAATTTCTAGGTCGAAGAGATTCCCCATAGACCCCATGTTAATAAAATCACAAGAAGTGAAATATCTTTGCTTGTATTGGACAGATAATATTTTCTTTTACTGGGCATATTTTTTAATTTGTACTGTGTATAACTATCAGATACATAAGGTGATATGAAAAATGAAACACTAAAGCTGATGAATATTCAAGTTTAGGGGAACTTTCTAATACCCTGCCATGTTATTGGCCCCGAAATTAGCCTCCTGGCGGTGAAACTGGTAACTGCCTATTCGCATCTGGTTTATTACATTGTAAAATCAGATCATCAGGTGATATACAGAATATCCTTTGTATCAAGATCATTTTCAAGAACGAAGCCATATTCCAATGGGTCAAGCTGAGTATTTGATAAAGTCAGATACCGTTGTCACAAATGGCGGACATAACTGTCGCTTCAACTCTTTAATCACTTGGTCCTCGTTTCTCATGGGATTTTATCATCACTAATTCTGTGCATGTATTAAGCTCATGTGATGATGTATTATATGAAATCCAAATTTCTATGGGGTCGTGAATCGCCACAATATAGCGTCTTCGCTATCGTCAATGACAACAGAATCTGAATTTGAGATAATTTACAAAGACAACAGCATATGGTAAATTATTTATTTATTTAGAAGCAAAGGTTAACTATTAAGTCTCCCACACACACAAGTCTTCAAATTCAAGCATATTTTCAAGCCTAAATATTGAACGAAACATAAGTTACAGTGAGTTATAGAAGCTATAGTGTATGTATCCCTTAAAAGGGGTATTTAAAGAGGTAAATCAATAATTTCTGCTTAAATTTTTTATTATTATTTATTTTAAGTGAACTACAGTCATCTATATTGGTCTAAAATGAAAGAAAAGTATTAATACTATGCATGGGTATAAGGTATGGAAAGTAAATTAAAAAGTATAGATGATGGTTTATCTGAAAATAATACAAATCCAAATTATATGGAAATACGTTTTATTTTTTTTTCTGAAAAAGTTATAAAGCTATGAACATAGGGTTACTGCAGTCTCTCAACACCATAATTGTACATATTCAGGAATATTTTTAAGCCCAAATCCTGAATAACACAAAAGTTACGGAAGTTAACTTAAGTATCCCCTTTAAAATAGGGGGCGTTTTAAGGGGTTAATCAACTATTTCTCCATAAATTATGATTTTCACACATTGAAAAAATTTTTAATGCATAATTTAATGTACCATTGATCAATTTAAGCTATTTGAGATGTCTTTATGTTTCAATTATGAAAATAATAATTAGTTTTAAGTTTGGGGGTGAATTGTAGGGGGTGCCACCTATAGGACCATTTTTCACATTCGTTGCCGGGGCTAGAACAGAGAACCCAAGCTCAAAATAAGCCCAAGACCTTGCTCTACATGAATCCAGTGGGAAACTTAGGGGACAAACTTATTTTTTTAAATTTGCTCAGCTGCTGACCTAAGTATGATTTCAATGTTTTATTTGCAAAAGTTATTGAAAAGGAACAAATGTTTTCAGGTTATAGCAATAATGAAAGTGAGAATTTTACCCCGGCCTTCCTTAATGTATTTACTTTTACCAAAATTGATACATCAAGATCTGATCAGCCATCCATTTACATCAAATAATTGGAACCTAATGAATTCATATAATGTAAAAATGTTTTATCTATTATTGTAGTTCCATACTGAGTGTGTTTGGATTTCTACTGTTGGTTGGAACCATTTATGATGTGATACTGTCAACTACAGAGGAGCCACCATTAGAACCTGTCCTTGATAAAAAGCCTAGTCTACGCAGTCCCAGTGGTGCAAATGGTCCCAGTGGTGCTCATAGTCCAGGAACGAAGTTGGATGTTGATGAATATACCCCTCTACTTGATTCACATGATGAGAGAGCTGTGAATATACAACAGCCTTCTGTAGAGTATAGTAAGCCTCAACATGGTATGAAATAACATTTTCAGTTGTGTTCACATAGATGTTCCTAGCTACTGGATGTTTAGGAGTGCCTCTTTCCTTTATCAATGCTTCTTCTGTATTTTATTAATTCCTCTCTCCTTTATTGGTACCTATCTTCTTTATAAGTGCCTCCCTCCTTTATCAGCATATCTTCCCTTTCCTAGCACATTTCTCTTTTAGCAAAGCCTATCTCCTTTATAAGTGCCCCTTTCCTTTATCAGTACCTCTGTACGTTATAAGTTCATTTCTCCTTTATTGGTACCTATAGTCTTTATAAGTGCCTCCCTCCTTTATCAGCTTCTCTTCCCTTTCCAAGTACCTTTCTCTTTTAGCAATGCCTATCTCCTTTATAAGTGCCCCTTTCCTTTATCAGTACCTCTGTACGTTATAAGTTCATTTCTCCTTTATTGGTACCTATAGTCTTTATAAGTGCCTCCCTCCTTTATCAGCATCTCTTTCTTTTCCAAGCACCTTTCTCATTTAGCAATCTCCTTTATCAGTGCCTCTGTACTTTAGTTGTATTTTTCTCCTTTATCAGTTTCTCCTTAACTTGTACCTATCTCCTTTCTTACTTTCTCCTTTATTAGTGCCTCTCTCTTATCAATTCTCTCCTTGTTAATGCCCATCTCCTTTATTAATTTCTCAATTATAATTAGCACCTTTCTCCTTTATCCGTACCTTTCATTTATTATTACCATTCTCCTTTATCAATTTTTGTCTCCTTTATCAGAACCTTTCTCCTTAATCATCACTCTCTCATTTTTCAGTACAATAACAGTGAGCACCTCTGTAAGTACAATAACAGTGAGCGCCTCTGTAAGTACAATAACATGAGGGCCTCTGTAAGTACAATAACAGTGAGCACCTCTGTAAGTACAATAACAGTGAGGGCCTCTGTAAGTACAATAACAGTGAGGGCCTCTGTATAAGTACAATAACAGTGAGGGCCTCTGTAAGTACAATAACAGTGAGCACATCTGTAAGTACAATAACAGTGAGGGCCTCTGTAAGTACAATAACAGTGAGGACCTCTGTAAGTACAATAACATTGAGGGCCTCTGTAAGTACAATAACAGTGAGTGCCTCTGTAAGTACAATAACAGTGAGCGCCTCTGTAAGTACAATAACAGTGAGGACCTCTGTAAGTACAATAACATTGAGGGCCTCTGTAAGTACAATAACAGTGAGTGCCTCTGTAAGTACAATAACAGTGAGCACCTCTGTAAGTACAATAACATTGAGGGCCTCTGTAAGTACAATAACAGTGAGTGCCTCTGTAAGTACAATAACAATGAGTGCCTCTGTAAGTACAATAACAGTGAGCACCTCTGTAAGTACAATAACATTGAGGGCCTCTGTAAGTACAATAACATTGAGGGCCTCTGTAAGTACAATAACAGTGAGTGCCTCTGTAAGTACAATAACAGTGAGCACCTCTGTAAGTACAATAACATTGAGGGCCTCTGTAAGTACAATAACAGTTAGCACCTCTGTAAGAACAATAACACTGAGCACCTCTGTAAATGAATATCTCTGATAGTTGAACACCTTGATATTAATGAAGAACATTATTATGTCACCACCAGAAGTGGTGACATATTTTTATAGTCTCCAACTTTTTTGTGGATGGCAGTCGGCATTTTGCAGTTGGTGTTTGGCATTTGATGTTTGTAACAAATGTAGCAAATGACAATTTGTGACATTTTGCATGTTATTGCCTTAATATATGCATATGCATCTGCTTGATGAAAATATAACATGAATCTGTATAATATCACAAAAGTCAGTGGCTGTGAAAAAAACACAATAATTGTAAAATATATAAATATTATGAGCTATCTATCATTTATAGTATCCATTTTATTATCAGGAATTAACTCAGAAAAGCAATCCTGTACTTAGAATAGACCCAGCACCATAAACCATCTGTGTGTTTATTTGTTCCTTCCATCCTTCAACAATTTTTTTATACTATTATGGATTAACTGATAAATGCCACCCTGTACTTAGAATAGATCCAGCATTATAAATGGCAAACTTATGAGTGATATCCATCCATCTGTGTGTCTATTTGTTCCTTAACAGTTTTTCAACAAATGAAAACTTCCATTCATCTTACCAAATGCAAATATTAATTTTGTTTGGGTCTATTCTGGTAAATTACACAATGGATCCTGGGCCCTACTTTTGTCTCGGTTTGGAGAAATTACCTCTTTTGACATTGTCACTAGTCCCCATCTGATTATAATGTAACGATGGATGGATGTCACATCTTTATAACAAAATGGATGAACTTTCATGAGAGAAAATTTGTAAGAATTTGTACTTTCATCATTTTCACCATCAAAGAGGTTGATTTGTATCCAAATGTTTTCCCCATACTGTATTTAATGGTAACATCCGGTTACTGAAAAGCTCAAGTCAGTCACGATCAGATATATCCAGCAGCTCCAATGACTGAGTGAGAATTCCCTCACTTCAGCAACCAGGATGTTACCTGGTGAGTTTCATTATGTCTTACTCGCATTGTGCTAGTGTCCCACTTGCTAAAACAAGGGGATTCACAGTCAATTATTGGACCCCTTTTCAGTAACCTGATGAAACTATTAACATGGGTAAAATATCTCGTTAGAGATCGACCTCCTTCTTGGTGAAAATGATGAAAATAAAAGTTTCTTCCCGATCAAACAGAAATTCATTCATTTTGTTAAAGATGTGATGTCTTTATAACCAGGTGGGAACCAGTGATTGTAGCCTTGCCCAAGTCAGTCTCTTTTAGTTATCTTGATTTCTAATATCAAAAAACATGTTTTTTTCTTTGAAAAAAAAAATTTAAAAAAAGAAAGCATTTTATTGAATTATTTTCAGGTTTGTTCACTAGGATAATCCTCTGCTTCTCAATGTACACCAATGGCCAAAAGATCTTGAACACTACTCAATCAGATGACAGTCTGCAGTGTGTGCATGGGATCAGATTCCTCAGTATGACTTGGGTAATACTTGGTCATACATATGTCTTTGGCTTAGGAGCTACAGGTACGTATGTTCCAGCTCTTAAGGGATCATCTCAGTATTTCAGTGTTGCCACAGAATGTAATCGATATATTGACTCTCCACTATTCACAAAAAAATTAATTGAAATAACTTTTTCAAATTAAAAGTTTCCTTTTTGAAAAATTCCAATTGACTCCAAATTCAAGGTCACTTTTAACTATTAAACAGTTGTCAAAGTGACATCTTGACTCTCTATATTGAAATTGACGCTTTGCCATCTTGACCCTTGCAAAAAGTTTTATTGAAAATATGTTCTTTTGTGATTTTGTATCTTTTAGGTGATTTCATAAAGAATTTAAGCCCAAGACTCAATGCATTGTGGCTGCTTCATTCCACTTAGGCCTTGTTTCCTAAACTTTGCATTCCCGCTGCGCAGTCATGCAACGATTTGGAAACAACACCTTCAAGGGAATGATTCAGCACACAATGCACTGTGTTCAGGGATTAAATCCTTAAATCATGACACAGAACCATTGTACTTCAAATTTAAAGACATACCTTGTACATATATACATACAATATAATATATTTAGAATGTTTCTTATGTACTGGTTTATTTGTTTTATAAATCCTTGTTTCCAGGTAATTTAATTATCCTTCAGGACTATGTGAAGCTCTTTAGTTTCCAACCCATCATCAATGCATTCTTCTCAGTGGACGCATTCTTCTTCCTAAGGTATGTTACACATTGACAAACTCAGTGACCTATGATTTTTTATGTCACCACCACAAGTAGTTATAGTCTCCAACTTTTTGTGATTGGTTTTTGGTGGTCATGTTGACAGCATTGGGCATTTGACATCTGTAACAAATGGCTGGTGGTGACATTTTGCATGTAAATACCTTGTATTTTCTTAAAATTATATTATTATGTCTTACTTTCCTATATCCAACATTGAGATCATTTTTTTCTCATTCTCACTTAAGTAAAAAATGGTGTTTCAGTGGTCACCATATGAAACATGATATCATATAAATGTTTCAGTGGTCATTGTATGTTATGTGATGTCATATAGATATTTCAGTGTCAACCGTATTGAACATAATGTCATGTGAATGTTTATTTCACATTTTTGTTGTGGTCACTGTATGGAATCATGTAAATTAATTGTTTCAGTGGCCAAAATATGAGATATGATGTCATCTAAATGTTTCAGTTGCCAAAATATTAGATATGATGTCATCTAAATGTTTCAGTGGCCAAAATATGAGATATGATGTCATATAAATGTTTCAGTGGCCAAAATATGAGATATCATGTCATCTAAATGTTTCAGTTGCCAAAATATTAGATATGATGTCATCTAAATGTTTCAGTGGCCAAAATATGAGATATGATGTCATCTAAATGTTTCAGTTGCCAAAATATTAGATATGTTGTCATCTAAATGTTTCAGTGGCCAAAATATTAAATTTGATGTCATATAAATGTTTCAGTGGACTGTTGGTGGGGTACCTTGTGCTGAAGGAGATGGAGAAAAAAGGTGGATGGTCTAAACTCAACTGGCCATTGTACTATGTCCACAGATTCTGGAGGTAAAGTAGAAATATACATCACTAAATTATTGAATAAATCAAAATTAATTGAAATCCTTACCACAGGATTGGGGAGTACAACCAAATGAACAACCAGTTTTCCAATTACCTCAAATGTCACATAAACTCCAAAAAGAAACATAATGTTGTTGAAATATGGTCACGAGGGGAAAAACAAAAACACAGAAATAAAGCATGAAAAGTATTATAGTTTAACAATGTGATTTTTTATCATGTTGTCATATAAGATTAGATCAAGCGTGCACTTTAAAGTTGTTGCAACCTCAGATTTTGTTGTAAGAAATTATTTTTGAAAAAAATGCTTTGTAGGTTAACTCCACCATATATGCTGGTGCTAATGATAAGTGTTTGCCTAACTCGCTATATGAGCACGGGTCCCCAGTGGCCAGAGCAGGGATTTGAGATAGACTACTGTAAAGACTCCTGGTGGACTAATCTTCTTTACATCAACAACTTTGTAAATGTAGAAAAAATGGTAAGACCGTAAGACTGCATTAAATTATACATCTAGCCAGGCCCGTAGCCAGGGGGGGTTCGCAGGGAACCCCCCCCCCTGGCCAAAAATTCTTTCAAAATCATGCAGTTTTTCACAATTTTTAGTACTTCTCAAGTGATTTTAGCCATATTTGGGCCAAAATTGTCAAATGTGAACCCCCCCTGGAAATTTTTGAAAACTGAACCCCCCCTTGGCAAATCCTGGCTACGGGCCTGCATCTAGCCAATATATTAAATAGTTATTCTTATCGGAAACGTTTATTTATTGGATAATGTTACACCAGCAGTTTTCATGGAAATATTGAAATGATAGCAACATATACTGATTGGGAGAAAATGACTAAGAAAAATATGTTTTCCAATTATCAATTTTACATGTATACATTGAACATTTTGTGATTGTGAAATATGGCAACATATACTGTAAAAGCCCAAATTTTCAAGGTTCCCTAATTTTCACTATTTTCGCTGAAGGTACTGTATTATTGACTGTAAAATTAAAGGCACTGTGGATATTTGATTTAACATTGAATTTATTCGGATATTTTTTCAAACAGTGAAATTTAGTGCCATTTACATGAAACACACCAGCTTGGCGAAATACGTGAAATTTTTGTACACTAAAATATTGTTACTACTATTTCTCTCAAATACTGTTACTGTTTTCTTATGCAGTGTCTGGGCTGGTCCTGGTACTTGGCCAATGATATGCAGTTTCACTGGATAAGTCCTATCGTTCTCATTCCATTCTCCAAGTATGTAATTTAATGTAGTTTTATCATTTCTTCTGAACAGGGGGGGGGTCCAGACATCATCAATTAAGATTAAGAATAAACTATATGTCAGAAGCTAGTGACCGTTTTTACCACCAGTTGTTCCTTATAGATGTACATGTAATTATTCGCAGATATCAAATATTATACAACTTTCCCTGTATTTTAAATATGTATTAATGAAAATCAAGACAATTTCCATCTGTTCCGTTCTTCTTCCAGTGATGTTTTTGAAGCTTATGTTTTCTTTATTTCATTTTACTTTTCAACAAATAAATACAGGGCCTAAGCCGAAGCATTATTGGCCTTCCAGTGATGTATGGACCCCCTTCACATGGGCAGGATTAAAAAAAGAGCAAAAACTATTTTTAAATACTCACATGAATTTTCTTTAATTTTCAGTTTTTTAAACATTAACTTTGGGGCTTATTAAAAACTATATTATCAGATTCAATGACATATCTTGTTTCAATGAAATCAAAAACAATGTAACACAGAAAGCAGAAAGTTTAAAGATCCCAGGTCATTATTAATATTGTAAAGCTCACTAAATATGTTAAAGCTCTCTCTTTCGATGTTGTATTCTAGGTCTAGCTTAGCAGGGTCTTTAGTAGCATTTGTTTTACTTCTTGCACACCTCGTTACAACTGGGATTCTTTCTAAGCAGTATGGAGACACCTTTCAATTAATCGTTAATCCAGAAAAGGCGCAAGATGAAATGTAAGTTTTCAGTTTTTTCTAAATATTAATACAGTGTAATACTATTTTTTTTTTTATTTGATCAAACTACTATCCAAATATTCGAGGGAAAAATTGCCAATATATCAGTTATATGTATAGGATATCCTAAGATTTCAACTATGATATCAAACCCAGGACAAAATTGGTATATACTGTAATTAATTAAACATATACATGTAACTCTTCAAATTGGAAACACAGAAAAACCTGAATTGAATTGAAAGAACCAAATTTTATCTCAACATTATAATGTCTGAAAATTATTTTGTTTTAGTTTTCAAATTCTGAGACCACACTCTGAAATCCATTTCCATTCTTTTCCTATTTGTGCCAACCCTAGTTACAAGTATCGTATAGGTGAAACCATAGGTGAAAACAAGATATGTAATAATATATATATATAGATTTTTTTTTCTCTGAAGTTGAAGAGGAGATAAAGTTCTTTGAGGAGTATAACTCATGAACGTTTCTCAGGTATTCACTTCAATAGTATGAAATATTTGTACGATATTCTGTATAAGTGCATATACCTTTCTCTTTGTTCCAGAGAAGCTTTACATGGTTTTGAGTATGTCTATATAAAGCCGTACACCCGTATTGGACCATATCTGATTGGGATCGTGGTTGGATATATTCTATATAAGACAAATAGAAAAGTTAAACTACATTGGGTAAGTAATTCCTCTGTTCGATCAATCTAAGGCTGAAGAATATGAATGATATGGTTTCATTATTTTGTTTTTGTTTAAATTTGAGCATATCCTGGATATATGAATTTTTAGCTTATATGGGTGAACTATTGTTAGCGCTCGCTTGTCTGTCTGTTAGTTTATGTGTCCATGCATCCAACCATCCATTCGTATGTACAACTCAATAGACCAATCCACATAGTCATGCCACCTTTTAGTTGTGACATCATACTGGTAGTTTTAGTGCTGAAATTGACCTTTCTTAAAAAAAATTCTTCAACATAGCTGTCTGTAAACGATGACATCATAAATCTCGCCAATATATCTCAGTTGGTTCATAAAAGAGGTCAGTATTTGTTGGTTAGGTCTATTCAAAAATCTTCACTTCAAAATTGTTATCAGAAAATCAAATAGGTAAACAATGTATTTTGCAAAATGCAAAATGGCCGTCATTTTTGTCCCCAAATTGACACTTTTTGGCTATAAGTCCAAAAGTATTTCATAAATTGACTTTAGATTTTATTGGTAAGTGAATACTTCGGAATGGTACAATTTGATATCAAGACATGTTTACCAGTATCTTATTTTGCTTTATTTTAAAAAGTATTGTATCGATTCCATTGATATTTTACAAGTTTTCCCAGATTTGGCAGCAATTTTGAAAAATTACCATTTTTATATAACCACCAAAAAGTCTTGGTCACTCCGCCACAGTGTTACATTGGCAATGATTTAAGTATCTTGCACTCTGTAATTATCCCAACGAACGAAGTTCGGTAGGGATATAGTGAAGCCCTCCGTCCGTCCGTCAGTCTGTCAGTCCGTCAGTCAGTCAGTCCGTCCGTCCGGAAGATAACTCAAATATTAGTAGACGGATTTTCTTCATATTTGGTGGAAAGATGTATATTGATGAATAGTTTTACGCAAAAAAATTTTTTTCAAGATGGCCACCGCTTTAAAAATGACGGGACTTTTTCGCAAAAATCATAAATTTTTCATTCTAAACCAAAGAAATTAATATTATTGTTTGAAATTTTGGTAATGTATTCGCAACATCTATCTATTTCACATATTTTCCGTGTTTTTCGTTTTCCAGGGGCCGTGTATGGGGGGTCAGGAAAACAGAAATTTTCGCTAATTTTTAGATCTTTCTGAAGTATAGCTTTATTATACTCAAATGAAAGGCAATTAAGAGAAGATTGCAAATATTGTATCTTTTTTCTGATTTGAGCCTCGTAAAATTCAAAATGGCCGTCTAATGTACGATTTTGCAATCATTTTTCGATCCCTTCAAAGTATGGCTATATTATACTCAAATTGAAGGAATTTTGGAGTAGATCACAATTACGCTATTATTTTTCAGATTTGTACCTCAGAAAATTCAAAATGGCTGCTTTGCAGGAATTCGCAATTCTAAAATCTAAATTTTTCAATTTTAACCAAAGTAATGAGTATAATTGATTGGAATTCGGTAATTGATATTTTGTTCGTTGGGATTTGCTACTCCGCGGAGTTGCCATTATCTAGTTTATATTCCCAAATGATACAGTTTTTACAATCTTGATTATCGACTTTATGTTTATATGGCAAAAAATTATCAGTTACAAACTCTGCAAACAGTCTGGTAGTCAAAAACCTGTAAAAAATATTACATTGATTTTGATAAAAAAAGGTTGATTGTTAAATCAAAATAGCAAATTTAAAGTACATGTAGCTATTTGTTGAATACAAGTTTTCATAATTAATTAAAGTTTCATGAAGTCTTCAAATGTCATGAATTTGAATCCAATTCCTTTGAGCCTTGACACTGGACTGCCATTAAAATATTCTACATTAAACTCTGGGTGTTTCTTGGCATCTGCTAAAATCTGCTTGAAGGCTGTTATATGAACTTTCTCATTGTTAGGGACATTATACACATCACCTTTCACTTGATAATTTGAAAAGAAATAGTTTGAGTTGTTTTTAGGGGTTTCTTTCATTAGCAGTTGTTTTCCTTTAGAGGTTGATCCATTGATGCGCTCAACATAATTCATGTCTATTCCAAGTAGCAGAATCTTTTCATATCCTAAATACTGCCCAACCCTTGCAGATAAGGCACCTGTCGAGATCTCTTGAGTCACTTTTACCATATTTTGGGTTTTACCAGCTTTAATGTTTTCGTAGAATTTCACTTTTGGATGAGATTTCAGTTTAGGCACTTCTTTAGCAATATTTGATCTCGTGAAGAAGAGTCTCATGCCACGTTTATCAGAGTTCTCAATCATTTCCGTTAGCTCAGGGATGTGAGCAATGTTAACAACGGTATCAAAAGATGCATAATAAGTGGGCCACCAGTCAATCTCCTTCCAGTATCTAAAAGCTAAGTTCATTCCTAATGTATCTACTCCTTTAGTCTTTAAGAAGTCAAATCCCTTCAAAGATGGCCCATTTCCAAACACAATTAGCTTCTTATACATGCTACAATTTCCATAATTGTGTTCGAAACACCATTTAGAGCATTGATGATTTGCCGCTCTATCTATGGTACCATGAACACATGACTGGGTGTCATTATTTACGCACCAGCCACACTCAGGGACATCCAGACATCCCTTCCTGTTGAATATAGACTCGCACATTCCGGTGGATAATCTTGAAATGTCAGAACGTGCCCTATGAAGTGTTTCAAGCGTTTTGATTGGTTCATCCCTCCAACCAGATAGCACATAGAGAGCCACTGATACCACCATCAGCACTGCTGAATACATGCGGATTTTTGAATTTGTGCATCTCATTATCCTTGCTCTTTATATGTCACTTAGCTGCTACAAATGGCACTCAGCTGCTACAAATGGCACTCAGGCATCCACTGATCAATGTATCATTGCCTGAAATAAAAATAAAAATGAGATATTTCAAATTGAACACCTACAGTATAACAGTAAAACCTGCAAACAAATTACGCTCTGTCTCTTACGGAATGGCCAAATAGTTCCTTGTTGACAGGGTCAATGTTTTGGGCCAAAAAAAACAAAATTGCTGAATAAGCATTGAATTATTGTTGACGCTGAATTACTGATGTAATAGTAGACCAATGTTTCTTTGAACCTATATTCAAGCTTCATCAATTCCCTTGTGTAGCATTTACAATCCACAAGTTTGGATCTTAAAAGATTTAATGAGATTTGGCTCAATATCACACAAATACATTTTTACTTTCTCCTCAAATAGTTGTTTCAGCCCATAGAATAGCTCAACTTGTCAGATGAATTCAACCTTTATTGAAGGAAAGCATGAGTGTCGATTGGCGATTTATATTCAAACAGATTAATTAAAAGAATATTGGGATAATCAATGCATCCTATGAGAACCTTAATATCTTCTCACCAATAGGAAATGATATTCAGAGCTTGTCAACGATCAGCTTATCCTAATCTTGTGTATGTTAAGCTATACTCTTTAGAATCACTTACTGGCTTAAGCCATTCGCACCTTTGAAAAACAATAGGATGTACAGTAACCAATTTTGAACAGGTGAATTTTCAAAATATGACCTTAAACAATGTTCCTTGTTCCCAGTAGACAGATGTTCCTTACAGAGAGGGTCTCTTAACATGTAAGTCAATGGAAAAATATATAGAATGGTATTCCATTAAACAGGTTTAACTATATACATGCAGTGTATGCTGCTGGTCAAAATGACATCATTGACCAGTTGCAATGTTATTTTCCTATACCTTGTGAAAAAATAAACTGGTCAGTATTAAAAGTAACCTGGTAATGACCATCTGACCAGCTTACCGACCCTTAAGACTCTTAAGGTGTACCCTGTATACATGTATATAATATGTTGGATGGGGCATTGATTTATATCCAGTTTTGACATTTTGAACACGGATAAATAGCACGAACAAACATGATTCTTAAATTAACCATATTCATCCAATGGATGAGCAAAAATGAATTGAAAAAATTCTGTTGTCCATTATAGAAGATGTTCCTCTTAAGGTGACTGTTAACTTAATCGATTTTCAGAAAAAATTTCACAATCTTGAAATTTTCAAACTCTTCCTGAGAAGTCGTTTTTATTATTTCACATATGCTTGTGCACTGTAATCATTACAAAGACATCAAAGAACAACAAAAACTTGAGTTTGAGAAAAAAGTGCCGTTTAAAGAATTTGAGAAGATTTTTTTCTAGGAGTAGCCCGTGAAAAACCGCTGATTCAAAATATCTGAACATTTCAGAAAATATACTTCAAACATATATCAAAAACGAAGGAGCAACGGAAATTTGAAAAATTACCCGATAAAAAAATTGGGATCAAAATAAGGAAAAAAGTACACTTCTCAAATTGTTTTTTCTATTTTTTTAATTTGTATGAGAGATTTCAAAATTCTAAAGCTCCTTCCATTTTGGGCTATATTAAAGGGATGTTTCAGAGAAATTAGAAAAAAAAATGTTCACCTTTGCCGTGCTGCTCTTTTTGTCAATTTTTCTGTCACATTTTCAGAGGACTCAAGTTCCCATTCCAAAATGTTTACTGTTTCTATTTGCATTACCACAGTGAGCCTGGTTATATAAATGATAAGTGGAACTAAAAAATTGAGAGAAACTCCAACCAAAAGACAGTTAATTTTGATGGTCAGATTATACTCAAATGCCATGTGCTTCCTGGTTTCGGCCATCTTGGATTTTTTAATTAAGTTATAAGTTACCTTAATCTCCTACTATCCTACACCCCAACATTGGAGATCTAGCTCTATGTGAAAAGAGAAGTCAGTGACATCCACTTTTCTGCTCTGTTATGAAACGACTTGTGTAAATTACATTATAATATAGAATTATATACATATGTACAGATTATAAATAAATTATAACTACCTTGTCACTGGTTGAACTTCACGTTATAAATAAACATCACATTTAAGTGTACATATGCCTTTTATACAGGTTAAAGCGTATTCTGAAATTACCAAACTGTGACACTCATAAATGGCAATCAACTGTCACTTAAATACATGTACCACATTTGACTCATTTTTACTGGATGCTTGTGTAACTTGTAACCTGTGAATAATCTGCGTAACTTGATGCCTGTTTGACCTGTAACTTGACTGTAACTTGATTGTATAACTTGACTTTAACTTCAGTTGGTGTAACTTGTAACCTGTGAAACTTGTACAATCTGTAACTTGGATAACCAGATAAATAGTCAGACACAATCATTCAGACTCTTGTCTGGCTCGCTCTCACTTCCACTCAACTTCTTTACTTTAGCTATATGATTTCAGCAGAGACTTCTAGATTATATAAAGTGTTTCAGCATAGTTGTTAAAACAATATGTTTTCTTTCAAGTGAAGTACCCATGATGATAAAAATATCAATCAAACAATTCGAAAAATTATTAATAGGGACCCCCTGTCAACATTTATTTCAAAATGTTGAACCTATTTACTCAAAAGAGGATCTTCTTTTTCTGGTTTTTATTGCTTGAAAAGATTATTTAATCAGGGGTCTAAATTTCTTTAAAAGTAGAATGTTATTGAAAGTCTAGTTTTAAAGATATCAATTTTCGATGACCAAAATTATGCTGAAAACAATGGATAGCACAAGTTTTCCATATGGGAAAGTAACATGGGATATGTGGTTAACTTTAATGGATTTCACGCATCCCCTTTTATGAAATTGTTAATAAAGTGTAGAAGAAACTTTCGATGTGTTTAAATTGAGAAAAACAAGATCCTCTTTTTAGAAAAATGGCCTAACATTTTTCAAAAAGTGCCTGGGTGGGGCCCTTATCCATAATTTTTCAGAGAGTTAGATATTTTATACTATCATGGGGACTTCACTTGAAAGAAAACATATTGTTTTAATAAAAACCATTGTATTGATGGCCAGAAAGTACTTATGGTGAAAGATTTGACCCTCTAAAATCACTTGCCATACTGCACATGGACCTTTGGATATCGCTCAGTTTTAATTTCATCATTCCGGAAAGGACAAGGTGCAATTATTGGCAAATATCCCTATGGTCAAAATGAATCATTCGTAGGTGTAACATGAAGAATAAAATGTCATATAATACTTTGGAAAATATTAAAGTGCTTGGACACACATAAGCTGAGATAGGGATCATTTCGTTCAGTAAGGTTGTATTGACTTACATTGGGCTGTGCACCATTGACTTAACATGAGGATATCAGCAGATCCCAATAGAGGCCATTGGTTTCCATTGATTATCACAGAAATACCAAAAATACACTATGACCTGAATCGATTGCAAACTTAATAATTTCACAATACGACACAAATGGTTTATCTCATCAAATGTGCAAATATGAAGTTTGCAATCGATTCAGGTCATACTTAAAATTAAAAGATTGTACATTTTTTCATCATTTTTTCCCCTACAAAATGGCTATAGAAAAAAGCTCCAAAAACAACTTTTACACTTATCAAATATCATACAAGTTTGTAAAACCAAAGATTACACTATTATATTTCATTATGTAGTAACATATTTGGATAAGATGCAGGGATGCGTAGGATGTAAATGGATTTTGACAGACACAAAAATACTTCCTGGTTTGGAATCTATGCCTCTACACTTCATGATTGAATTATGACCCTAACAAGTGGCCTATACATCAATACAGTGCTGAATATAGGTCAACAAGATACTAGTGTGCATATAAATGTAATAATTGAAGCAGAATACTCATTTTGAAAAATCAGATGAATTATTGTTTTTCCCATGGGGAGATCCCAATGGAGGGTGTATAAGGTCCTTTCAGATTTTCAAGATACCATGTCTTTTTGGATCATATTTGTCATATATCCTTTAAATATGTAAGAAGACCTTTCTAACAAGCCATAATACATCAGTGTATGACAAATGAGTCCATTGAACTTTGTGTGTAGATTTTTGATCCGTGACACACAATTTTTAGTCACATCTATTTTTTATTATTTGGAGCTTCAAACAAAAGATGACAGCTTTAACAGCTCATAATGTAACATAAAAACATTTCCAATGTATTTGTGATATTGTAATACAACTATTGTAATGGGGAAGTACTGTTGGTTTTTTTTAATAGGACTTGATAGTGCCTTACCCCAGGATAATAAAACAAAGTGGTTGTGGTCAATTTTATCATTTTTGCAGCATTAAGTTTGAAACATTTCAAAAGAAAGAAAATCAATTCATTCAAAACATTACAGTTTATTACAAATACAGTTTTATATACAAATCAACTGGAATTCAAGCTTTATTGAAATTCACAACATTTGTTTCATGTTGACTCTTTTAACTTGAATATACTGTACTCCTGGTAATTTTCGCGCGCTACTATATTTTATGCTTTTCCCGAAAATTCGCAAAATATAATAGCCGCGAAATTCCTCCAGTTTTAATTTGCGAAATTTGAGAGTCGCGAAATTCCAAGGAAATTTCCGGGGATTTCAATGTTGACAATATTTTCGTCCAGTGCTTGGCAATAATAGGTAAAAAGTGACATATTGAGTTTTGAAAAAGAAAAATTAGAAGAGAGATATTTATTACTGTATTAAAATGAACATTCTAATGAAAAGGCTTCATACGAAACCAAAATCATTGGGTGAAGGAACAACCATGGCTGATATCAAAGTCCAAAGAGTGATCCTGTATGACAAATCCGCTGAGATTAATAGCCGTGAAATTTCAAAAAACTGAAAATTAGCGAAACATAATAGCCGCGAAATTTCAAATTGCCAAATACTCGAAATATATTGCATCAAATATTAGTGTGAGTACAGTATTTGAGTGTCCCATCTTGTATATAGACTTCTCTTTCTTTGATTAACATTTTAAAATGTGGTCAAATATACTATTTGTTTCAATGAAATAAGTAAAAAGAACATATAACACCCTTTTTTTGAAATGAGAATTGATCAAATAATGAGAATATATAGTTCCACTATTTTATGAATTTGATTTGACCAAAATTTATGCCGGGCATAAAATTTGTTCCAAAAATGCTCGGCATAAAATTTGTTCCAAAATTTATGCCCGGCATAAAATTAGTTCCAAAATTTATGCCGGGCATAAAATTTGTTCCAAAATTTATGCCCGGCATAAAATTTGTCCCAAAATAATGCCCTGCATAAAAATTGTTACAAAGTTTATGCTGAATATAAAGATTGTTACAATTTTCATGGTTGACATAAAAAGATTGATACAAAGTTAATACTGTGATAAAGGGTCATTTTTAATATTGGGAATATTGTTAAGAAATAAGAAAGTAATAATTATTTCTTTCTAAGGAAATGATGTGTCTAATACAATTAAA